ACACACACACACACACACACACACACACACACACACACACACACACAGAGAGAGAGACAAGCACCACAAATCAATAGTTTTATTCACTCTGTGAGTAGGAATCTAGGAACTTAATAGGTCCTTACTTATGCTGTGGCAAAAATATGTTGCTTTCCAATGCCACATTATTGAGTCATACAGTGGTCACCCTGGAATTTCAAGCCAGTTCATCACTTTTTTTTGTTTTATTTATTTATTTATTTTTTATTTAGCTATTTTTGTTGTTGTTGCCTCCTCCTCACGCAGTTGGTGAGGAAGACTCTACTCTGAGTTACGTGACGGCTGGACAAATGTCACTAAATATAGGGACGGATGAGATCAAAGCATCTTGCTGGTACTGCATTGTCACAGTGAGGAGGGGACACCCTGCTGACCACGTCAGGCCATGGATGAACACAGTGGACACCCAGGGACAGAGGGGTCAGACTCTGCAGTGTATGAGGGTATGGCACTCTGTGGTCACCGGGAGGACATGATCAGTCTGTTGGCCCAGCCCAGGGTCGAGCAAGAAACAGAGCTGCTGCTCAGCGTCAGTGGGAAGAGCACCAGCTCACTTTGATAAGGAGTGTGGGTGGACACGGGAACCCTATCCTTCACGGAGGAGAGAAGCTGTGGTTGGCCTGTTCATGGCCCTTCCAGGTGTCAAGGCAACTCCATTCAAATACGGGACCTTAATTTTAGAACTTGAGCCTGACCCTCTTTAGTCGTTCATCTCAGAGGTACAACTCATCTCAGAGTTCTAAGGGTCTCAAGGCTCTAAGACTTCTCAAGGCTGGTGTCCTGTTCCACACCCCTCGTGGACATTCACCGATGGGGCTCAGGCACCCCCCCAAGTCCCCTTAACATGCAGAAGCTCTGCTAGCCTCCTCTGCCCTGTCAACTGACATTTCCTTCAATTCGGCAAATCTCCTTTCGTTTTGGTGTCTGGTTTGTCAGTCTCCACAGAAGACATTGGTTCTCCGAGATACCCTCCCCCAATTTATCCTGTGTTGGCACTTTTCTTAGGCATCCTTTAGACACTAAAGGAGTCTATCTGAGACTAGAAAGTCTTCACTTCCTTGTTAATCTTAATTTCTTTGGAGCAGGAAAACCACCCTGAATTATCCCACGTGCTTCTTATTCTTACAATATCCATTTCATGCTCTCATCATTGGGGTTTATGGTTATTAATACGCAAAGCCAATTTTTGTTTCAACAAAACAGAAGGTTTTTTTCTCTCTCTGTCTTACCACTGGGTCTCCTTACTTAACCTAAAATTTGGTTTTTTACATTTGAACTGATGCTTCAGCTATGGACTTGTTTCTAGAGTTGTATGTGAAACTCCTGGTTTGGTAGCCACTTGGCTGATTAATTCAAGTTAGTATTAACTAAAATTAAGTAAGGTTTAAAACCCAATCCTTCATTTCCAAGAGCTGCTCGTCAGGTGTCCAACAACACATAGCCAGCGCTTTCTGAATTCCCCAGCCGTCCAGAAAGTTCCATCAACGTAGTCTACTGATAGAAAGCATTGATTTCTTCCATTGATAGACTCGACTTCCCCCAAAGAGCGATAGACTGTGGGAGGGAAGGTCAAAATGGTGGTGTAGCAGAGGAAGAAACCCGTTACTCTCTCAAAATGGTCTCTTGCTACCGTAAATCTGAAGAAAGTTCTGGGCTTCAGAATCAGAAGTGGCCGCGTTAAACAGAAACTCCCACCATATTTTGACAGAACATTTTTGGCAGTGGGAAATGCTCCCGCCTACCAGTCTGTCGCAGAGGGCCTGTGCCACGGCTTGCCACCACTGAGCAACTGTCTCAGGAAGAGCATCTTCTCTTCACAGCTCAGCCTGCCCCAGCCGCTGGATCCTTGGAGCCTCGAAGTGAGTTTCAGAAGTGTTTCGTACCAACAAAAAATGTGTGGAATCCGGGGTGTCATTTCATTTCCATTTGGCTTCCATTTTGAGGGGTCTTCATACTTTGATGGCTCTCGGTCCTCACTGGCCTCCCTGCACTCACCCAGGGAGCCACAGGGACTCCTGTGACCACGAGTTATTTCCAGTCAGGGTCAAATGTTCAGTTGGAATGACTGGAGTCAACAGCCTGTCTGCTTCTGGCTGTCAAGGAAAACAAAAAACAAACAAACAAAAGAGCAAAAGGCTTGATCTTTCCTTGTCAATAAATAATGATGCAATTCCAGTGCATAATAGGTCAGTCACTGGGCTTTGAACTGGCCTGGTCACAACATGTATTATCAAATGTAATCCTAGTAACTACAACTACCCCCAAGCAGGCACTTTATCCAGCTCTACAGAGGTCAAAGTTCAGGAAAGCCAGAAGTCATACCACCAGGGGTCAGGGCAGCATCGGGTCTTAAACCTCCTTTTACTTTTCTGTCATCACAAACACAGGCACAGGACAGTAAGCATTCATTATCACTCCCAGACCCAGAGAGTCAGGAAGCTGCAAGCAGGTCAGGTAGGGAGTGCTGCCGGCTCCGGGTTTCTCTGGACGGCTAGAGTTGAGATGTTGGCCAAGTCTGGGCATCCTGTCTCAGAGCATCGTTCACCCAGCTGTAGACAGCTGTCAGGAGATCCACATCCAAGGTTGCTCCTCTGGTCTTCACAACACAGCTTTCTCACAACATGGAAAATGGCTTCCCCCAGAGCAGGCAGCCCAAGAGAGAGAACCCAGAGCAGAAGCTGAGGCCATTGCCTCTGCCATGTTTCTTTCACTTGCAATAAGTCGTTGAGTCCAGCCGTGTTCAAAGGAATGAAAACTAACCTCCCCCCTTCCTTCTGCGCGCCCCCATCTCTCTCTTCCTCCCTCCTCAGCCCCCTCTCCTGAGAGTGCCATGTAGTCCAAGCTGGCCAAATATGACCTTGAATTCCTATTTCTCCTGTCTCCACCTCCCAAGTGCTAAGGTTACAGGTGTGTAGCTAACTCTAAGCTCTGGGAAGAGTCTGTGTACATAGCTTTAAAATCATCTTGCAAGCCACTTACTTAAACATTATAAATGATTCAGCGTTAACCACAAACAAGTCCCATATTTCAGTGCTACATGACAGCGACTCTTGACCTAATCCTTAACCCTCTTTTAGACCCATAAGACAGAGCTGGCCATGAGACTGGGCCTGCTGTTGATTGTCTTTGGATGTTGCCTTGGGTTAGATGGGTGTGGGAGTCCTGGGTCACTGTTACAAAACCACCAGAGTCTCTAGGAGGTGACCAAGAGTCACGTCTAGGAGGAAGGAATGGGCTCAAGAGTCAGCCCTCCACGTCCAGGGTTTACATGGTATTATAAGAAAGAGAATGTGCCTGGCTTGTGGTTCTGCAATACACAAAGGCAGAGGTCACCTATACCAGTTGTAGCATTGGTCTTGAAGTGATGCCTAAAGTTGGAGAACAGTAATGAGGAAGGCCATTGCAAAGTTCTTGATTCTGACAACATTTAACTGAGTTTACTATCATTTAAAAACATGACCCCTTGGGGTCAGACTATTCCAGATCTTCCTTTGTTTTATTCCCTTTGAGACAGCAAGAGGGTCTCACTGTCTAGCTCAGGGGTTTCCAGCCTTCCTAATGCTGCGACCCTTTAATACAGTTCCTCATGTCGTGGTGACCCCAACCATAACATTCTTTTCGTTGCTACTTCCTAACTGTAATTTTGTTACTGTCATGAATCGTAACTGTCTGATATACAGGATATCCTGATATGCGACCCCTCTGAAGGTCATTCGACTCCCAAAAGGGTTGTGACTGAAAAGTTGAAACTTGCAGTCCTCCTGCATCCGTCGCTCAAGTGCTGGGCTTACGGGGGTGTGCCACCCCAAACCCCTTGTTCTAGAACTTTGGAGATTGGAGCTTCCTGTTTATCATGAAACCATCTCCACAAAACCAGAGAAAAGAAGGAGTAGCTGCTACTCTTTCCTCTGTGTCATTGGGTGTGCTCCAGTGAGAAGTCTGTCTACATAATAAATAAATCGTAAGACGGGGCTTTGGAGCATGGGCGCAGAAACCTTGCGCATGTTTATCTGAGGGATGCGTGAGACCATTGCCATTTCTGTGTTTGTTTCTTTTAGGCGTTTGTGCTGTTCCCGTGGAGGGCGTTTCTGGAAGATGGTGGACCGTTTCCAGTTACAAGCAGCCTCCCGAACACCTTGGAGTATGACATGCAGGTAGATCTGTCTTCCCACTTGTTGGAGAGAGAACCGAACACAGATCGCAGAGCAGGGTATCCCCAATGGTGATTTATAAGGCAAATGACTGCTTAATTGTGACGCTGTAATACAAGGCTGCAAGGTGAGCCATATTTTCTTACTGTGGAAGAAACTGTGCTCTCAGCAGCTATTGGCCTTTGCCATTGACTCAGCTGCAGGTCCCAGGACAGCAATGACCTAGAGGAATAGCCACTCATCTGGAGTCACAATCTATGCCTCTTAGAGAAACTGCCACTCAGAGGCGTGGGACACCTGGCCTGGATGGACCTGCTTAAGCAGGACTGAGGGAATTAATTCCCTTTAATTGTTCTGTTTATCACGATGCTTCTTTAAATTCTCATAAGTTGTTTTGGAAAAAAAAATATGTTTTCTTATGATTAAGTAAACATCAATTGTGTGTGTGTGTGTGTGTTAAAACCAACACAGAAACTCAGCTATAACTTGGCTCAGAATATGGAGTGGAGAGCTGGTTTGGAGCAAGACTTGTCTATACATTGATGGATGTAATCGTAATCATTTTGTTAACATTTGTTTATGTTCAAAATCATCTATAAGTAAAAAGTTTTTTTTTTTAAACAGTAGAAGAAAGGAGGATTAAAAACAAAAACAAAACCCTGAGACAATTACAGCTCACAGTTCGGGTCTTTCTCCCGTTTTTTCCCCCCAGGGCACACCTTTAGTGTGTGTATCTGCACACTAAAGGAAACTAAGATTATGCCATTCTGCATTCATTATATCTGTAAGGTTGAGAGATTTGTACTCCTACACAAAGTCTTTCTCCTCAAGAAAGACTTTAACCTAGATATGTTACTCTGATTTTTAATTTACTTGAGAGGGTGAGGGTTATAAGCTTAGTTTCACTTAACATTTTTCTTCAAAACTGTGTATACAGAATATGTAGACCTCTTCAAAATGGGAAAGTTTTTTTGTTTTGTTTTTTTTAAGATGTGTCTCTGCGGGCTGAGTGACCGTGACCGCAAAGTGGCCCATGGAGAGCTGGTGGGTGTGCAGATGCTAATGGAAGACGTACTTCTGAGCAGCCGTCACGTGAGCAGGAAGGGCCCCCCCACATGGCAAGCAGAACCGGAGACTACACAGGTATTCTTAGCAAACAGGCTACAGAACCGATGTGTTGGACTGAAGGACCTTCCTATCTTGAGAGACAGACTAGAGGGCTGTCCTGCCCATAGCTGCACCCACTAATTCCCAGGACAATGCTAATGCTTCCCTTTCACTGCTGTGTAAGGGGGGAACATCGAAAACTACTGACCACTATTTTCTTCCACGTTTAGTCTCAGGATTACTTACATTTCCACTTCCTTTATTTACTTAAAAGGGTTTGGCAGGTGGGGGGGCATGGAAAGATGGCTCAGCAGTTACAAGCACTTGCTTCTCTTTCGGAGCTCTGTTCCCAGTACTCATAGTAGGTGGCTTACAACCACCTGTAACTCCAGTTCCAAGGATCGAGATCCCTCTTGTGGCTCCCTCAGACACCTGCACTGATGTGCACACCTCCACACACAGATACACACAATTAAAATATTTTTGTTTGTTTTTGAGACAGAGTCTCTCTATGTAGCCTTGGCTTACCTAGAACTTGCTATATAGACCAGGCAGGCCTTGAAACCACAAAGGTCAGCCTCCCTCTGCCTTCCAAGTGCTGGATTAAAAGGCATGTGCCACTGCTCCTGGCCAGCTAAAACCAGGGAGTTTTTGTTTGTTTGTTTGTTTGTTTAACTTTGAAATCGTTTGAGACATGATCTTGCAACATAGTCCAGCTGGCCTTGAATTCACAGTCTTCCTACCTCAGCTTCCATTTGTTTTATTTTTAAAATAGAGCAAAGGGAGTCCGTGGAAAGCACCTGAGGCGGACACTCAGCTCATACCTCCTTATGAGTCAGTTATTTCAGGACTAGAGTTGGGTATCCCAGAGATCAAGCTGGAAGCCCCAGTGAGCATCCCACGCTGGAGTTCTCCTTCACCCTTTCATACTTCAGCCACAACAATCACTCCCCACCTAGTAAAATAACTGAACAACTCTTCGTGGTTCTGGGAATCAGGCAGCAGCACGTTGCAGTCAGCGAGCTAGCTGGACCACTGCCTAAACACCTCCCTGTCAGACCTCAGGGCCTGTGCTCTACCATTTGGTTGTGTGACTAGACTGTCTCCATTGCCTTTGTTAAGTAAAAACAGGAGAAGGAGAGAAAGGCAACACAAAAGCACACTCTCCCATTCTGAAGAAGGAAGGTGAAACAGTTTCTTAATAGATTTCCCTTATGTGCTCTTGGCTAAATTGAGGTCACAAGTCCATTTCAGCCCCGTTGGTAGGGGTGGGATGGATTTGGACATGGCATCTAAATCATGCAACAGACTCGGATGCTTCACCGGGAGTGACCCTTTGCCAAGCCATGTGGCACCAAGATCAGGAAACATCCTGGATGGGCCCCTGGGCTACTTTATGGCTCTATTCTGGGTGAATTTCTACCCTTGCTTAACACCCCTTACTTTCCACCCACATTCTTCTTTTTTAACAAAATGATTTATTTATTTGATTCTGTGCATATGATTTTTACCTATGTGTGTACTTGTGAACCATATGAGGCCTGGTGCCCAAAGAGGCCAGGAGAGGACATCACATCTCCTGGAACTGGAGTTACAGACAGTCGTAAGCTGCCCTGTGGGTGCTGGGAACTCATACCAGGTCCTTTGCAAGAGCAGACAGTGCTGTTAACGGCTGAACCATCTCTCCGGCTCCCCCTGCATTATTCTTTATCCCTTCTACTCATCCATCTTCTGTCCTTTAAATTCTTTAGACTCGGGGCTGGAGAGATGGCTTAATAGTTAAGAGCACTTGCTACTCTTCTAGAGGACCTGAGTTTGATTCCCAGCACCTATGCCAGGTAGCTCACAACTGCCTGTAACTTCAGCTCTGTGCAGATCCAGCATCTTTAACTCATGTGCATATACCACTCCCCCCAACACATACACTTATACATACACATACACATGATTAAAAACATAAATGAGAGGGTCAAGACAGGGTTTCTCTATGTATCCCTGGCTATCCTAGAACTTGCTTTGTAGACCAGGACAGCCTCAAACTCACAGAGATCCACCTGCCTCTGCCTCTGCCTCTGCCTCTGCCTCTGCCTCTCGAGTGCTGGGTTCAAGGCATGAGCCACCACTGGCCAGCTAATAAAAAGAAATTGAAAAATAATAAACTAAAATGAATGCCAGGTGATAACCGCGAGTTATAAAAGAGGGTATAAAACTAATTGTTTTTCTAGTTCCGACTCAGTCATAGATTTTCTTAGTTTTAGTGGTGGACAAGGAGATAAAATATTCAGTGTCAAAAATGAGAAACCCACTGTGAAGCCCCAAAGCTTTTGAATCTCTGTTCTAACTGTGCAGAAGTTCATCAAGACATGTAGTCTTTGGGTCTGGCTAATTTTGGTGTGTGATTTCTTTCTTTCTTTCTTTCTTTCTTTCTTTCTTTCTTTCTTTCTTTCTTTCTTTCTTTCTTGTTATTTCCAAGTTGTTGTTGTTTTAAATAAATTTTATAAAAATAAAATGTTTAGAGGTGACCACGTTTAATACAAACATAGTAAGAAGTAGAACTGATTTAATGCTTTTTACTTTAATTGATTTTATTTTGTGGGGTGTGCTGCTGAATTAGAACACAAGGGCCTCAAGCATGGCCGACACAACTGAGCTGCATCCCGAGCCCATGGAATCTAGGTTCATTTTGAACTGTTTAGCTATTTATAGGGAGCAGGAAACACCAGAATCCGTACTTCCCCATGGGCTAAGCCCCTTTACATGCAGCTGTGCCACAGGTGCTATAATCTCACAGGTCCGTGGTCTCCTAAGCTCTAAGGGGATAGATTGACTCAGTCTTTAAAACTGTGGCCGCGGTGGGTCAAGTTTCCTCTAAGACAGTGATTTTTGAACAGTGGGGACCAATCATGTGGTCTGCAGGCTGCTCCCTCCCACACCACTGTTCTTGCCCTTGATCAGTCAGATTACATTTCACGAAAGGTTTCTGAGGATTAAAAAAAGAAAAAGACATTTGGAAGTCCACAGGCTGATGGCCAAGAAGGCTGCAAGGCCAAGGGTTTGTGGACACATGGCTACCCTGGGCCTGGACTCTAGCTCTTCCTGCAGACAAGCCTTCCTTGAGCTATGGGAATAACACTGGTGTAGGGTCCAGTTACTCCAGGTTGTTCTTCCGGTTTCTAGTCAGGAAGTCTGAGTGTCTCGGGTTCTGCAGGCTGAGTGTTCTAGGCCACAGGATTTGCCATCTGGCTTGCAGAACTTGTCCCCATTTGTGCCCAAGACACAGCCAGAAAGCAGCTGAGCTAGCCCAGCCCTAAGAGCTAGCTAGGCCCTTAGGTTTAGGCTTCTGGGCAGCCCTGAACTTCCTGAAGCTTCTTCCACATCCGCCAGGACAAATACTTACGGAAAGCATCAATGAGCAAATGAGCAAATCGCCTAGTTTTAAAGCAGGACTGCAGGCTGAGGCAGGAGGGTCCTCACACATTTGCCACCAGTCTGGGTTGCAAAGTGAGTGCCAAGACCCTGTCTGAGTGAATTAATAAGTAAATTTGAGTATTGAATCGTGAATTCAAACAAAAAGGTCTCCGTTTCACTTTTAAAGGAGGGAAGGTATCAGATTCCCTGAGCTGGAGTTACAGGAAGCTGTCAGCCAGGCAGGGCAAACCTAAGTTCTGCTTTCTGACTCAAAATGGGTAAACTCCCCAAAGAAAAGTTACATTACAGCTCCACCATGAAGGGATGGAAAGACATCAGAAAGCATCTTCCTTTTTTCCTTCCTTCCTTCCTTCCTTCCTTCCTTCCTTCCTTCCTTCCTTCCTTCCTTCCTCCCTCCCTCCCTCCCTCCCACCCTCCCTCCCTTCCTTTCTCCCTCCCTTCCTTCCTTCCTTCCTTGCAATGTTTTAAAGACTTGTGTATTTTATTTTATGGGTTTGAGTGCTTGCCTGCAGATCTAGGGCTCTGGGGACTCAGATCCACTGGGTCAGGTGACAGAAACATTCTCCACAGCAGTGCCATAGGAAGAGCTGTTCTGCGGGATAGCTGTGGGGAAGAGCTGGACTCCCCCGAATTGCTCTGTGTTATCACTTACTCCCTAGAGTCTCTTGGAACTCTTAAATCATAAAACTCAGAATGTCCTATAACTGGAATGACAGGAAGTTGTCAGCCATTTGCCATGGGTGCTGGGAAATGAACCCAGGTCCTCTGGAAGAGCAGCAATCACTCTTTGCCCCTGAGCCCTCAACCCAATCCCTGTTACATGCTTGGTCTCTTCTCCTTGCTTGCTTCTCTATCATTTTTTGTTTTTTTGTTTTTATTTTGGGCTTCTCTTTAGAAACATAGGAACCAATGGTTCAAATTGCAAACAGGAAGCTGAGATGGAGATCTTTCTACCCTGTGTGTTCAGCAAGGATATTCCGCCATCATGTGCTCATGCTACAGGCCAGCAAATGCTTTCTCCTGGGTGTTATTTTGCATGGGCCACATAGGAAAATGTATCCTGTCTTGAGCCACAGTTGACAAAGGATTTCTGTCATATTTTCAGCCAGATTGGCCCAAACTGCCAGAACTCTGCCGGAATCAGTTGGAAAGTCACCCGACGGCCTCCACACTGCTGGATGGCCCGGGTGATATGGTGGCATCTCTTGCCCTGCTAAAGTCCTTCCTTATCCTGTGGAAGCAGCTGGAAGTGCTAAAGGAACACTGGGGCCGACTCAAGCTTCGAGGCCAGGACGTCGACTCTGGGCCCCTCCACAAGCAGTTCTCAGAGCTCTATGAGTGCGTACTGCTGAGAGAGACATCCGTGTCAGTAGGTGGAGCCTGGGGCTCGAGGGCTCCTCCCCCTTCACTGAGGGAGTCTTGGTCCAGGACGTTGGGGACACCCAGCTCTTCTGGGTCAGGTGACAGCTATTAACATTCTCCACAGCCTAGCTTTGAGGAAAAGCTATTCTGTGTTAGCGCTGGGGAAGAGCTTGGCCCTACCGAATTGTCCTGTGTTGTCACTTTCTCCCTAGAGCCCCTGGAGCTCAGGCTTCTCAAGTGACCCCTCCCCCCCATAGTGACTGCGAGCATCTTAGCTCTTAGGGTAGTAGGCTGCTGCTAGCCCCAGTGCCGAGCCGGAATGCTTGAGGCAGTACAGCCATCTGGTGACATGGTATGCGGCATAAGGCCTAGGTCCACAAGGTGGCGCCGACCTTGGCTACAGGCCTCATCTAGGGTGACATAGCTGGCAGGAAAGGCGTGTGTTTCTGCCATGGGTCTGTCTCCAAACGGGTACTTACTAAGCCCAGGCCCTCACCAACCTTCCCTTTGGCGCATTCAGAAGTCTCTGTCCTGGAAGTTACTGAGGTCATATTTCCTGTGAACTAGGACATGAGAAGATTTGTCAGCATTTTGAAGCAGGAAGACAGAAGTTGTGTGTACTCCACAGAAAAAGGGCTCGGGAGTTAATATTGACTAAAGGCGCGGTGGGTTTAGTCGTCGGTGTGTCTGTAAAGAGGTTGGGTGACAGGAAACTGAAAATGACTGACAGAGAATCTGAATGAGAAGCAAATAGGTTTATTTGCTAATTTCCATCTCTTTACTTTGATAGAGCTGACATTTTCTACCCCAGCATGAAAGCTTTGGCCAGGCAGATGGGTAAAGAAGATGAATTTGAAGGACTTATAGTAAGAAGCCAGTCTATTCTTCCCCCAAAAGGAGCCTCAGAAATTGAAATAAAAACTCAGCAGGTATGCAGAGTTCTCTTCAGTCTGCCTTTGAAGAGTTGCCTTGTGACACTGGCATCTGAAACTACGGTAAACACAAATGGTGGTTTCTTCCTGTTGGGATGAGGAGTTTGAGTAAGCCAAGAGGTACCCCTGGGTGTCTCCATTCTGTAAGTCTAGGTTCTTATTATTTCCATTTTCCTCAGGCCAACATCCTGCATCACAAGGAAGATGACAGAACTAATACGATCTTAAGTATAAAACCCAGCCAGTTCCCATCCACGTGGAAGCAAAATATTGAGCACAGCATTTGGAGGTGCTTTTTCTCAGAGAAAGAAAGTAGAGTTTTTGCACTGGCTCAGGTCATGCGCTAAATAATCTTCACTAGCTATTGCTCAGCTTCCTCAGAAGACCCAGGGCTTCTGGCTGTCCGAGCAACAGGGAAAGTCTGTGCTAGCTCCATATATGAGCTAGCCTCAGGAGACCTAGCACACTGCTTATGACCCTGAGCCCATTCCTCTGGGGCACCTTCGTTTCTCCCACAGGGAGAAGTAGACTCCATGGCATCAGGGTGAAATCCCCCTTGGTGTGTATATCTGCTTTCAGACTCTTTTGTTTTATTTATTTTTTTTATTTTTTTGTTTTTTTCAGGTGTTTCTTGTGTAGCCTTGGCTGTCCTTGGACTCTCTTTGTAGACCATGCTGGCCTCGAACTCATAGCCATCCCCCTACCTCTGCCTCATTGGGTGCTGGGCTTTCAGACTCTTCTTAAAGTAACAGCTAAGGAGATTCCTAGTGTCATTTAGAGATCACACAAAGGCATGAGATCACCTTGAACACGGAGCGCTCTGCAATTTAGTGGAATATAGTAAGAAGGGTTGGAATTTATCGATCAGGATAAGGGCTGTAAAAAAAAAAAATGTTGGTCTGCAAAGAGGTGTATTGATCCTGGGGAAGAACTTGATGTCCCAAAAAGACTGTTCCCGGAGAATCAATCTGAGGGAGAGGACAAACCCAAAGCCGTTTCTGTATTGCTCTTGGGAGCCCAGCATGCAGCTGAACTGGAGAGTGACTCTCAACCTATGTGTCTTCCAGCTTCAGAAACTTCTGGAAAGTTTAGAAATTCATATGATCCAAGAAGTACTGAGAAAAGTTCATCAAGAGATGACACTGTTTCTATCAGAAAAGTCCAAGGAGGAGTCTACCCTCCCAACAGGTAACCCATGCTTGTTTCACTACTTGAAAATTTAACTCTTTTTTTTTTTTCTAAATACAAAGTGTCAGCGATGGTGGAGGTAGGCACTGTCCCATGCTACTCCCCAAAACCCAAAGAGTTCACTTATCTTTTAGGGACCTCTGCTCAGTTAAAGACAGATTCTTGACTTCTCTAGAGAAAAGAATTGCAAGCTGAGCCAGGATGAAGCAGAGCAGGGGTTTATGAAGAGAGTTTTGTCATATTTGGGACGGGGCATAACGGAAAGAGAGGCGCTAAGAAGGAAGGGTAATGTACCGTGAGCGCATGGGTGTGGGCCTCTCCGAGAACAGTCTGTGCCTTGCACTTACTGTGCGCACTGCCCTCTGAACTATCTTAAAGGTTGACAACCCAAATAGGATCATAGGGTGGTTCCTGCAGATCGGATGGGGTCACGGCAGATAGGGCAAGCCCGAGGCCCAAGGGGGACAGGGGGAGAGGTAAGATGTCTTTACCCGGAAAGGAGTGAGACCACACTCGAAGGTCATGTAGGCTTAGTTCTTAAGCCCGTTCACGCTGTGCTAATATTTTTCTCTGCAGAAAAGGAAGATTGCCTCTGTGTTGGTAAGCTGTGCAGTACATGTTGCTGATTGAGCTGGGATTCTTTTTCAGTTTAGGCTGGGGTTCGGGTAATTGAACTTGAGTCCTCTAAAAAGAGCAGTAAGTGCTGTTAACTCGTTGAGTCCTCTCTCCACAGCTCCTGGAATTCTTAATTCCCAGCTGGTGAGAGGCTTCCGCCAGACTCTAGAAGGAGAGGGGCCTTCCACTTCCTGTGTGTCTTTCTATCCCATTATCCACGTAGCCATACTCACTGGGGACATCAGCAGTGGCTTACATGTGCAGTTCCCACAGTGTGTGTGTGTGTGTGTGTGTGTGTGTGTGTGTGTGTGTGTGAAGGGGCTGAAATAGGATTGCCATGGGTTTGAGGCCAATCTGAGCTTTTTAATGAATTCAAGGCTACACAGCGAGATCCATCTGATTTAAAAAAATAATAAAGAAATAAACCACGAACACAGGTACAAAATGAAATATTCCTTGGCTGTGGATGCAGTCCGGTGGTAGGGGCGGGCAATGCGTACGTAGAGTAAACGCACAGTCCTGGTTTTGATCTGCAGCACTACAAAAACAAGCAAGTCATAACTCACAGGGGGAAGATCCTTTTACATTAGAAATACCTCTAATACTTGGTATATTTCTTTTCACTTAAAAGGCTTTGTGTATGTGTGATTTTTGTCCTTGAAGCAAAGTGTCACTACGTAGCCCAGGCTGGCCTGAAACCATTGTGTCTTCCCCCTCATCCCTCACTTCCCCCCCACCTCCCCTCCCTTCCACCTCCGGAGTTCTGGGAGAAGCTTGGCTCAGGTTTTACCTCCTGGCCAGGAGGTGGAGCCTGGGTCTGGTAGGGGCTGGGTGTCCCACACACTTGCCCTGAACCATGGGTGGGACTGTGGGTGTAGCCATGGTACTGTTGAGGGTTTGCTCGGGCCCACACCCGAGGGAGAGTAAGATTACAGGGGAAGACAGAGGCTTTGGAAGAGAGGGAAAGGCTTTCTGTTACGTACTGGCAAAGATACTTCTCTTCTGCTCTTTTTGAACAAGTGGCCCTGAATTTTTATTGCACCGGGTTCTGTGGGTTATGGCGACTATCAAACATGTATTTCCTACCCCTAATAAGCTACGGAAAGATCCAGAACCTTTGAGCTAGAGAGGAGCTGAAGCAAAACCAATTAGGTTTTTCTTTGAGAAGAGGGCCATCCATGTCCACCAGAATGTTAGTGAAGACCTTGTCCTCACCGAAGACATCGCCTGTTTGTTTTGTTTTTTGTTTTGTTTTGTTTTTGTTTTTTTTCTCCCATAACCAGAGTCATGTTATTAGGACTCTCCAATGACTGAGTTCCATAAACAGGGCTTTGGGGGAAAAGACTGTGCAACGTGCGAGCTGACCACTCCTCCAAGTGTGGTTCCACGCGTCACCTGAGAGTGGACTGTGACACGGCTCCAATTACAGAACACGTCACAAAATACAAAGCCTCCTTGTCTGTGCTCTGTGATGCGTCCAGGTGGCTCCCTTCTGAATCCCGGCAGAAAAGCCACAAGCCCTGAGCAGGTGCAGCCACCTCGGAGGTTCAGACGTGTCCATGGTGGGGGTGGGGCGAGGGAGTGGTGCTTGCTTTGTGGCAGAGCCGCCCTGGGTGGGGAAGGCGGGGAGCTCACCAGCTGGGCTTCCGGAGAGCCTTGTAAAGGGCCAGCGGGAAGGACACAGAGGAAGAGTTATTCTGACTCTGGTCAAGCTGACACTAGTAAATCGCCCTGGCTACAGTGTATTCACTAGTTCTAGTTAGATCCCTGTTTGGATCTCATCCTTACGAATATTTAAAACTAAGTGCCTCTAGGAGGATAGTTCAGGACGTCTGCCTCGCATGTGCCAGATGCTGGGTTCAGAGCCTCAGCACCCACACAAGGAATAAAAGAAAATAAAATCCAGTGCTCATGGGTGCAGTGATTGCTACAGTTCGGTTTTATTTTGGTTTTGGCCTTTGGTCTGTCGAGCCTGTCTCACAATGAAGACATGTCTCAGTATGAAGTCAGAGATCCCTAATGGAAACAAGTGGGTCCCCACTGTGTGCCATGGGTGATGGAAGTGCATTTCTTCGGTTTAGTCTGTGGAGTGGGTACCACTCTAACTCCCAGGCCTAGCAACCTTGGAATCTCCACTCACTGACAGTTCGTTGCAGCTGAAAGAGACATGGCTTCCAAAGAGAGGCAGGGGCTTCTCCAGAGACTCGCATTTAGCTTTGACACCTCGGAGAGCCTGGAGCTGGCGGCTTCTCAGAGAAAGTTAGGACTGGAGAGACTTAGAAGTGAGTGATCCTGCAGGCTTACCGGCAGCTCCAGTCTTTTCCCTCAGGCTCTTTGCTTTCCCTGTTGACCAGACCAGGTTTGCCTTTGTTCTTGCCAAAGAGGAAAGCATGGACAGCAGAGAAGGCTCAGTCAGCGCAGTGCTTGCCACAAAAGTGGGAGGCCCTGAGTTCAGAGTTCCAGCGCCCATGTAAAGAGCCAGGCACGTCTCTAACCCAGCGCTAAACGTAGAGGCAGGAAGATCCCTGGAACTCACTGTCCAGGCAGCCCACTCGGGTTCAGTTGAAGACCCTGTCTCAAAATACAAGATGGAGAACGAATGCCGAGCTCTGGCCACCCAGGTTCTCACACCCCTGATTTTCTGCTTGTTACAGTGTCTGGCTGGCATACTCTACCCACTACCCTAAACTTCTCCAGGCTAGGGGCTGCTCTGCCCTTCCCCAAGCTGCCCTTCCCCATATAATCCAGCCATTTTGCTATGTTGGTCCTTTCCCCTTTTATCTACCCTGTACCCTCTTGGCCATCTCTTAGCTCAGGCTGCCCCTCTTGGCTGGTGGCTCCTCTCTCCTATTCTTTCTCCCCTCTCCTGACATGGCCCAGCTCAGTCTGGTCATGTTCACTCAACTCTTCCAGATTTCCCTGCCTCTGGCTATGTGCTCTCTTTTATCTGCAATAAACCTTCTCCTCCACCATACCTAGGAGCGGTCATGGCCTTTCCTTTTTTTGCTTTTTTTTTTTTTTTCACTCAGTATTGACTAATCACAATCTTTGACCTGCTTTTGTCCCTTTTGATCATCTTCTGCTCCAAACCTGCTTGTGCAGATTTTAGTTCTCGTTGAATTTAAGTGATTTCACTTAAAATTATACAAGCCAATGAAGTAAGAGTGTGTGTAGACAGAGATCTGTTATTTCTATAAAATCTAAGTTGGCTTGCTTAACCTGTGGTACATCTAGCTAATAGGATATTATTAAACATTAAAAGCAGACAAGCTGGGTGTGGTGGGGCACACTAATCCAAGCACTCAGGAGGCAGAGCAGGTGAGCCAGTCCGCATAGTAAATTTCAGGACAGCCAGGGCTACACAGAGAGACCTTGTCTCAAAACAAAAAGCAACAAAAGAAGTTCAACAACAACAACAAAAACCCACCCAAAATTTTGGGGCTGGAGTACTAGCACAGTGGGTAAGAAGGGAAGCCCGCTCATCCAGAGGATCAGAGTTCAGTTCCTGGCAAACACACTGAGTGGCTACAAACACCTGTAACTCCAGTCCCAGGGGATCTGACACCTCTGGCCTCCATGGGCACCCATATTCATGTACATATACAAACATATACATAATTTTTAAAATTAAAGAAATATTCTAAAAAGGAAACAAGTTGGAGGCTTTAATCTCACAACTCAAGAGGCAGAGGCAGGCGGAAGCTCTATGAAGAAAGAGTGAGCCACCAACCCGTAAACAGACATAGAGGATGATTGAATGCACATTACCTAAGGTTCGGGGAACATTGCAGAAAAAAGGGCAGAAAGAAGCAGGGGATCAGGGAGTTTGCTATAACTTTGTGTCTCCAAGTAATATCAGAAGCCACATACACACAGACACACACAAAGTCTCACCATTACGGCTCCTCAAATGTGAGCTGAACAAGGAAGACGCCAGTGAACATGCCGGCATGGACAGGGAGATGACCACGAGGCCTCAACCTTACACAAAAAGCTTCTGGCAACTGAGAAAAGGTGGGCATAGGAGAAGTGGCCCTCCCCAGGAAAGAGCACACCAGTTGGTCGTCCAGTGCCCAAAGGTCGGCCAACATTCATATAAGTAACATCATACAGACTGGACGGGGCATATTTAGAATATATATATGTATATGCATACATGTGTTTGTGCGCAATAACTAGTGAAAAAATGAGGCTATGAATTAGGAGATTGGGGAGGGATACATGGTTTAGAGGTAGGAAAGGGAAGAGGGAAAGGTTGTAATTATAATTTTTAAAAAATGACATGGATGGAAGAATAAATGCTCATCACTAAAGATGCTGTTTTGAAAATGGAGCCTTGTGTGGTTCCAACTCTGTGACGTGCTAGGAAAGTCGAAATCACTGAGGCAGTGAAACCACTGAGGCCAGTACTGCTGCCGGGGGAGCCATCGTGGAAAGCAGGCACAGGCAGGAAATGATTCTATGCAATGCTGTAATGAGGATGCCCGCTCTGCAGTCAGCACAACTCACTGAATGTGGAACAGCAGGTGTCCACAGCACGGACCCCGGCCCGGCCCTCCGCTGCTGCGGCTGGAATGTCAGCGGGGATGACCGTGACCGTGTCACTCTGTGGCGTGGCTGGTAGAGGCCGTGCGCAGTGGAGGGCCAGCGGTTTGTGGCCCTCTGCACTTTGCGGTGAACTGATTTTCCAAGAGTTCCGTTTCCATGCTGGCTCAGTGGCTCACATTCTAGCACTCCGAAGACAGGCAGGAGGATTGAAAGTTTGAGGCTATCATGGACTACACAGAAGGTGCCAGACCAGCCTGTCAAACAAACAAACAAACAAACAAACAAACAAGCAAACCTGAATGACGGTGTAGTTGTTTGGGGCAGATGACAGATTGGACAAAATTGTGAAAAGTTACAAAATAAGGTATTTGGATTTTCATAATCTTTAACTACTCTTTTCCCAAAACAAATATGCCTAGAAACTGCCATCTAACACATTACAGCGTACATTTGTCAGAGCCTACAGACTATGGGACCAAGAGTGAGCCACAGTGCATGTTGGGAACCACACCATGTTTGCAGAGAGGTGACCCAGCGCTCCAGCCACCTCTCCTTTGAAAGCAGTCTCTGCTTTAATTGGCTTCTTTTGATGAGGTGAGAGTGAACCTCAGGCTTCTGCACGTCAGGAAGTGCTCCACTGCCTAACTACATCCCCAACCCCCAACACCAATGCCTTGTTTTTTTTTTCTTTTTCATTCTTGAGTCAGATCTCGCTCTGTAGCCCAGCCTGTCCTTGGACTTGCCCTTCCTAAGCCTCTGAGTGCTAAAACTACAATACTGGATACCATACCTGGCTTGTTTTAGGTCAAAGTATAAGTGTCTTAATTACTTTTCTCTCTCTTTTGTGACAGTATTCGACAACTCAAGGAAAAATGGGTTTCTTTTGGCTCACAGTTGGAGGCTATGATCTGTCGTGGCAGGGATGGCATGCCGACAGGGCATGAGGCAGCTGGCCACACTGCCCCCACAATCAGGGAGAGCAAGAGAGAGCAAGAGGAGGGGGAGGGAGGGGGAGAGGAAGAGGGAGAGAGAGGAACAACAATGCTGGGCTTCACTCTCCTTTACATTCAGCCAAGGCGCACCGCCACCCTCTCTTGCTGGCCACGTTTAGGGTGGTTTCTCTCACCTCAGTGAACCTACTCTAGAAATTTCCTTATGGACATGCGAAGAGGTGTGTCTCCTAGGACATTCTAGATCCCAACAAGCTGACAATCAGCAGTGACCATCACAGTAAGTTTGAAAAACTCAGGGAAAACTTTGTGTAAAGTTTCCCCATAATCTAGACCCTCGAACCTTGACTCTGCTGTTATTGCTATCCTGTCCAAAAAGCAGTGCAGCACTTGGGAGATTAATATTTGGGGGTAGCGGTTTGAAAACCAGAGGAAGAAAAGACATGTACTTAGCTCAATGTGCCTTTCAAGCTCCCTGCTCTTTGAGTCCCTGGCTGTGGGGGAGGAGAGATGAAAGAGCATCGCTGGCTGGCAGCTGCCCCCCTTCAGCTTTCACTTCTGCCAAGGCTTACCCAGGGAGCGCTGGCATACAGGAAACCAGTGGTTCTGTGGGGGAAGTGCAGTGCTTCAAGCTAAGTGCTTCTGGGAGAGGAAGAAAGGGGAAGTGATTTGGCCGGCTAGAAATCAAACTCTCCTTTAGTCAAAGGGCAAAGAATAGAGAAAAAGATCATAATTTAACCGCAACGGTGGTGCGTCCTCCCTCCCTCTTCTGAACTCTGTCAAACTGTGGCTGCAGGCTGGGGAGAGAGCCTAATGGGTTAAAGTCCTTGTCACACAAAGGTGAATCTCCAGAACCATGTAAAGGTGGGTCCCGTAGCATGTCAGTAATCCTGGCACACCCCACAGAGAGATGGGACATGAATCCAAAGACGAAGCTAGCCTGGAACATGCCATGAGAAAAAATCAAGCAAAGACTCCAGAAAGAGGGGGGGGCATAGTCCCCTCCTGCTGCTTCATGCTGAAGGGCCACACACACATGTGCTGACAACGGATGTAGAGGCTGGCTTCTCCTTGCCAGGAATTCCTTGGATGAATTCCTCTCTCCCTGGCTCCAGCTTGTAAGTCCAGCTGTGTGTCTTAATTTGAACTCAAGTGCAGGGAGAAGGCTGGGAAGTCTTCCAGCTCCCAGGAAAAGGCTTTCCTTAGCTGGAGCCAGAGATAGCCCTTTCCCCCAAACTGGTCCCAAGCTAGAAGTGTGTGACAGACACAACTCCTCAGTGGGCCCCTGCCCACTGGGAAAGGCATCCAAGCTCTCGTCTAAAGTTTTCCATGACAATCATGAGCTCTGTCTCGTCTGTCAGACCTGGTAAAGCCCTGAGCATATTGAGAACCTTGATTTATAGATCTGTTCTGCAGAGTAGCCATCTGCAGAAGAAATAAGGATTCTCATTTTCAAAATCAAGACTTCTGTCTAGGGCTGGAGAGATGGCTCAGCAGTTAAGAGCACTGGCTGCTCTTCCAGAGGGCCCAGCACCCTCACAGCAGCTCACAACTGTCTGTATTTCCAATTCCAGTGGATCTGACTCCCTCACACAGACATATATGTTGGTCAAACACCAAGTGGCCATTTCTGGAAGATGGCAGCAGACACTTGCTCTTGTGCCCTGATCATCCAGTCAATATTGGAGTATGTGGCAGGAACTCTCATCTGAGAGGATCCAGAAGCCACAGCAGGAGGGAACTGGCTGGTGGGTGCAGGAGAAGAGAGCCATGGTGGAGTTGGCGTCTCCAACGTAGCCACAGCGTCTCCCTAAGATTCCTTAGGCCCCAGTATAGAGTGACATGATCTGGATGATGTTTTAGTCTAAACGTGTGTGCATGTATACACATGTGTACCGGGTACACGTGTGTGGAGGCCAGGGGACAGCGTCAAGTGTCACTCTCCAGAAACCATCCACATGCTTGTTGAAACTGGGTCCCTCATTAGGCTGGAGCTCACCCACTGGCCAAGCTCCCGGCCAGTGAGCCCCGGAGGTCTGCTTGTCTCCATCGCCCCAGCAATGGGCTAACGAAGCAGCTCGCACACCCGACCCACTTTTAGGGCATTTTCTGAGCGTTGAATTCAGGCCCTTTGCCTGCAAGGCAGGCGCTTGACCGCTTGTGCCATCTCTCCAGCCCTTGCCTGGAAACCGGAAGCTGAGAAAATATAAGTGGTTGGAGGTTGGGTCACTTCCGAGGGGGTGGTGATGGGTCAGGTACAGCGTGGAGCGTGAGAAAAAGAGCGGTTTGAATAATTGACAGGATGGAAGTTCTGTCTTTGACTTGGGCAAACTGTAGATGGAGCCATTTGGGGAGGGGACACTGACAGCTTGATTAGGCATAAATTAAGTTGTTCTAAGTGATCTTTAATCTAAAAGATGCCAGTCTAAACGTGAGGTAATTGTTATTATTTCTATTACTATAAATCATCGGTGAGAGGATGAGACGGCAGAGAATGTGTAAACACACAGGAATGAGTAAGTGGGAGGAGCCCGAGTCCTGGAGCCTTGGGAGTGTGAGGAGAAGGGCGGGCCATGAAGAAAGCGTGGGACACAGTGAGGAAAGCAGGGCTGAACCGTGTATTGGCACCGTGAGAGGGAACTTACAAACTGGGTAAAATGCCAGGGCGGGCGAGTCAGACCACTGACTTTTGGAGGAAGTTGTGGGTGTTTATAACAGAATCACTTTCCCCAAACTTGTGGAAGTGAAAACCAGACAAGTGGGTTTCAGCAACAACATTGCTTTCTGGGAATTTTGCCATCCAAAGGATGCAAAGAAACGAGGAGATAGATGGTGAGAGGAAAAGCGGGAGGAGGATTTTTATAAAACAGGGGCAAGGCTGTGTGTGCTGTGAACAGTCCAGGAAGGAGAGAGAAATGATGCCAGAGAGGAAAGACGGGAAATCTCCTGAAGCCACAGCCCTGCACAGGCTCCTTTTTTTCTATATATGCACTGTTCTATCCCTTGCCATTTTCACTTAATAACCTCATGTAGTTGGTGTCTGACCAATACCGCCAAAGTCTTCCATCAATGTTGCAAGAGTTTCCTGCTGAGAACAGTTGATAGTACTTCACTGGAAATGACCCCGAATGACAGACAGCTGTATTTCCCAAAACTCCTGCCACCCTAGGTAACACTGCTCTGAATAAATCCCTGCATACCTCATCTCCAGTGCGTCGGCCACGTTGCTCTTCCTTCACTCCTGATAGCTGTGTTGACTAAAATCATCATTCGGAGACAGGATATTAATGAAGATGGACATCGGGAAACGTCAAGAGCAGTGTAGCATTTCCTTCAGGGTTTTGGCAAGAGTAAAAGTATCATTCACTGGTTTTTAGGAGGGCTTCCTCAAATATTTCTGTTAAGAACCTTGCTAGAGATCTCCCTCACATCATGATGCAGATGGTTCTATGTCTGGATACTTCCCTCCCCTTCCTCACTGGCGTTTCTAAGTGGCAGGTTGTGCTGGCATTGTTAGAGAGCTGTGGAGTCTCATAAGACACCAGTCTGTTTTGCGATGTTCATGCTGATCTGTTTTTTTCTAGATCTTTGGAAACACCAAGTCATGAAAGAAAACTTCTCAGTTGGGAGGCCCCAGATAGTTGAGAGATTTGTACAGAGATTAATGGACAATTCCCAAAGTAATGGACCTGAGGTAAGCATTCAAAACGAACCACTGTGCTTCCCTTTAATTAGAAACCCAGTGAGAAAGGCCACCATTTAACACCTTCCTTGGGGGCCCCTACTCTCCCTGAGGATATGACTAGTGAAACTGAACCCCAAAAAAAACCACCACTCACCAATTACTCCATTTTGGAGTAATAAGAAAACAAACACTGGCTAGTCAAAAAATTTGCTCAAATGTTTATAAAGACAAACTTGGAACTTTTGAATGAGTTAGGTTTTTAAGCAGTATTTCCTGCTGTTGATTTGCTAGCATAAAAAAAAAAAATAAAGAGGAAAAAAAAAACCAAAAAGGCCAGTGATACCTCTCAGAAAGATTTTACAAGCCTACAGTTTGAGGAAAAAAGCCAGCAAAGACCATCAGCATGGAAAGGTAACATCTCATTCATACCCCAGCTTCCTCGACAGCAGAGGTGGCACCAGTGATTTTGTGTTTTGTGTCCTTTCAGAAAAGATACCTGGACTCATATAATACCCTAAACAGTAATGTTTAGCAGTATTTACCCTTGGCTGGAAGTGTTGGCTAACAACAGAAGAATCCCTTTTGACTGATTCTTAGGTTGAAAAGAACAAACATGGGTGTCTGGACACCAGTTTTAGGATCGCTGCTAGGAGTGAGACATACAAAATTACCTCCATCCAACCATTTTAAAAAAAGAAATTCTGTCCTGCTAGGCATGGTGGCACACACCTGTAATCCTTGCACTCAGAAGGCTGAGGCAGGTAGACTGAAAGTTCCAGGCCAGGGGACCAGCAGCATGGATCAGTGAGTAACCAAGCCTGGATGACCTGAGTTCCATCCGTGGGACCCACGCCGTGGAAGTGAAGAACCAGCTCCTGAAAGTTGCCACATCTGACCCACATACAAACTCTATGGCATGCTCAGGTGTATATGCACACAGACACACACTCACACACACACAGATGCACAGATACAAAAACATAGACAGACAGACACACAGAGACACACGCACAGATACAAAGAGACAAAGAGATGCAGGCACACAGATACAAAGAGGCAGACAGACAGACAGAGACACACACAAATAAATAATGGAAAGGGGTAAAGAGCTCGGCGCCAGGGGCAGTGACATGGCTGAGTAGGTAAAGGTGATTGCTGCCAAGCCCGATGACCTGAGTTTGATCCCCAGAACCCACACAGAGGAAGGAGAGAACAGAATCCAGCATGTTGCCCTTTGACCTCCACACACAAATATACACATACTAGTTAATTAGGTAGTTATTTAGTTAGCTAAAGGAAAGGAAATGAGAATTCTAGACCAGCCTGGGCTACAAAGCACGACTCTGTTTCAAAAAATTAGTAAATAAATAAATGAGATTTAAAACTTTAGAAATCTGTATAGGTAAAATGTGCTCTTTTTTTTTTTTTTTTTTTTTTAATACTACTTTCTCCAAGTTTGCATTTTTCTTAAGCTTTTGGAAATGTTCCCATGATTTTTATAGTAAACACTTTGGTTGGTCTTTAATTATGAGGTAGAGAATTCCCAAGCGTGGCTGGAGATGGGTTTCCTCCACACCCAGCCGATACACACGCTCACTTAGCCTTCAGCAAAACACTGAAGCACCATCCCATGGGCTGCTGACAGGATCCATCCCCCAGGGCCAGAGGCGTGTATATCTAAACACACTGTGGCTCACTCTAAATCGGAGAAGTGTGGGCTCAGGAATTAGAAGTGCTCTCTGCTCTTCCAGGGGACCCAGGTTCGGTTCCCAGCACCCACACCGGGCAGCTTACAAACGCGTTTACCTGTGTGTGGTGTATGGAATCTCACGCAGGCACACACACACATGCATAAAAAAAGAATAATATACAGATACTTCAAAATTTAAAAAAAAAAGAAGAAGAAGAAGTCCATTCTGACACGTGTTGCCACAAGGACACCTGCGGAGTAAAATGAGTCAGGAATGAAAGAATTCTTTTTTCCACATTTATCGGTGCCCCAAAGTGTCAGACTCACAGAGGGAAAAAAAAAAAAAAAAAAAAAAAAAAAGGTTGGATGGTGGTTCCCAGAGGTAGGGATAGGAGGGGCAAATTAGCATCCAGTGGGTCCCGATTTCATCATGTGAGATGAAAAGGAATTTGTCGATGTGGTAGCCGTGGTGCCATTACTTTATATTTGATGACAGTTAAAAGAATAAGTTTTATGATATATATATGTATGCATATACATGATACATGTATGTGTATACACACATGCACATATATGAACTCCTGCTCCTACAGACCTCTGTATGTGTGGCCTGTTGCTCACCCCATCACTGAGGATAAGGATGTTTGATTTTTTTTTTTTTTTTTTTTTTTTTTTTTGTAGGGGATGGAATGAGGTTTTCATTTTGAGACAGGATCTCAATGTGTAGCCCTGGCCGGCCTCCAGCTGACCTTTGACCTGCTCCCATCTCCCAGCTGCTGGGTCACAGTTAGGTGCCATCACACCCCTGTGCGGATAACATCTGCAGGAAGGAAATGTAGGACTGGAAGGCAGGGCATTGGTGTTGGTGAAGCTCGTCTCCTCTCAGGTCCATGCCTGGCACTCCACCAACCCCTTGTGCTGCCTCCGGGAACCGAGAACTCGCTCAAACAAATTGCCCCCGCTTGTGTTTGGTCAGCTGTTACTAAGTTGTATTTGGCCTTCCCTGTACGTAGATCTTCGCCATCGGTCTGACCCGGGAGAGCCACAGATGATGGTCCTGTCCCCGAGAGTGGGTCTTCAGATATCCCAGACCCGTTAGAGCCATTGCCAGGGCGGTGGAGTTTCTTCACGGTTCCGCAGGGGGGCCTTGCTCAGGAAGACTAGTCAAAGCGGGTGTCCTGTGGGGTGGTGGGCTGCGCATCTGTTGTGCCCCTTTCCTCAGAACATGCCAACCGGGAAGCAGAGCTTTCCTGAATCCCTTTACCGGTTGATTCCATACACAGCAGATTGGGCAGAGCCTGGGGGTCCTCAGCCCACCAGCCCTCTCCTAAATAAGCCCACCACTGTTTGGTAGGCACACACTGGGCATCCTGGTCAGTCTTCTTTAAATTCTAGCTTGCCTACTCGGCTCACAGTGACCTTGGCCTCAATGTTGCTCTTGGACTACTGCCTGGAAGTGTGCTGGGTTGGGCAGCCATATCACCCTGGCGCGGTGAGCTGCCCCTGAGGCCTGCATGTGGTACTCAGACACCATACTGCCCGCCCTGCCATCTGTCTTGTTCTTGATCACTTTGGTCCATTCTTTGGTCCTCTTGAGCTCTTTAAAGAGCTGCGTTTTTGGCATCTGGTTACTCTTCCAGCCCACTCTGAGCAGCCTCCCTGAAGTCATTAGTAGCCGTGAAGACAGGACAGGACCCCAAGTTCCCACACGGCCCACGCTAGACCTCCCAGGCTGTGCAGCTGTCTCAGACCGGATATGCCACGGGCCAGGATCGTGCGCAGTTATTCTGCCGTCCGGTCATATTCTCCCAGTCCTCTTCTCAGGCATCCTGCTGAAAGCCAGGGAGACTGTCTGCTCTGTTTCCGAAGACAGTCAGGTGAATCTGGCAGATTGAAAAAACAAAAACAAACAACAAACAAAAAACCTTGTGTTGTCTAGTCTCTTTCCAGTTTCTAGAAACCCAGCTTCCGTCCAGCCATCACCAGTTCTAATATCCCCCCCGCCCTTTGAGGCAGAACTGGAGCTTATTAAAAAAAGAAAAAAAATTAATTTTTAGATACATTTATTTATGTATGGGAAGAGGGCGAATGGAAGCCAGGGTGGGTCTTCCTGACAGAGGTGTTGTTAAGGCCAAATCTTGAAGCACAAGGAGGAGCTGGCAAAATGAAGGCAGGCAGGGGAAGGAAGGCACAGGAGGGCAGGGGAGGGGAATGCGCTGGAGCAGGGGACAGGGCTGAGTGGCCCTGTGTGCAGCCCCTGGGAGCCAGTCTCAGAGCCAGTGGGAACTCACCAGCAGACTCAGTATCTTAGGGACCTCCAAAATACTTTTGTGCCTGATACTAAACAAACTGTTGTGGTGGGTGGGGCGGCACATGCCTATGAAGCCAGGGAACACATAATAAGCCCTGGCCTCACCCAGGACTGGCTCTCTTGAAGAATCAGTGCACAGGGCAAGCTACTGTTCCTTCAGCCAACACCGTAGCCAAATTCAGGTTTAAATGCCTCATAGAGCCAGTCCAGAGGAGGGCGGTGGTGCTCGCTGGGGAAACCTGGGCCAATGTGGGGGAGGTGGGAGGGTGAAACCTGTTTCAGCTGCAGGCTGAGTGCAGTGTGTAAAGTCTACCTGGAGCCTTTCTTTTTCACCTGCCATCCACAGCACCCACCGTGAGGACCCATCTCAGGCACGCACCCCGATCCCCCGTTCCTGTGAGTGTACCTCACCCCCTCACCCTGCTTTCAGGTTGCTCCCAGAGCTCTGTGCTTGAGCCGAGCCCCTGGAGAGGATCCCTCTGCCCAACAGCTGTTGCCTCTTGGAGCCTCCTGGGAGAAAGAAGCAGGGCGCTGTCTCTAGCTAGCCTTGGGAGGTTCTTAAGGGCAGAGTTCTGACGACCCTCGCCTCATAACGCCATCCAAACTCAACAGGGGCTCCTCACTCCTGCTGTGGAAAACCTCTCCTGGTGAGGGAGCCCATGAAGAAGGGACATGGCAATGACAGTGGGCCAGCCCACATCTTCAAGGGCTATGGCGGCAGGAAGTTAATCTGGGAAGGTCCAGGATGGTGATTGTTAGACAGCTAGTATAGGCCTCCTTGGCTTGTGCTCACTTGGGGAAGGATTCCCAAGCCAGTAAAGGGTGAGTCACTGGGCGGGGCTTCCAGCATGACCTGAGGTGAGGTCACTGGCCACACCCTCACTGACCTCCAGGCCATGGATCCTCCTGGCTTCAAGCCTTCAGCAGAGTAAACCAGAAAGTTCACTTTGCCATCACTAAGCTTTTTCTTCATGCTTTTAAAAGCTCCTGTATCCTTGGCATTGCGTCCATAGCTTCCTCAAGCTCATTGCCCAAAAGTGCAGAGGGTGGCAGGGTGGTGGCAGAGGGTGGGGTACCTTTCTTCTACTAGAAAGCATAGTAAGATCTGTTTGCGTTAACTCTCTGTACAATTTCATTGTGCTTTCATCTCTCCACTGTGACACAATTCCCAACATAATTTGAAAGGGAAGTAGTTTGTTTTAACTCATGGTTTCAGGAGTTCACATGAGCTAGCTTGGTTGCTCTTGGGCCTGTGGCACGACAGAAATATGGAGGAAGAGCGTAGCACAGGGAAGCTGCTTGTCTCAAGGCAGCCAGGAAGCAAAGAAACAGAATAAGGAGACTGGGCCAAGATTGCCTCTTCTAGGCCACAGCCCCAGAGACCTGCTCTCTCTCTGTCTAAGCATCACATTCTATTTCCATGACTTCTGAATAGTGCCATCAAGTCCTGATTCCATCACTCTGATGAAGCCTCAACCCTCAGAAGTCCAGTTACTCCCCCACAAAAACCGCAGCTGGGGCGCTGGGCTGGTTTTGAAATTGTCACAGAGAAAGCTCATGGAAGATCATAGGTTGCAGCTTGGGCTTGACCCCGCAAGATCTCAGATACACACACAGGTACTGACTCAGACACAGAGGGACACACACCTTTGCTCAATCAAACACAACGTTGGCTGGTTTCTATTGTCAACCTGACACAACCTAGAGTCACCTGAGAAGACAGACCCTTGAGTGAGGGGTTGCTTTCATCACACAGACCTGTGGGCGTGCCTGCGGGGAACCATCTTGACAGATAATTTTTGCAGGATGTACTGTGGGCATCACCACAGCAGGCATGTGATGCTGGGCTGTGTAAGAGTGATGACTAAGCCTGGGGCATCAGGAGGTGGGCCAGAGAGCGAGCCAGTAAGCACTGCTCCTCTGTGCATTCTGCTTTGAGTTCCTGCTAATCGCCCTGCCCTGACTTCCTTAAGGACAGACGGTCACCCAGAAGTGTAAGTGAAGGAAATCCTTTCCTCTGAAAATTACTTCTGACCACTGTTTCATCAGAGCAAATGAGATGAATGGGGGCAGACTCATGGGTCCTGCCTTTCCCAGACAGGCTCCCAGTTCTCTCCAGAGCCCAAATCTAAGCTGCTGGGAGGTGATTCTTTCCTCTGTCCCGTCATGACTCCCTACAGGAGTGTACCCAGTCTCCTACAAGAAGAGAACCATGTGCTTTAGAACAGAACAAGATGCCCCACACTTCAGAAAGCACCTCCCCCAGCTTGCCCTCTCCCTGGGACATAGGGACATGTCCACGGGGAAACCCCAGCCTTCCATCTGGACCAGCAGTTGTCAACCTTCCTAATGCTGAGACCCTTTAATATAGTTCTGCATGTTGTGGTGAGCCCACAGCTGTAACATTATTTTTGTTGCTACTTCTTAACTGTAATTTTGCTATGAATCATCTGTGTATTCTGATGGTCTTAGGCGACCCCTGTCAAAGGGTCATCTGCCACCCATAGGTCAAGAACCGCTGATCTAGACCTACATGTGTCTCCTCCCTGGACTGTATTCCCCAGAGGGAGAATAGACCTCACTGGTGAGGTGGTTTCTGGTGTGGCAGAGACGAGAGGCAGCTGTGTAGAGAGAGGGCCAGGTGGTTTGGATGGGCAAGGTGAAGAGTACACCGTTCAGGCATGTTGGGGTCCTGAGGTAGGAAGGTGAGGGGATCAGACTGTGAACTCTGACTGGGGAGCTGCTCTCCCTGTCTCCACACTTCATCATAGAGCTCCAAGTGGTTTCTGGAAGTGCCTGTGTGTGTATCTGAGATCTTGTGGGGTCAAGCCCAAGCTGCAACCTACAATCTTCCAAGAGCTTTCTCTGCAACAAGTTCAAACCCAGCCACTGAGTTTGTCTTCTTTGAAGGTAGAACTAAATTTTGCACAATAGGCCAGCCTCTGATTCTTCTCTTGCTCTCAGCTCTGCAGATGTTCAGAGCAGAGCTAAAAGAGGCCTCGCAGGACCTGAGCCAACCAAGGGTTCTGTGTTGAGGGGAAATGAAAATGTGTCCGTGAGCCAAAGCAACAACCCCCTATCCCCGCCGAGCCCTGACCTGGTGTGGCTGCCAGAAGTCCTGGTGGAGCTCCTGAGAGAGACACCACTGCCTTTCAGATCACTTTCAGGAGGGAGCACCTTGAAGCCTGCCTCCTCTCCTTGGGTTGCGATGTGATGGCAAGAGAACGCAGCAACTTCGAGACCTACTCCATGTGTTACGAGCATGTGCTGCAACACGCCAGGGAGAAGCTCAGCCAGAAGGAGCAGGTAGGTACCCGGAGAGCTGGTAAGGAGAAAGTGTGTGGCCGTGGAGGCCCCAGGGTCACTAGGCAAAGAAACTCTGAGCAAGTGAGCAGAGCTGTTCTTACGCCAAATCTGGGGGAAAATGGCACATGCCCCGAACTTTCTCTCCCATTGGTTCCTTTTCTTGGACCCTGGCATTCTCGGTTGCTAAGGTGACAGTCATAGCAGCACTGGGATGTAGGCTTTAGAGGGTTACCATGGATACAAGAGGTGATCAATAAATGGAGTGAGCCTTTGTGTGTGTGTGTGTGTGTGTGTGTGTGTGTGTATCTTCATATCAGGAGTCGGTTTCAGTGATGAGACCTTCTTGAAACTGAGTCCCAGTGCCCATCAGAATAGTCATTGTTTGGAAATAGGTTGGATCTGAAGATCCATATAATTTTATTTTACACTCAAGGGGAAAATATGAAAGTGTCCAAAAAACTGAATGAAGCATTAAAGTATCAGTCAGCGAGTTCCGGGCTTGCCCACACTTGCTGACTTCCCCGTAGCTGAGCTCTGCATCATTGTGGAAGCCTGGAAGCCACGTTGTAGGTTTTTGTTTGTTTGTTTGTTTGTTTGTTTTGTTTTTTCTATAATTTTAATTTGTGTGTGCATAGGTGTACATGTTCATCTGCCAATTCAGCTTGGCTAGCTGGCCAGCAAGCCGCAGGGATCCACCTGTGTCTGCCTTCCCAGAGCCGGGATTCCGAGCATGTCCCGCTCGTCCTGGCTTGCGGGTTGTCTCCTGATGTTTTGTTAGAAACTCCAAAGTTTAACAGCCCATAGCGGTGCAGCCTCGTAACCCCAGGACTTGGAAGTCAGGAAGATGAGAGGGTTAGGATCACCCTCAGCCATATACTAAGTTCAAGGCCAGCCTGGAAAACATGAGGTAGGGGAAGAAGTGCAGGGAGGGAGACATGGAGACAGAGATCCCAACGTCTACCAAGGGGCCAAGCTACTGTCAGGAGCAGGAGCAGGGGCAGGGGCCAGCGGATCTTGGAATGAGGCTGTGTAGACACTAACAGGAAGGGTTGCAAGTGCGCTGCAGTGCCCGCGTGCGTGCATTCATTCCTGCGTGTGCCTGTGTGTACGCGTGCGTAAGGTAAGGTCGTGTGTGCGAGTTGAGCTGAGCCCTGCTTTCTCTTCCTCAGGAAGCAGACTTGCTTCGAGAAAGTCAAGTTCCTCCTGAAGACTGTGTTGGCCAGGTAGGTCAGTTACTACACTCTTCGTCTACCGGAAGCTCATGTTGCCTGCAGAAATCTCGTCCACAGGGGCCCAAGCGTGCACACTCAATTACTATAATTTCATTTTGGGTTAAATGCTCTTCCTAAGGGGTAATTTTTTTCTTAAGTTTTTTTTTTTTAAGTTGTCTTCGTAATGTATTGTTTGGGGAGGGGGTTGGTTTTGTTATTTTGTGGTTTTGTTATTTTGAATTTTGTGGGCATTGATAGTTTTTTTAAAATGCCAGTTAGGGTGCATTTCAAAAAATGAAACAAACAGCATTTGATTGAGGGCTCCAGGGAAGGCCAGTGTGGAGACAAAGGCCGAGACTGTTGAACGGCTTATCAGAGGTGCTGTGATAAAGTACCAGCTCTTTGGAGCTCACTCATTCATCATCTTAAGAATGGTCTATGCAGGGTGAGGGCCTTTCACCACAGCACAAGGGAGGCAGAGGCACATGAGTGTTAGATGTGTCTGACACTGCCCAGGACTGTTGAGCCGCCTCTACACGGTTGGCTCTTTGCCTTCATGCGACTGCAAATGGAGACTGTGCTAGTCTAGCAGGACCTATTCTGTTACTTGGAATCCCTTTGCTGCTCCCCATACGTCATGTTGAATATTCTGCATTATTTGTAATGCTAGGTTGCAGATCTCAGTCACGACATGATCATGGAAATCACTGCTCTGAGAGCGAAGCTCACCGACCTGGAAGAGGAGAATCTGGATCTGAAGAACCAGATTAGGAAAGAAGTCCAGGAAGAATACAGAGCGTTGGTGCAGGCTTTGTTTATGAGCTGTTCACACATAAAGGTGAATGACCTGGAAAGCCCCATGGCTGCAAACCCAGGGACCCATAGTGGAATGGACTTTGAGGTTCCAAGAGATTCTTGAGCCCCTAAAATTTCTAGCTGGAAAGTTTCTTTTGGTTGGGGGTTTTGTTCTGTTGAGATATGGTCTTGTTATGTAGTCCTGGCTGGCCTGGAACTTGCTATATAGCCCATGTCAACCTCAAAGTCAAAGCAATGCTCCTGCCTCAGCCTCCCTTCAGCTGGGATTATAGACCACTATAGATTATATAGATTATAAATTATATAGACTATAGATTGGGCACCACCGCACCTGGCCAGCTGGGAGATTCTGCTGCAGCGAGAATCAACAGTGGGTTGTCCTTGTTTCATTTTGTTATTCCGACATCTGTGTGTGTTTGTCATGTGTTAGTATGCACAGGCCACAGCACACACGTGAAAGTCAGATGGCAACTTGTGGAAGCCGGCTCTTCTTCCTTCTACCTTGTGGCTCCCAGGAATCAAACTTCGGCCGTCAGGCACGGTGGCCTGCGCCTTCGCCCTCTGAGCCGACACCAGCCTGACTTGTCATTACTCGCTCAGGATAGACACTAGGTTTTCGATAGCTGAGTTGTTTATTCCACATCTAGCTGCTGCTGGAAAGAGGCAGCATTTGGCTTTAACTTCCCACCAGTGTCTATCACTGTTATTTCCGTTGAGTGAGACACCCAAGGAGGTGGGCAAAGAACGTCAGAGTTGCCAGGCTTGAGCAGACTGAGCGGCTGCCTGAGAGCCTGTTGGGCGGGCTCAGTATCTGAACGAGCTGTCACGGACCCAGCTAAACCCTTAACATGCCCTCTGCCTTTCTGCCACGTTTAGAATTAGGGAGCTATCAACATCTCAAACAAGCTCCCCCCTAACCCCCAAAAAAGAGGAGTGATGAAACTCCATGTTACATCATTTTGGAAGCTAGTCACTGTATAAAGTTGTCGGAGCGTCGGGGAGACAGATATCCTATGCCTAAAATCGGGGAGCTTGGTCCCGCTGGCCTGTGAATTTCCGCACACGCCTATGATGCCCCAAGTCCACAGCTTTCTTTCCCCAGCCCTCTTCTGCATTACTGGATGCTTTCTAGAGCCAGCCCCATGTATTCCCTTACTGCCTTCCCCTCTCTGGGAGCTCCAGGACAGACCCCGGGGTTGTTTAATTAGCAGGAGACTCCCACAATGCTCTAGCTTTGCCTTTCCAGGGAGTATTACAGAGTTCTTCTTCCTTGGAAAATACAAATGATTACAAATATTAGAAGACCAAATTCAAGCTGTACTGGGCCTAGAGTCTTCGGGAGGAGTCTATGAAGGCTTGCTTTCCTGGGCAATCATGCGGGCATAAAAAGATAAAGAGTGCTCTAAAGTTTTCCCAGACTGAAGGAGTTCTACCAAATCCCCAGAAATAGGGAATCCTTGCCCAACTCCCTGGTCCCAGGGTAATGGCGATTTTCCCACTGGTAACCAGCGGCCAGGCTTCCTGACAGTTTCTAACTGGGCATTGTCCTCCTGCCTTCCTCTCCGAGGAAGTGGTTCAGAGATGAGAAGGATGCTAATATTCGCATTTCTCAGGCCCAGGACTCTTGAGCATCTTAGTCTGTTTGGGCTGCCATGACAGAATGCCACAGACCAGACAGCCAAAGCACAGAAGTTTATTTTCTCATGGTTCCAGAAACCAGGAGTCAGAGAACAGGGTTAGAGCCTTCTCCCCGCAGAGAGAAAGAAAAAGGTGACCTTCTCTGCTCTTACAGAGCACAGTGTCCCTGGGACAGGCACCCACTCCTATGACCTTCTTTTAACCTCAAAAAGATCTTGTCTCTGCAGGCATCTGAGGTTGAATACGTGAATTTGGGTAGACCATGATTCAGTTCGCAGGCCTGAGTCTGCAGTTATGCTTACATAAGAGTTCTGTGTCATCATTAGCCACAGCCATTCAGAACAGAACATCTCATACCCAGGTTTCCCCTGGAGTCCAGGGAGGCAGCCAGCCCATCGTCTTCCCTCACTTATCTATATTTAATGAAATTTCTCAGTAGTTGCTCATCTACAATGAGAGTGTCATTAGGTTCTGCTCTGAGACAATCTGGGAGCCAAAAAATAAAAATAAAAAATTCCATCTTTTCTAACTAACCTGATTTCCTGATTTAGCCAGTAGATTTTTCTCTCTGTTACCACACATGGTTCTCCCCACTGTCGGACTGAGACCCGGATCCTGTTTCTTTCCCTCTGAGTGTCCAGGTACCCAAGGGTACAGGTGCAGGACTTGAGGGATGAAGCTTAGCTTGGGGGGGTGGGGTTGCAGAATCCCAGTCTAGCGGTGAATGCCCGGAGGGACAAAGCCTTCTCCCATAGAGTTCTTTCAGTGATTCAGCCCTTTGGGGAATACAGCTGTCCCAGTGATACAGTTCTTTTTATTGGGGGGGGGGATAAGGACCTTGGGGAAGTGCGTAGGGGTTTCCGGGTGAGTGGGTATCACTGGCTGGGGCTGAGGTGGTGGGGGTTGGGGGGGTCACAAGGTGTGCAGGGGCATGCCGGGGCATGTAGGCACAGATGGAGAGGGAGCGACCCTTACTCCTGCTGTCTCAAGATTGAGATCTTCAGGGTCTGGACACATCTTGACCTCATTCTAGCTCCAAGCCAGTTTCCCCCCTCACACAGTCCACATGCTTAACAACCCACTGTCCTCAACTTGCCTTGGTGTCGACAAGCAAGGCACGCTCCAGGACATGTAGGTGAAAATAAGATGGAACTGTGTTGATTAAAGACAACGCTTAAGGGCCCCTAATGTACCTGCCTTGTAGTACATGTGAAGAAAACTGTCTAGACAGAGGGCGTTTTAATCCTGCCCTTCACGCCACACAAACCCATTGGACTTCCTTAACCCAAATCTGCAATTTTCAGGAGCAGCTGGACAAAAACCAGTTTGATTTGATCCAGAAAGTGCGTGAGCTCATCGGGGAAGTGAGAGCTGAAGGGATTGCCAGCGTGAAGCAGCTAAAGAAAACCTGGGGCTCTGCCAGACCTGGGGAAGGAACGAAAGAGAACACAGCCAAAGTTCGTGATCTCATGCTGCGTTTCTTCCCAGCATCCAGCCCACCCGGCATTCCACAAGGGTCTCCCCAAAGCACTGTAGCCAACGTTTTAAAGGGTGGGGGACAGGGGCTCCACCTGGTCGGATGCCTTTCTGGAAGGCATGCTTCTGGTATTAGGAGCCATGCCCTTCTGAAGGGAAAAAGGACTGAGAGTGGCCTTTTCTAAAAGCAGGCCTTCTTGGCAGGAGCAGCTGCATGCCTTGGAGCCGGACAGCAGCAGCACCCTGACTGCTCTAGTGTGCAAAGCTCGGAGCCTGGGCCGCTGGCGTCTGGCTGTGCAGCAGGCACACTTCAGCCGTCAGTTGAGCAGAGCAGAGAAGGTGAGCTTTGAAGAGAGGCCCTTTCCCCGCACCCCCAGCACACTCACCAGCCATACTTCTGCAGCTGCCATGCGGGTGGCAGGTGGCAGGTCCAGCCGTGCTAAAGAATCTAGCAATTGGCAGTTTCCACCTCCCCTGAGAATAGGCAACCTTAGAGCCTTGGGCGAAATAGAAAACAGACAGGCACAACCAGGCATAGAGATGAAAGGGAAGAGACAAAAGGGAGATGTTTATTAAGGGCACCAGGCTGCTAGCTTTGGATTTTGTCTGTGATAATCTGAGGGAAATGAGATAACAAAATAGAGGAGAGTTTGCTTTAAACACATTGAAAGCAAAGCACATATTGGTAGTGGTTTGGGAAGTTACACTTTCCCAGAATCTGGATTTACTCTGATCTGTCCGGCTATCCATAACTAAATTCACACAAGCAACAACCAGTGAGAGCTCCATTTTATAAGTGCTAAAGAAGGGCCAGAGGTCTTAGCTAAAGCTTGAGACTAAAACCGCAGAAAAGAAACTGACTTCCTGTCTCACTGTGCTTGCAATGTTTGCAGGAATCTATTCACAGGAAAAAGGAGTGCTTGAGAATCAAGCTAATGGCAGAGCAAGAAGTGGCTTTACTTCAGCAGCAGCTGCTGGCTGCCAGGCAGGCCCTGACCAAAGCTCAGACTGACAACAGGAAGCTGTGGAGGCAGCAGAATACCCAGGTACCTAGAGCCCCAGAGCTAGCCAACCTGAGCATGGCCAGGAGAAGGGACACAGTGGCTACTGGGGAACAGTCACCAGAGCTTCCTAGCATGTAGAATAACACCGATTCGAGAAGCATGATGTTGGTTCCCCTAAGAAACCCAGGACAAGCGGCTGAGACGCCTTTTAACATAGCAAGGCAGGTTCTCCCAGCATCTTAAATACCTGTTACAGAGTTCTGGCTCCTCTCAACACTTCTCATCCCCCTTCCCAGAACCCCTCACTTCTCCCAATCCCCAAGACCCTCAGCCTCCCTCTACCAAGCCTCTGCAGCCCTTGAGCTTTGCTTTCCTTTTCCCAACTTCTTCTTTTCTTCTATATAACCAGCCCTTTGGGTCATGAGTTCTTTTGCTCTCTTGGTTCTCGGCTCTCTCTAGGTTTCTTCTCTTTGCTTCCTCTCTTCCTCTCTCCCTCTCCCCATCCTCCTATCCTCTCATGTCCCAGTTCAGTCTGTTGGCCTTGTCTAGTCTACTGCTTTCTCTCTCTGCTCTAGAGTCTTCCAGATGCCTCCAGCTGTTCTCTCCCTCATATCTACAATGAAAACCTTCTCCCCAACCATACCTAGGAGTGGTCTATCCTCATTTTCATTCAGCTGGAACACAAACAAATTCCAAATTGGCACTACACTTTCTTCCTCTTCCTCTTTCTTCTCTCCCATTTTCACTTGTTTGTTTTGTTGAGACATAGTCTTGCTTTATAGCTCAGGCTGGCTCGTATCATGCTCAGTTTCATCTTTCTTTCTTTTTTTCTTTCTTTCTTTCTTTCTTTCTTTCTTTCTTTCTTTCTTTCTTCTCTCTTCTTTCTTCTCTCTCTCTCTCTCTCTCTCTCTCTCTCTCTCTCTCTCTCTTTGTAGATTTTTATCTAGAATCTGGTTTCTCCAGAGATATTTTAAGGGTGAAAACAGAGCCCAGTCAGAAACCCCCAATCAGCACTGATGCTTCTATTGGCGAGTCCTTGTCTCTTCAGAGTTGAACCTGTTCACTGCTGATCCTCATGAGACAGACTTTATGGCAAAGCAAATGTAGCTTGTGGCCACTATGAGCATGTGGTGGACAGTTGATTAGCATGGATATCGTCATCCGATGCTTGGTACTGAGAAACTCAAGTTCTTCCCCTGATAATATTCTGTAGGGACATTAGCATGACCTGGCTTTTGTTTTAGTTTGTTGTGGGTTCTGGTCCCTCTGACTGATGCCTCAGGGTTCACAGTAGAATTTCCAGTCCAGGAAGTGCCAGGTGAGGCAAGATCCTAGGGGTCTCGGTGCTTACTAGCCCAGGACCAAACAGTCAGGCTATTGTTGCCAGAGCCAAGAACAGCATAGGCAGCCATGCTGATGTGGCAGTTATGTCTCCGAGCCTCAGCTGGCTCTGCTGCCTGCTGCTGATTGCTCTGTTCTTGCCTTGGCCCTCCCTTGCTCCAGGCTCAACTGCTGAGGGAGCTGGAACATAGAGTGACTCAAGACTCTGTCACTCGGCAGCAACTGGATATCATCAAAACATCCGGCATGGAGAAGCTCCTAGAAGACGTACAGCAAAAAGAACAACAACTGCAGCTCCTGACAGAAGAGGCCAAGCAGACTTCCAAACTAGGCCAGCTGCAGCAGAAGAAGTTGGACAGAGACCTGAGGCAGGTGAGGCCTGCTGAGCGTCGTTTGCCAGGCCTGGCCTCTCTGCTACCCTCATGCCACTCTCTCTAGCTCTGTCAGTTCTAGACACACCAGAAAACGATTCTCTGTATGCCACCCTGGGGCAGCTGCCTGAGCTTGACTGTTCCAGGCTCAGAATCCCAGCACCCTGGTGATATCCCCCGGAAAACATGTTTCCGCACAGCTCTAGCCTTTGAACTGGGGTCTTTTAGAAAACTACGAGCCATAATCTGAGCCATACACAGCAAGTGTATGCAAGCTATAATGAGAGGTTTTTATTCTAGTGTGTCTAGAAATGCGGAGCCAAACATGAAAAGCAAAAGCAGATTTCAGACATAATTGTATAACTATACCCACCCTCCACGGAAATAGAAAAAGTTATTATAATGCGGGTATGGATTATTCAAGCCTCAATAAGCAGACTACAGAAGGTAATTCAATAAAACCTGACACGGAGGTGTTTTACACTTATCTGTGGGTGAATAAAGCCCTCAGCTCATTCACTAGAGATAAAAAGAGACAGAAAAGCAATTTGATGAAAATTAAATTGAACTATTATTGGTCAAGGGTCTCAAGGGCTCAAGGAGAAGTTTGATGAGACAAATTAAATTGAATTGAGAGAAACTAAATAAAATACTTTCAAAGGAATGGAGAGAGACAGAATGGAGCTGCTGCAATTTTTTAAAAAATTAGAATTTCACATGTATAAACTTGGCATGGTGACTGATGTCTGTAATCCTAGCACTGGGGACACTGAGGCAGAAGGATTGCCATGAGTTTGAAGTCATTCTAAGCTACATAGAGAGAAATACCTACAAAAAAAGTTGCCTTTCAAACCTTGTTCTGCTAAGGCGGACTGACTCTGAGTCTTACGGGGGAGTTGTGCAATACAGATCTTATTGGCATGTTTTATTTTATCAGAAGTCTCTTGCTATTTAATAATCCCTGGCAGCGCAGGATTCCATGGAGCCTGCTTCAGACAGGCTTTTGGTAACAACCTTTCAGGTTTACTCGGGAAGCCGCGTCAGCCCAGGAAGCTACTTTTTTCTCCCAAAGCTAGAAAAAAAAGATGATCGGATACTAACCTCATAATGACCATTAATTAAAAAACCCTGCTGCCTGGCCCTTTGCTCCACCAGCCACTGACTATAAAGAGAGATCTACTGCCTGCATCCTCCAAGCCTGCTCATCTACAACTACTTACCTGTGTTGTATTTTCCTATTGCTGTGACAGAACACCTGACAGAAACAACTTAAGGGAGGAGGGGTTCTTCTGGCTCACAGTTTGGGGGGACACAGTCCATCACAGCAGAGAAGGCAAAGGTGGCATAAGTGTAAGGCTGCTGGTAACACTGCATCCCGAATCAGGAAGCAGAGAGAGGATGAGAAGTAGAAGCAGACTACAAAACATGACTCCAGTGAGGTACTTCCTCCCTTAAGGCTCTGCTTTCTTAAGGTTCCACGGCCTTGTAAAACACAGTCTGGGGACCAAGCATGTAAACATATGAGCTATGTGAGGCATTTCACATTCAAAGTGTATTAATGTTAATTTTCCTTATCTTATTTATTTTATTATTTTACTTATTGTTGTTTAACTGTTGTTGTTAATTATCTGTTTAATGGCAAGAGATTCTGCCAGAAAGAGGCAGAGACACACAGAAAGACAGAGACAGACACAGAGATGAGACAGAGAAACACACACACACATAACTGAAATAAGTATCTTGAGATTTTTCTCAATAAACACTCATGTCCATCAAATCTGCTGGCTCTTTCTGTACAACCTCTACTTCTCTCTGACAGCCCCTGGGCTTCTTCACACCAAGTGGCAATTATCAGCCAGCAAAAGGCCACCAAGAGCCCCCTCATGACAGCAGTGGCTTCTTTGGCCTATCTCTAAGCTCCACCTCCATGGATGGCTAATGTGACTGACTTCAGAGAACACCCCTTATCTGTTCTGTGCCTGGAAAGGTCACTTTATTGCTTAGGCTTTGGCATCACACCCCCAGCGGTAACCATGGCTGGGTGACCTTGACACTTTTAATGCTCTTTCTGTGTTAGTTTCTCAGGGCAAAAGAGATAATATACTTACTTCATAGGTTGTGAGGGGAGATTAGATAACAGTCCCTGGAGGGGCTGTTGGCTACCTTCCAGTGAGGGTTAGAGTTCGTGATGGGACTGTGAAGACAGACAAGCTCAGAAACAGAGAGGAGACGTGGACTCGACCTTCTCCCTAAGTGATTAACTTTGGCCAAGGCATTGTACAACAACAACAGAAAAACCACAAACAAACAAACAAATCAAAAGGGAGAGAGAGAAACAGAAAGCGGAGACAGAAACAAAGAGACAGACATGCATGCGTGCGTGCACACGTAGAGAGAGATTACCATAAACTTGATGGTTAACGATAAATTTATCACACTTAAGTCTGAAAATGAGGTGATTAATTTCTTTCAGAGGTTGTAAGAAAAATATCTGTCCCATGTCCCCTCCTAGCTCTGCTTATTGTCAAGTGACCTTTTCTTCAGGTGTCCCTCTCTTTGTCTGTACCCTTATCAATTCTTCAAAGACTAAGGGCAACAGGCTTTGGATTTCAGGCCCACCCTAGATTCAGTTGCCCTCATCTACTTAATTATGTCTCTAAAGACCCCAATGTCAAATAAAGTCACATTCTAAGGTCCCATGTGAGTGTGAGTTTTGAGGGGCATAGTATTCTACACACTATAGTGTGTATTTCTTCTTCATCATTATTGTCATAGTAAAAAACAATCAAGGACAAATACATGCAGGTGAGGGACACTTTGGGTCCTTCCCTTGCCTGGCTAGGTCACTGTGCGAGGAGAGAGCTAGCAAGGGAGTAACCCTTGCTTCCTCAGGCATGGGAGATGCGCTCATGGCCTTCCCAGCAAAGGTTAAGCTGTGGTGGAGATCTGGAAGGCAGTCCCTGTTTCCACAGCTTATACTGCCCAGGGGCTCCTGTGGGTCCCTCGTGCAGATGCTGAGACCTGGGGTCCAACTTCCCTCTACCTACCCAGTAGAAAAGAAAAAAATGTTAAAAACAGTGGGTAAAGTTGCTGGTCTCCAAATTTGAGGACCTGAGTTGGATCCATTAGAGCCCCACGGGTACATAGAATGAACCAGCTCCTATAAGTGTCCTCTGACTTCCACAATGGTACCATGGCATGCAAGGGCTCAGACACCGACGCATGGACACACAGACAGAAACAGACAAACAAACAACAAAGAAATACATTTTTTAGCAGGCACAAATAAAAACATGCATAAAGTTATCATGAGCGCCTAGTAATTATAAAGCCAGGATTCCACAGATAGATTCTGGCCCTGTTTAATTTGGTTTCCTTTAGCTGTTTATTCTGGCCTGAGTTCAGCCCATCCAGGACTCTGAAGACTGGCTGTTCATCAGGGGGTAGTCTTGGGCCCATACTCTCCCTCAAAGGTCACCTGGGAGCCAAGCGAACTAGAGAAAGCATCACATAGCACCCCTGCTTCCTTTCCTCTCTCCTCAGATGAGAAGCCGGCTCGCGCAGGAGCGCAGTGTGAAGCTGGAGGCCTTCCAACGAGTGCAGGAGCTAGAGAGTCAGCTTCAGGACACCGAGCAGCCATCTGTCCAGATGGGCTCTCCAGGCGGTGAGCACACCCTCCTCTGGCTAAACCACCCCGTCTTGGAGGCGGGACTTGAATGGGGGCCTCTATGGCTCCAAGACTGGGTGACAACCCAAGGCCAGGGAGTGGGCTCTCCAAGAGTGAGTACTGAATAGCCAACATATGGCTAAAAATAAAAAAATCCTCTGATTTGCACTATATTTCCTACTTAGTTCAATCAGTCACAGCTGGTTAGAGGAGCGTGTAAATACCACCTGAAGAACATTAAGTATTGCATTGCCTCTTGGAGCATCTTAATCATTTTGAGGTACCACTGACCCCATTTCTAAGATGTCATTCAGAAAGGACATGGTGATTGTTGGGTGCTGGGTGCTCAGAGGCCCCGGCGAAGACGCCCACCAGAGGAGTCCTCTGGACAGTGTAGACACTGGTCAGCGTGGACATGAGACCCCAGAACCACTGGAATGTGGCTTCCTCCCCTGTGAGATGAGTCTTGAGTCAATTCCAGGTTGGTTAAGAAATATGATCCAATGTTGGTGACCATGCTTGGGCCTTCATTAGGCTCAGGCAAGCTCCTCCTTTCTGATCTGTGCAGACTGGTTGAGTGTGCGGGCTTTTGAGGGAGCCCACCAGACCCCCTTCACTGCTGGCCGTGCGGCTGAGTAGGCTGACTCCCCACAGGAAATGTGAGCACCTACCTGCAGGGCTAGTTCCGCATATTAAACGGAGCGGCATACATCTAACACTTAGCCTTTTGTCAGGAATTGTATGAGAAGAGTTCTACACGCGTTCAGTTCTTTAGGTCTGCGTTGCCTTTGGCTGCTTACCAACATGAATGAGCTGAGGCAGGCTTTCGGAAGCAGACTAAGTTACATGATTTGAGGCTTAACTGAGAACACAGCTGGACCTGTCCCTGAAGCTGTGGTCCTTGCCTCTGGGCTTGCCTTGCCCTCGAAGCGGGCTTTGGTGTCCCAGCCCAGTCTCATTCTCAGTGCTGTGCCAGCCCGAAGACAGAGAGTCCTGTTGTGACCACTGCTGCCAAGAGGCCACATGCCTTGGCTATGCAGCATTTCTTTCTCCCCTTTTCCTCTGCTTCTTTCCCACCAGACATCTTTGCAATCCCTCTGAGTAATGGCTCCTCGAAAGCCGCCACTCAGGACCCTCAATATTTGCACTTTTATGGAGGAGAGCCAGAATAAGGCACTCAGGAGGGCCCTTCCTTCCCAAGACTGAGGAAGGACATCTCTAGTAGAGAGAAATGCATTACCCCAGGCTTCAGGCCTAGTTCATTGTGAAGGGAGTTCGTAGCTGCGTCAGAGCCACCCAACACGCAGGCAAAGAGCCAAGAATTGAATACTTAAACTGTGCTTTGTTGGGACTGAGCCAGCAACTGGAGAAGACAGTGAACTAACATGATAGGGATGTTTCTTGTGTCACTACAGGCAGGCAGGCAGGCAAGCACTGCAGTTTCCTCTCGCCCCTCTGGCCAGGTGGTCTGTCTCGTGTTCGAGGTTTGTGGTGTTGCTACTTTTCTCATTGTCTCCTCTCTGTCTGCAGGAGGCAGGTTCACAGATATGAAGGCCACCAAGTCCTGACTACCTAGATTAAAGGTTAACTCAGAACAAACAAACCATTGACAGTGTGTGCCTGTAGAGTCCTTCCTGCAGAATGGAAAGCAGACACGCTCGTGAGGCACAGGGAGAAGTTTAGAACCCTGGCACCCCCCAACTCTTCTGACAATTCACAGCTTTACCTGTGTGCATTGCAGACATACCCCCCTTCCAACAATTTCCCTAGCAACCTCAGATCTCCTCCCACACGAGACTACACATACAGTAATGGCCCTTCCCCCCTAACAATAATCAAATGCTGACGGTTTCCACTGGAGTGTATGGTCGATCTATTCTGCTATGAGACAGAAAGGCCAATTCGGCCTAAGCTCGGTTTGGGTGCAGACACAGGAATGCAAACTGTGCCCTCCCGTGTGAACTTTTAGGGAGATTACCCTATTTCTCGTTTTATGCTTTTGCAACTCGGTATGCCTGTGATGGTAAGATGCATGATGGGAAGGGGTTATTCACAGTAGGAAAAAAAATGATTATACAATCTAATCTATGGGTCAAAGTAGAAAATCGCCCAATCTATGCCCCTCATTAACCCAGCCTCCTCCTCGTCTTGAACCCCACACAATGGCTCTGGGCCCTTTGAGTGCCCTCACTCGTGTGGCCAGCTGTCACTCTTAACAGTGTGTCCCTCTCTTATCTGTGCTCTGCCCTGCTTCGAATAAAGCTGTCTTGCTACGTTTGCGAATCTGTGTCACCTCCTATTTCAATGCTTGAAAAAAGAGCCCTGGAACCTGGAAACACCTGGCCTGGCCTCCCACCATGGGTGGCATATGGTTTGTGTGTGTGAGGAGGGTAATCCTAACAGTGCAAAGCTGAGGGGGCAGGGGGGTGGAGGAGTGGGGGGAGGATTGGACAACTGGACAGGACAGACACCTTTAGGGGTGGAGCTTAGATTGGAGGTCTCTTGGTTGTTGTGGAGCTGCTCTCAAAAAGGATTCAGGTTGTTCTCAAGGGTCCCCTTGTCACCAGGAAGTTGGGGTTCCATTTTGTGGCCTCCTAGTTTTATTTATCAAAGAATTTAAAGACAGACTCAGAAAGATGAAGGAACATTTTGTTAGAATCTGAGAGGAAAATAACAAGAGGGCGGATAAGCAGTCACAGCAACAGCTGTGAAGAAGGTGACAGGGAAGAGAGATGCCTTTTGAGTAGGGTCAAGGAAGTGGGCATTTTCAGCAACAGAGGTCAGGAGCAGCTGCTGGGGGCAGGACTGTGGCAGCTGGTATTCAGAGAAAGAGTAAGAATGCCAGGAGTATCGGGGAAGCATGCTAGGATATTGGCCAATAGACAATAAAAGGATTAAAAAGAAGGAAAAGAAAAAGTTGTGTTTTGTGTTGTTTCTGGAAAAGCAGGCAGATCTGTGAGCACCCGTGAGTTTCTGGTTTTTGTAAGTAGAAGTCAAATTCTCCAAGGAGCTAAGTGCCCCTCCCGTCTACTTAGCCCATCTTCAGCATTCCTGAAGGATGGGCTTCTGGCCACTTGACTCACCCATTAAGATTAATCCTTTTGTTGTTGTGCTTATTTGTCTTTTTTTTTTTTTTAATTTTTTTTATTTCTTTTTACTCTAGCTGTATGGGTGCTTTGTCTGCATGTATGTGCATTAGTATCTGAAGAGTCCAGATCTCCTGGAACTGGGCTGTCAGGCAGCTGTGAGCTGCCATGTGAGTGCTGGGAATTGAAGCAGGGTCCTCCAGAAAGAGCAACCAGTGCTCTTAACCGCTGAGCCATCTCTCCAGCCCCAAGATTAATTTTAATGGAAAAGATAAGAGCACAGAATTTGGGGGGTGGTGTAGGGTGTTGTTTCTTCACCCAGGGATAGGGGAAGAATTCAGGTTCTATTATTTTGACCAGGAGGAACTGTTTTCCTCTAATAGGGCCTCAGCAAAGCCATGCTATACTAAGAAATAACAAGGATGGACAAAACTGGTTGTAAGATTTGCCATGTTGTAAGAAATCCATGTTCAGTGCCCTCCAAGCCTCCTAACATCATCTGGCTATGTAACAAACTGAACCCTCAAGAGAGCTGCTAATGCGCCTCTATACTTCATAATCATGAAAACCAGGCTAATCACAGTGTCCCCTTTTCCCTCCTGGGATATCCCAGTGGGCAGGATCCCTTCTACTCTGCCTTCTCAGGAGTCTTGAGCAATCCTTTCCTCCACACTTGCATTTCCTGTCAGTTGAGGGGCCTGGGGGACAGTTCTGTAGGGTGTATCACCCAGAGGGGGCCTTGCAGCAAGTCTGCATTGATCATGTATGTGTCAAGATCATAAAGTCTACTAAAATAGAAGCCTTCCTTGAATCTGGGTTTGATGGCTCATGCCTCTAACCACCCTAGCCTATGGCCCCAATAACCAGGCTATCCCAGCACTGAGGGTAGAAAAGATTGAGTTTGAGGCCAAACTATATATATGAATGTATGTATAATCATATACATAGACAGAAACAAACACAAGAGCCAAGCAAACTGGAAACAAACAAACAAACAAAAAAAAAAAAAAAAAAAAAAAACCACACACCACCCTACACCATATATTTCTTCTCCTGTTCATATCAAGCTTTGTAATCAGTCTCTTAATTTACTCTACCTCCCACATCCATTAGGGAGACGAAGACAGAGACACAGAGAGAAACACACAGATTTAAATTAACTGTGGTTGTTCATTTGAACGCTCTAGAGATAAGTTTCTAGTTGACTGTCGTAAGTCTTCTACGATATGGATTGCAGACAAGTCATGAGTTCCCATTCCCAATGTGTGACTTCTACTTTATGGTCTAAAATCTTTCCAGCCAGCAGGAAGTGAGAAAACTACAAGAAATCACTGTTCTCTGAAAGGGTACTTCCTGGAAGTTACCTAGGACCCTTTGGAGTAGATCTTATTAGCTCACATGTAGCTTTTATTGTAGGACACTAAATGTGTGATGAAAGAATTGGGGACCCTGTTACTAAGCAAGAAAAAGAAAGGGTCCAAGTACAGGTCTCTATATCACCATCTGCTTTTTAATCTCTTCACTTGCCAAGATCGCCAGAGCCCCTGTGTCTGTAAGCATGCGGTCGCTACTGAGTTCTCACTACCTCCCACTGTTTGAAAATGATACTCAAATACCTCCAAGCTGCCTTCCCTGCTCCTTTTCATGCTCCACTCTCAGAGCAGTCCTCTGCATTCAGCCTCTTTTTCTAGTCCTTCCCGCCATAGCCAACCTCTAAAGGGCAGAGCCACGAGGAGCGATGTCTGGCCTCTTCTCCCATTGTTTCTGGCTGATGAGGGCCTCAAATCCCACGGTTTTGATCACTGTTTGTCAAGTCTACACCTGCACCTCAGAGCTTTCCTCTGCTCTAGACCCGTATATCCAGTGACTACTGGATGTGTCTGCTTCAGAGTCTCTGGGTCACAAGTTCAACAGGTAAATCAGGACTCATCTTCAACTCTCCAGTCGGACTCCTTTTGGGAGGGAGGTGCTGTCTCAGCAATTCGTATTGCCAAATACCCAGTTGACTTGAGCCAGAATTTGAGCACTGATTTTCCTCACCTGTGAATCTAGTTAATTAACCACATCCTAACAGTGAGACTAGCCCGCAGTCTACCCACATTTACATCTCCTTTTTCCTTGGTCATGCCATCCCAGGCCAAAAAAAATCTTGTCCAAAGTTTGAGATCCTCACTTGAATTAGATGCTTAGTTTCAGTTCTAAAAGTTTGTAAGTTAAATCTGGGTCTGCACATTGTAACAAGAGATCTGCATTATCTTTTACTTTACAGGTCTTATATCCCAAACCCACTGCTGCCTAAATTCTGCTTCAACATTATCCAGATACTCTCACCAACAGTTTTTAAAGACTAATCTTCTGGGCAGTAAAATGACAAGGATTCAAAGACCCAAGACTGTGAGTGATGAAAAGCTTGGTTATATGCAGGAAACAAACAAAAAAAACAAACAAAAAAAAAGTTGTCACTAGTGCTGTGTGTCTAGGGTCACCTCAGACTTACCCTAGAACAATTCTCTGCCAGATTATTATCTGGTTTGGATCTGTTTTACACAGTTCTAGTGTTGATATAAACCCAAGGACACCTTCTGGATTCCAACTTAACTCGGTGGCTCTGGAAATCAGGACGAGAGCTGTGCTGTATTTTCTGAGTTTCTTCTTTAATCATCTATAATAATTAATTACCAGTATCCGGTCCCTTATCTGAACTCTTCCAGCCTCCAACTCTTATTTAATTGATTTGGTATTCTTACATCGTATGCATATCTGTGCATGTTCCAGCCTTCATGGAGGTCAGGGACAAATGAAGGAGTCAGCTCATTCTGCCATATTGGTCCTGGGGATTGAACTCAAGCCAGCACGCTCTTTGCAGCAAGCCCTGTGCCTGCTGAGCCATCTCGCAAGCCCCATCCTTCCTCTGTGTTGTTTTGATTGGAAGTGTAATTTTGCAACTGGCAGGCTGGCTTTAGAAGGAAGTTCATTACAGCATCTACAGTTAAGAAAGGCTGAAAAGAGGGTGGGAACCAATGAGGATTTACCAGATCAGGGCCATGTTATTATGGTCATCATTCACTCCACTCCTCAGCCTCTGGACAGTCATCTTTCCCTAAAATGTGAAATTCTAGTGGAGTTGTCCTTCACTGTCCACAAGGAGTTCCAGGACCCCCGTGGGTACCCATATTCACAGGCGCTTAAGTCCGTTACATAAAATTGTGTACCCTTTGCATACTGAATGAAAATCAAAGAAATAAAAAGGAACATGACTACTCCTAGGCATGTGGAGAAAGTCTGTTACAAATATGTGGGAGAGCATAGCCAGAGGCAGGGACATCTGGAAGGGTCCAGAGGGGACATGACCCATGTGGACAGAGGAGGGAAGGGAGAGGGGAAGGAGTTGCAACAGCCAAGAAACCCAGAAGAGTGGACCAAAGGGACAGGTAACCAAAATGGTTGAATTATATAGGGAAGGGCAACCCAGACCCTGGCTGGAGAAGTTTAGGGCATGGGGTGGTGTACGCCAGCCAGAAGGGACCTGTAAGAGGTAGGGACTGAGGGATGCTGGGAGAACCTGGAGGCCAGGTCTGCTTTGATACGGTAGACACGTCAGCCGTTTGTCTCTGGTTTGAAATCTAACAGGTAAGATCTACACACAACCTCCCATATACTTTAAATCACCTCTTGATTACTTATAATGTTAAAACAATGCAAATAATTGTTATATCATTTAGGGAATGTTGACAGAAGATCTGTGCACGCAGTACAAATTCTGACCCGTGGTGGTTGACTCCGTGAATACAGCATGAGAAAAATGTTTTTGTAGCAAAGGGTTCTACTGCCACTGAGACTAACATCAGGCTCTGTCTGAAGTTGGCCTTTGGTGGGCCTTGTCATGAAGGGAACTGGTCAAAGATGAATCCATCAGTGGCAACACATTTCCAGCTAAGGAAGGCTTGCCAGCATGGAACAGGCTACACAATCTTTAGTATTCTGTCTTTTGTATCAGCACTGCACCGTTTCAGAAAATCCCTTGCATATATATCACAGCCATGTCTACGTTCCCGTCAATGTTCCGTCTTACCCCCTTGCTTGGGAGTGACATCACAGATAGGCTTGAAGTGGTCCAACTCCTACTGTGTGCTGCCTGGCCTTCACATTTCCTGCTTGGGTGTCCTTATCGTGCCTGTGCTCAGGGGACTGCAGGATATTTTATTAGGACGTTTATTTTAGCTTATTTCCTGGTTTATTTGTGTATCTTAGTAGGGTTTGTTTGGTAAAAGAGCCAACAGATAATTAGCCCTCCTCCATTACCCTGCTGGGTTTCGCACACAGCGTAGCTCTCCATTGATGCATAGTTTCTTAGCCTCTTCAACCCCAAGGGTGACGATCCCCAACACCCCCAAAGGACTCAGAGCTTTCAGAAAGGGACATGAAGGTGGACTGAATCATGAAATGTCTTCTTTTCCTCCGCACACAGTGATCTTTTTTCCCTTTTATAAAAGAGAATCCTTTGACACCTTAAAAAAATACCAATATCAACTTGCTATTACAGGTACCAATTAAACACAACAAAAGGACCAAAGGTGGCTCTCTACCTAGTGTGGCAGAAAGTGTTCAACTGATGACATTTCAAGCCCAAACAGCTCCATCCAGAATTTCATTCAGACCTGAAAGGTAATCTTTTTGCACGTGTCTATTTTATGGCAGGGTACATGGATAAAGAGGACTCCAGCACTATTAAACTTTTCATCTAGCTTTTCTTCTCAGTATGTGGCAGACAGTATTGAAGAACTAAGATGAATTCATCGTGAGTGTCCCAGATGAAAGCTGATTTGGTCCCAGAGCTGAAAACATTCAACCACTGGTTTGCATTCTACAAGCTATCTCTGGCTACTGGCTGCCTGCGGTCTCTGAGTTTTATATAACAAGGAAGGTAGGGGCGGGCCAGGAGGGAGGACCTTAATGCTGAGCCATCTTTACTGAGAAGTAAAGACCCAGCACTGAGAAGCTGGCTCTTCTAGGATCTCTATTCGGTTCCAGCGCGCACAGTTGACAGTTATCTGTACCTAGTTCCCTGGCCTCTGTGGGTACTGGGCAGGCTGGAGAGATGGCTCAGTGGTTAAGAGCACTGTCTGCTCTTCCTAAATGGATCCGGGTTCAACTCCCAGCACCCACATGGCAGCTCACAACTGTCTCCATTTCCAAGGGATCTGACAACTTCACGCTGATGCACATAAAATAATTTCAAAAAATTCTATTTTTTTTTTTTTTAAGAAACAGGATCTTGCCTCCCTCTTCTCTGAAAAGGGGGGGAAGGAGGAATGGGGGCATGAGGGTGGGACTGGGAAGGGGGGGCTGCAACCAGGCTGAAAAGTGATTAAAAAGAGGGAGAGAGGAAGAAAGAGAAAGGCGTGCTCGTGGAGTCCAGGCTACTCAAGTCACTGTGCAGTGGCTGGATTGAACTTCTGCCCACCACCTTTACCTCCCAAGTGCTGAGACAGAGGACACGTGGCTCTATCTTTTTTGCTTTCATCAAATCAACGTGAGACATTTATTCACAGAAACCTAAGTAGACAAAACCTATGAAGAGTTCTTTTCTATGAAGAGAACTCCTAGAAAGACACTGTATCTGCAGAGACTGAGCACTGTGGAGACTGGAATGTTGCAGGTCCAGAAGCTAATTACCTAACCTGAGCTAGTTCTAATACCCTGTAATAGCCATTCCTTGCCCAGCTCTATGTTGGAACATCCCATGACTAGTAAAACCTTTTTGGTATCTAAAAAGCTACGAATGTCCTCAAATAGCATCTAAAGAAAAGCTTCCCAAAGGCTGGAGAGATGGCCCAGAGGTTAAGAGCACTGGCTGCTCTTCTAAAGGTCCTGAATTCAATTCCCAGAAACCACATGGTAGCTCGCAACCAGCTAGAATGAGATCTGGTGTCCTCTTCTGGCATGCAGGCAGAACATGGTATAATAAATCTTTACAAAAAAAAAAAAAAACTTTCCCCATCTCACTGTAACTTTAATGTATCCATCATTGTATTTTAAACTTGTTTTGATTATGAATTTAATCTAGAACACTTCTCAAACTGCTTCCATGTTGGACCATGAATACTCAAATTGGCTCTACAATAAACTCTTCCTTCAAGATGATAGCTGTGGTATCTGCATCAACATTTAATTCACTGGGTAATAGGCAAAACAAGATACAGCCTCTTTACTGTCTGTCCTTAATTGCTGGGAAGCCCAGGCAGAAATCAGAGGACTTGAGAGTTCAAGAGGCAGAGATGGAAATCCAGAGAAGCTGCAGAAGTTCCCATGGCAGTAGCCCACAGAGCTCAGGTTGATACCTAACATTGCTTCAGAGAAACAATTACAAGAAACAGGAATACAAAAACATCCTGTACTTCCCAGCTTATACCTAGCATCTAATAAAAACTACCAACCATGCACCAAAACCATGTGGGTAGTAAATTCAATGGCAAGTGACTTCTAAATGTTGGCATTAGCAATGCTATGTGGACACCAAAAATTATTACTCTAAACACACACACACTACATAGAGAAACACACGTTATTACACACTTTGAAAAACACCAGTATCCAAGGGCTCTTTCTAATAAGCACAGGTCATGGTGAAAACACACAACCCATTTCACCTATTATTTAATCTCAGTAATCTGTCAAAGTTTTATGTAATTACCAAATGATAAGGCTAACAGGAAACTGGAAGCTTCATTTCTATTCTACAGGCACTCTCAATTAGGGGGTGGGATGTGGCTGGCAGGATGGCTTGGACAACCTGAGTTCAATCTTTGGAACCCATAGTTGAAACAAGAACAGACTCCACAAAAGTAGTCCTGTGACACACACACACACACACATACATTCTCTTTCTCAGTTAATTTGAGCTTGATTAAGCTACCCCTTCTACCCTCTGCTCAGCTATCATTTCTAAGTGTCTGTTTTCCACTTACTAATTCATACCTCTTAGTTAGCATCTACCAGCCTACAGGAGCAACATAAAGAGTGGACAATCCAGCCTCAAATGGACAGTAAGGCAAATACAATGTTAAATTTCATAATCCAAATGTGACACCTCTGATCAATAAAGAGACTAATTCAATAAACATATTTATTTTAAATCAGTTTGGAACACATACAGATTAGTTTTGTAGTTTTTAATGAACTCAAATAAAATTTCTAAGTACAGCAGTGTCTGCTTGTGCAGCAAGTAAGGAAAGGAAAATCAGGTGTCTGCTAGAACTAGACCTTAAGGACAAATCAGATGAAAACTCTGAAAAGGTTTCTGTAGACCTTCTGGATTAAAAAACCCAAAAATCATTAATGGCTCAAAATTCTACCTTGCTAAACAAAGATGGGAAGGAGTCAGGGTAGCTGTGAATTCTGTGGCAAGAGCTTATGTAGAGACTTGCAAAATGTCACGACCTTCCTGCGATGTTAGAACAGTGCTCAAAATTACAGGAGCTTCAAATTAAGTTACATTCCCACAAACTTGCTACATGTGCTGACATTTATAAGGGGCAAGGAGTCACATCGAGGAAGGAATGGAAATTCTGTGTATTTTCAAAAGAACTTTAGCACTCACTTAAAACTAACAGCCACGGCACTGTAATATTTTGTGAGGTACCTATAATATTATAATGGAAACAAAACTGTGAGGTAAACCTATCTTTCCCCAAACCTTTGAAGCCAGAGATTTTAAACGAGTAAGGCACTTGAAAACATTAGGTGTATGTACAAATGTGCAAGTAAAACAAACTCTAGCTGTACCAGCAAATGACAAAGAAATAGAAACTTCATCTTAAGAGTACAAGGAGTTTCACTTTATGAAACAACCCAAATCAATCTGTTATTTCCTACTATAAAACCCTGGAAACCAAGCACTAAACTCTGCTACTATAAACTAAAACACAAAAACTTCAATGATGTAGGAAACCAAAAGGCTGTTCCCAAGTACAGCCTCTGAGCTAGTCCAGTGTGTCAGAGGCAAGGGAACAGTAACTGTAAAACGAAACACTGAGTACTTTACAAGGAGCTACAGAAATAAAAGTATGCATGATGAGAGCACATGGGAACTGGAACCAAGGAGGAAGAAAAGGAGTAAAAGCCAAGGAAAGAGATAACAGCCTACTCAGCCAGGGAACCATTAGAAATCTAGAGCAATCTCTTTCAGATCTTCATGTTTTTAAGATACACAGGTCACATCTGTTCGAAAACAAAGTGATTGTCTCATTTAAAGAACTAGAAAATTATTCTAACACTACTTCCTTCTTGCCTCATGTAAAAGCTACTTTTTAGGAAAACCTGGGAGGAATCCTTATAGTATAGTGATATTTGGATACTTTGTATAGAGAGGGAAAGATAATCAAATCAATTTTATGTCTTTCAACAGCTCTAAGGGAAAATGTTAGACGGTTTGATATAAGGAAGCTTTGTAACTTAAAATTATTCTTTAGCTTCTATTTCTCAGCTCTGGAAAAAAAAAATGTTTTTAATTAACCATTAACAGTATGTTACCTAAAAGCAGGTTTACTGCTGCTCACACCAACAGTTACATTCTCAGACCAAGCTTCGCCTCCCACAGCGCGAACACATTTTCTGTTCTACCGTCATCTCGGTCTGTCTTAAGGCACTGTTCTGTTTTCGTAATATGGTGCTTTAGGAGTATGAACAAGACCTGTTACACATTAATGGTCTGCGTATCCTTTCCTTTCTTTAAATCTGGAATGGGATTCCCTGTGTGGCATCTCACTTCTAATGTATGAAATACAACTTATCAAACAAGATTTTACTCTAAGGACAGTTTAGAGTAAGTAAGTAAGTTACATTTACTAAGTAAATGTAACCTCCTTTGAAGGAACAGCCTTCAATCTACGTGACTGGCGCTCATTTGGCACTCTTCTAATCCTGGCCGCTAAGTTACATCTCGAGTTAGGATGAGAATAACAGATCTTAGGTTTACAAATGACTACATCTAAACTGCCAGAGTCAGAGGTTGCCTGCACAGGATACCACTTCCATAACTTACAGAAAGTTACATTTGGCATGTCAAAGGAAAAAACATAATCCCGCAGCAGCAGCAGCAGCCATTTTAAACAAAGATGACAGCCACACGGATTCATGCAGAATATTTTAAATATTCCTGTTGAGCAAAATGGTTTAACTGGCTTTTCTTCAAGGATGATGCTCCAAAATATCCTGTATGCATCCTTTGGAAATGTAAAGATCCTGGAACAGCGTCTTCCATGTGGGACTTCTTGAAAGATAACATTTTGGTTTCAGTGAGTTACTCAAGTTAACTGCCAGTCCGCATTAATTTAATGGGTCTGTTTACAGAGTGTGGTAATTTCGTTCTTTAGATTTGCAGAATTTATAGAGAAAGAAAATTACAGCCTGCACACCCAAGATAAGGACAATTCCTCCAATGAAGCTGGCTGCATCAAAGGTAGACTTCCGCTCCGGCTGTGAGGTGGGAGTCAGAGTGGTATTTGTTGCACCTGCTACAAAGATAAAACAAAGATTCTTCAGGAAGTGTCACGGCATTTGTAATTTCCAGACCTACCCAGGCATCAAGTTTTCCCTGAGTAAAATTCAGTAAGGTCTTCCTGAGTCAAGTCTTTAGAAGTAGAATTTATCCCCACTTAAGGAAAAATCCTATTCTTTACTCTGTCCGGGACATTATGTGAGCAATATTGCTAGAAGGTTTCAAATATAAAAACAGGTAAGAGCTTTTATGGCATATAAACCATATCCTTGCAATTTATCAAGTACTTCTAAAACATGCAATAATTTTGTTAATCTATTTTGGGTAACTACTAAAGTAAGTATTTGTTAAAATGTTTTGGGTTTACTAGCTGGAAAAGGTATATAAAAATTCAGCTGCTATTTTTCAAGTTAACAAAAATAACTAACAATCTATAATTTCAACGAAAAAAAAAAACACACAATATATTAAACATATGTAAATATATTAAATCGTACTCTGCCAGTTCATTTTGCATTATGAGGAAGGGTTAAAAAATCCTAAGAAAACAAATTTGAAAACTAGAATTTCTACAAACAAAATAACTCCTAAGGATCTAAAAGTACTCTCAGTTAATTCTGTATTATAAAAAAGTATTAGCAAGTCAGAAGAAAAAAAGAACATGAAAACTAAAATTACTAAAGGAGTAAAATGTTTTAAGGGGAAACAAAAAGGCCATGACTAAGTAGTATCATCTAGATGAAGTGTAGTCCGCTGGTAAACCAGATCCTAATGCATGCTTGAGCAGTATCAGCTTTGGGCTCTGGAGGCTTTGGTAAGCTGAGCCGCTTCAACATCAGCCAGGAGAGGAGCAAGCAAGTTCTAGGCACTAAAAACTTCAAACAAAGACAAAATTTGCTCTAAGCTGTTTTGCTTTTTTTTTTTTTTTTTCCCCGAGGGTGGAGGTGGGTGAAAACAGAGCACAAGCAGGAAGCCACAGAAGTTACAGCATAGGAAAGAGTCCTTGGAGCCAAGCAAGTCTAAGAAGATGAGCAAAATTTAAGAAAAACATGGAAGTACAAATCTTGGCTTTTTAGATTTGTCTAATTAAAAACAACAGTCTTACCTTCACCGAAATCATTATGCTATCACACCTTATAAGTAACTGGTAGCCACAAAGCAGCTTTAGAATCTAAGTAAGTAGTTTTGGAGAAAACACTCTTACTAAGTGTAAAGGGCCAGGCCAAAAGTGACCACACATGAAAACCAGAGAAGGACTCGCAGCAGAGCTCCAGGAGCCAAGCACAGCCTTGGCTCTCCGTCAGGAGCTGAGGCAATCCACAGCTCTCTGCGAATAGAGCTGGACCCTGGTGGCAAAGCGAGGAACACACTGCATCACTCGTAGTTTCTAAAGCCCATTACCTGAGGTGACAACTGAGGGAGTAGGTGTAGGAGAAGAAGGCCGAGTTGTGGGTTTAGCTGGAATGAAAACAAAAGGTATTTAAGACCTTAAATTTCTAACTTCCCAATTACCCTACACGTAGTTTTAAAAACAATGCTTTTAATTTTTAGAGAACAGAAGCCAAATTTAGTTAATGATCCAATGTTTTTATAAGATCCATACATACATGTTAAGACACATACCTAGACAAAGCTTACAAGAACACAAAGAGGGAGAAGTATACTTAGGGAACAGTTACAGGTTTCATTCTTTTATGAACAGTTTTGCTTCTAGAACAAATTATTGGTATATATAACCGAAATACACAATTGAGTATATTGTAGGTACCATGCTTTGTTTATCTTTAAAGGGCAGAGTGCAATATTACACTCCGTAATGCAAAAGCAGTCCAAGACAAGGAAATGAGCCAGCACGGTTGGGTTTCAATAAAACCTTATTCATTAGCACTAGCACCCAGGGCTAGCCCAGTCTGGATGATGTGCACACTCTACCGTACACTCGACCACTCTGTGTAAGTCAAAGTACCATGTAAAGATAAAATGACCTCCGAAAAATGAAGCACTGAACTATGAATGGCATCTACTACCAAGCACAGTCTCAAAAATTCTTGTATCAATACTAGAAAAAAAAAGTTTTAGAAATTAAAATATACCAGGCATGGTGGTGTATGCCTTTAAGCCCAGCACATAGCAAGTTCCCAGCCAGCAGGGCTAAAACAGTGAGACACTGTCCAAAACCCCAAACAAACAAAAACCTAGAACTATAGTTTATTGTGTACAGATGACACATGAGTGTGCAAGTCAACCTGCAGGAGCTGGTTTTCTCTGTCTACCATGTGGGTCTCAGAGACTAATCTTAGGTCATCAGGCTTGGTGGCAAGTACCTTTATCTCCTGAGTCATCTCGCCACCCCCCAAGTTCTAATATAAAAGGAGGTTGTATGCTTCAATAGTAATTACACACCAGTATCAGGCTTTGAGACAAATGTCACTAGAATAGAGGCATTGCTGGCACCCCAAAGTTAAAAAGGTCCTAGGAGGCTAAGGTATTCTCATTCTTTCAGGACTACGGTAAAGCTTCTATTAATATTGCTATAAAGGCTAATAAGGCTAATAAGGTATGACAGTCCGGCCACCAGCCACTAAAAGCACTTGCTGTGCAAACCTGCTGACCGGAGTACAATCCCCAGAACCTAGGTGAAAGGAGAAAACTGACTCCACAGTTATCCTCTTATGGCCCACCTCATCTCTCATTTCTACAGGACTGAGCCCTCTAATTGGTTATCAATACTAACGGCCAGTCCTGAAATCATGCACGTACGAAACACTAAATAGACAAATCAAGTTGTGTACACACACAAGACACAAATTTGAAGGAACAACAAAGGGGGCATGAGAAGGCTGGAGGGAGAAAAGAGAAGGGAGAAAAGATTTTGTATTTTATTTCAAAAACAAAAAATAAAACTGGGAGGAACCCCCCCCCACACACACACACCTGAACCCCAAGGACAACTTTACCTCTTAAAGAGAAGTAACAGACACAATTCCTACACTAGATGGTATGACTATTCTAACACTTATTTCCTTTGGTAGTATTTCCTGTGTAACCAAACATCAACCGAGATATGACAAAATAACTTTACAAATTGAATGTGTATCAGCTTTTCAATCTTAAGATATTAATTTTGTTCGATGGTATGGGGAAAAAAATTCTATAGATTTGCTATTTGGTTCTCACTATCCACTCTTAAAGAATGGTAAAAGTTAATTCTTCTTGTTAATGGGTAAAATATTTTAACAATTTTAAGTCTGAAAAAGTATTATGTTGACAATATTCTTAAAATAAGACACTACTTTAGTGAATATACCTCCTGTCCTCTTCATAAAACAAAACCCTTAAATTACAACTATTGGTGATCATCAGCAAAGACATCACCACCTGGAATAGCATCACTTCTAGTGACAAACCTTAAACTGCACTAAGTATTTAACACATTTTGCCCTCCACTTAATGGATCACAAACATTTTCCACTATCTCTGACATAATGCCCCTGTTAGTGATACTGTGTGTGCAGAGGGACCGCTACTCAATCACACTGGAGAGAAACGTACAAGCCATGCTCAAGAGTAAGGTATTCGCTGAAGCTTAGCACCTTTCCACCTTACAGAACCACAATGGATGAAGGAGCTCGTGAACCCACTAGAAAGTGAGCAAGCAGAGAACACCTTCAGAATGCTGAGGACGATGAAATCAAGCCTGCGATGGTGGGGGACTTCTCCCTGTCTGCCCACAGTTTCCTCCCCCACACTGCTTTCACCAGCCTTTACCCTTTTCTCAGTGACTTCTAACAAGCACAGAAGGTGAGCACACAATCACACCAACAGTATGTTATTAAAATACAAGTCTGGGCACATGACAACCAACAAGTTTGGATACCATCTAAGTCCCTTAAGCAAGACATACAGAGGAGCATCTCAGTTTTGCTTTCCATCTGTCAAGCATACCAAAACTTACTGTCACCTAGTACAAGATACTTGACATCTTTCTCACCCTCACACCTCCTCCACATGTGTGAACCACCCTGCTTCATCTGGCATGTTCTCCCCACATTTTCCAGTGTTGTCAGTCAGTATCTGCCACAGGCTGTCATCTCTGTCCCACTCAATACATGCCTACCTACATATTCCCAACAAATAGTAGTTACTGACTGTATTCATCTTTCTGATAGTAACAAAGTACTGGCTAATTTGTGTCCCTATACAATTTTATCATCTGGCCTAGTACTTGTCCTGGAATATACAGCTCAATACTACTCCCTTAAGATTTCACTGTGTCAGTAAAATGTACTAACTGCCCAACCATGGTAGAAGAGTAAAGTACATCACCACCTTAGAGTAAAAGGGGGAAAAAAAACAACATAAACACAGGAAAAAAAAAAAAAAACACACACACACACACACAACACAAACAGCTAACTATAATCCATTTTCAGAAAACGTACTCAGCTAGCTATACAGATAGAAAAAAAAATCAAGAAAATTAATTCCTGAAGACGTTCTAGCATACTGCTTTTCTTCTGTGTTTTCTGAGATTTATAAAACATCCACAGAAGGTAGCTCAAGGACTCAACATACTAAACTGAGTGAGCCTGCTGAGTCACTAAAAACGAAATACTCGAAGAATTATATGCACTGTCACAATGACACCTTTACAGCACTGCTGTGGCCCATAACTAGATGAATCTTTGCTAATCTTTAAAACTACACCATCATCTCTTAGTTTGTAAGTTATCAACAGGGCTTAAAAATCCACAAAGAACAAGGAAGAAAAAAAATCATCTTGCATTACCTGTGGAATTGGTTGGCACTGGAGTGGCGGGAGGCACTGCTGAAAAACAGAGATATATTAAGTTGTCTAATCTCAGCCTATAACAAGTTTCCCAATCTGGGAACACTACTTTAGTTTTACAACTTAAACATCACCTGTCTAATCAGACAGTCACCACACCCAATATTAGTTTCCCTTCCTGAGAAACGAAACCATTAATTTCTGTGGCATCTCACTTCCCCCAAGACATTTCCTAGCCTTTCTCACAGTTCATTACCACACATAGCTTCTGGCAAACATCTACAAGGTAGATAACAGGACTTACATTTTCTCTTTCCCTTCTTGTGGGTGGGGGTGGGGAGGAGCAACATGATGGCTGGAACATAAATACCCTACCTTAGACAGTAAGGTTTAAATTATTTTTGAAAAATGACAGAAAGACAATGACAGGCTGAGTCCCTTGCTTGTGTATGACTTAACCAGTATTATCCATTCCAGACAGGATAAAATAAACCCAATAATAATAAACCCGTCAAGCTCACAGTGGGTGAAAAAAGACCTATCATAATTAATAGTAGTCATGTTTTGATGCTTTCTACAAAAATATTTTATTCAACTACCTATATGCCAAATTGGAATTTGAGTTCCCCATCAACTTATAGTAACATCAGAAAAAAAAAAAAAAAAACTACAAAGAGCGTGGTTATGCCTGTAATCCCAGTACTTGGGAAGTAAATGCAGAAGGATCTGGAGTTCACAGTGAAATAAGTGGTTCAAAGCAAGAATGAACAACATGAGGTAGAGAGGAAGAAAAAGGGGGAGGCGGAAAAGAACTAGTTTCAACAAGGATTTTTTTCAGGGTTAAGAGTAAAAGCCAGGGCTGGAGAGGTGGCTCAGCCGTTAAAGGCTAGGCTCACAACCATAAATGTAAGAGTAAAAGCCAGAGTCCCTCAAATACAAAACATGAATACAGAAGTTTACTTAGCTGTAACACTTAAAAGGGAGGAACTGAACATTGGTCAATTCAACAAAAGAAAGCAGGAAATGAAAAGAATCCACGCTTACAGCTTTTCGTCCATGGGAACAGCTACTATGTAAGTGCTAACAGTCAGGGTGCAGTGAGCTTCTTCCCACCCCACGTGCTCACTTTCCCCAGAAAACTCACCAGAACAGGAGTCAGTGTCTTTCACCAAGGTACAATTAGTCACTACTTTACTTGAACAATAGGTCTTATTTTCTGTGAAAAAGATTGAGACAAAGAGCAATTACTTACTTACATTATTCCTTTGGCTTTGCTACTAAGCTCCAGAACCGTACTCAAACACTTCCTATAGGGCTACGACACACCTGCGACTGTGACCCAGTGCTTTGGAAGGGACGTATAAGGCCCTCAAGAGACCAGCTTTAGCTCATGGGGGGGGACCCCTGCCCCTTAGAGCAATAAAAACTGCTTTTCTTTTCGTATTGTCTTAGAGACAAATTCTGAACAGCTAACCCCCCAGAACCCACGAAAGGCTCTGAACTGGTAAGGGGATGTGGTTTTTGCCAACAGAGCAGCTGGGAGAGGGTCCGCAGCAGTACACGCGCAGCATATCCCTGCTCTACTTGCCCACCTCCCTAACGAGTTCTCCTCGACTGGCAGCCTTGGATCTCCTCAACTGTACCGCCTCAACAACCTTAAAGCAGAGCCCGTCATCTCCAGACTCCAATTCCCACACACTGCACACGGGGTGGGGGAAACACACCGTGAAGTTCCACTTTGCAGTGCAGCGTGCCTGCACCACAGAAAGCTAATTCCCAGCTAACGGTTTAACGAGGGTGCTCAACTTTATATGCTATTTCTAATACTCAGAGTAAAAGGACTTAACACATGACTGTTCTTATTGAAAAAACAAACCAAAACAAAACTATGGTTCCTGTCCCTCCAGGAATGCCAAAACAGATCCTAACATACTGTTAATAGATCGTTTTGCTGATAGGGAGAGCCACAAGCACCTTACCTCAAGGAAGCAGACTATGGACTAGAGTTCTAAGAGAAATCTCACATTTCAACAGACTCCACTTAGCTCATAGCCTTCAAACATTTGCTGAGTTAATGAACTTCACAAAAACACAGGGCCAGCTTTCCCTTCCTATTCCTCCTTTACAGCTAAGCATTTAACACCGCTCTACACAGTCTCTTTACAGTTTCATCTCCCAAGACAAATGAGTACATTGCCACAGGAAGATTACACAACCTTCTCAGTTAATTCCAGCACACTTTAGTCCTTCGAAAGTTTGAAGTTTCTCTACCTTTAAAAGCTACTGAATCTCAACAATCAACTGTAAGAAACTCAAGGGGGGAAGGAGCTTTCCAAGAAAAATGTTAAGGAACTACAGAAGCATTGGATTTGGAAAAATAAATACTGTACACTATCTTAAACATTCTATAGAATTTCCAAATATTTAAGAATATAAAGTAGCATTTATGACCCCAAAGTTTCTTACCTTCTTGGCATTCTATCCAAAAGCAGGTAGTATTAGTAATGGTGGCATTAACACAGGAAATACAGTTGGTGTGGTTCTCACAGGTTTCTGGGGGGGGGGGGAATTATGAAATCAATGAATTAATATTTCATTTAGTTTGCTCTTTATCTTTTTTCAACAATAAGCATTAGATATAGTTTTAATAATTAATAATTCCATGAAATGGTAAAACTTTATATATTGACCTACCTCAAAAAGCAAAACAAATTAAAACTTCCAGTCATCAACTATGAAACTGTAAGTAAATTTAAGAAAAACAGGCTAGTGGGTATGCTCAGTACAGGGAAGTGATTCTCAGACAATCCTTCACAAGACTGAAAGATACCCAGACACTCAGGAACATTCAAGACAAAACACTAGGGGTGAAACACTATGCCTCCAAACACCAGAGAAAGAAATTTCAAGTAATAGAATGCAGGCTCAACTCTGCTGGTGCCATTCTGGGGACAAGCTAATTTCCCAGAGACTGTCTTCAGTGATTCAGCTTTCCACAGGGTTCTCCACAAATGCAAAACGCACCTAAGGGCCCCTTTCATGTGTATATGCATGCATATACACGCAGTCTAAACCAGCTGTCTCACCCCTCCGGGATGTGTGTGTGGTTTGTGCGTACCGAGTGTTCACGGTGGGTAAATCCATTTTACAGGGATCTGCGTCAGACATTTACATTACAATTCAGAACAATAGCAAAATTACAGTTATGCAGTAGCAACAAAAGTAAGTGTATGGTTGGGGGAGGGTTTGTAACCACACATGATGGGACTACATCAAAGGATCGCACCACTGAACCAAACAGCCCAGAAACAAGAACTCAGACGGCCAATTACAATTCTACTTCTGGACCAGGAAATGGACTTCCAGAATGGGGCTAACTTATTTTCTTTTCTAGAAACTAGATACCTGCAACACACTCCTATGCTTCCATCTTGCCCCAGCGAGCAGAACTGGAAGGCCTGCATCGGAAAACCCGCTGTATGTGTGGAAGAGGGCGGTCACAAAGTACACGTTCTTAAGACATGCTATTCACAACCCTGTACGCCTGATGATGGGGGTAGCAATCGGAACACTACTTCCCACACTGCAGCTTAGCCCATAATTTCCAGAAAACACAGGTCATCTCCTCCTCGGCTATTTCAATTACACAAAAACAATTAACTTGGTATTTGAAGGTTTCTCTTACAATATGCAAATCTCACAAATTACAATTCTGGTAGGTAATGGTCAAATAAGCAGGAGACAATTTTTTTTTTTTTTTGCTTTATCATCTTAACTGTGATAGAAATTCCCAGAATTGGTCTGAAATTTACTTTCGTCACTTCAAAAAAATATTTGAACTTTATGCTACACCTTTCTGAGTCTAAAAAAGAAACTGGATACTACATGCTCATTTCATTTATATAAAATGCTAAAACAAGAGAGGGGGCACTAGAACTTAGCTCGAGAAAAACGCCGAAGTCAAGTTACTGTGCCTCAGCAATCCCTCCGCTGAGAGGCGTACTTACTTCTTCCCTAGATTAAGCACAACAACCAATTTAAACACTCCACGCTTTCACCTCATTACTCCAAATTTATCTTCTGTCTCATTTGCGCTGTCACAGCCTATGTCAACTTGTACAAGCCTTAACAGACCCTAGAGGTGAACAAAGGCGTGTTCTTTGATCGGGATTTCAGCAAAATCGACAGACTGGATTTCGACCTAACTCCACAAACCCTCAAAAACACAGGGCCCCTGGAGAGCAGCGTCTCCTGCCCTTTCCTGTCCCCCCCAGATTCCACCTCCCCTCACCCCGCTCATCACAAGCGCAGGTACTTCCCTTAGACCCCCCCCCCCCCAGACCTCACTAACACCGCTCTGCTAAACCGACGCCAAGTTCCCGGAGGCTGGATTTCTCAAGAGCCGAGCTGGAGAGAAGGGCGAGGGGCGGGGGAGGGGGGGACACGGACAGCGACGATCGATCAAGTCACCTTTAACTTTCTTCCTCCCTCCCCACTTTAAACTCCCGGGGGAGCCCCGAGGGGGAGGACTGCCCCGGGAGCCCAAAGTCTGCGCTCCCCGCCGACTTCGCGGCGCGGCGCCTCGCCCAAGCCCTCCCAACTGCCACCGCGGAAGCGAGCCACGTCGCCGTCCCGGGCTGCGGCGTGGAGGGTGACCGGGCGCTCGGGGACGGCGCCTCTGCGGGCAACGATCGCGGTGGGGGCGGGGGAGCCCCGCGGCCTAGCTCGCCCGCGGCCCTCGCTTCCCTCCCGTCGGGGCCGGCGGCCATGTTGCGAGGGGGGTCCCGGCGGGTCGTCGCCGGCCCGTGCGGGGTGTGGGGGGCGCCCACCTGGCGGCGTGGTGGGCGTGAGCGTGGTCGTCGGGACCAGCTTGGGGGTCGCGGTGGGCAGCACGGTGACGTTGGGAGGGACGCTGCTGTTCTGCTGCGCCGCCGACACGCAGAGCGCGGCGAGGCAGGTGGCGGCCCAGAGCAGTCCGCGGGAGACGCCCGCCATCGTGTCCTCACGCCAGGCGTCCGGGAGAAAGCTGCGGCCGAGCGGAGCTCCCGTCCAACCCTGCGGCCCCTGCGGCGCCGCCCCCGACGGTCCCGCCCCGCGGGAGCGCGCGGCGGTCACGTGAGGAGCGTGGTTAGGGGCGGAGCCGGGGGCGGGGCGGGGGGTGGGGCGGGGCGGGGCGGGCGAGACCACCAGGAAGCCCGCGGGACGCAATGGGTCCGTCCTCAGGTCTGCAGCAGGGAGGCTTCTCGCCTGGTCCCTGGCGAGGATGGAACAGCCCACGTGACGCAGGGAGGGGCGTCCACCCAGGCGGCCTGCAAGGCCTCACGTGACCTCCTCGGAAGCGGAGTGCCGGGCTCGGTTTAAGATCCGTCCCTGACGCTTCCGTGTCCCAACCGTCACTGGTGCGCCTGCCCAACCTGCTCCTTCGGAGTCACTGAGGGGTCTGTCCCGACCCCACCGCGGTAGTCGGACGGTCGGGGGTGAAGAGCCTCAGAGCCCCATTCCCCCCCCGCCCCCGCACACCACGGCTGAGGAAACCTGAGACCTGGGAAAGTGACCTGACCCTGAGACCAGGGTCGCCTGGTGCCAGAACTGGCATTTTCAGGGTCTGTTGGCGCGACTCAGGCTCTCCGAAGTCGCGAGCGCCCTCCGATGCTGGATCTCACAAAATGCTCAATGCTTGACATGCTTGTATTAAGCGTTTAAAAAAAAATTAGACTTGAAAATGATACGCAGAGCTAGGGACGCAGCTTATTGGTAAGAACGGCTGCTCCTCATGCCTGAGGGTTCAGCCCCCCTCGCCCCTGCAGCACCGCAGATCATGCTGTCTCAACTGTTCAGCGGTTGTCATGTTTTCAATTACGTTGTGCTGTAAATGTTATCATTTTAATTATGCATAATTTACCCTAGTAACACGAATATTAACTGTTTCAGTGATGCCTCTTTTCGCGGTAGTACAAATTCTAAAAATGACCGCAGAAACATTTTTACAACTTTAGCGTGATAGTAAAAGCCTTTTATTTCTGCCTGTGGTGGATTCAGTGTGGTTCCTTTGCGGGGGGTACCCAGTGTAAAACAAACTGGTGGCTTGTGGCTGATGAAGGCAGAGGCCTGAGTGCGGTCCAATAAAAGACCTGTCACCATTAGATTCAGAAAAGCAGCTGCTGCTCGCTCAGACACATCGACGAGAGAAGACACTTCCCAACTTCTAACGCTGGGAGATTTAAGGGCAGAGGTTATGTCTCATCTCTTCCTGCTCCCAAATCGGTGGTCTCGTTTGTTCCCTAGGATGAACACTGCTGTGGGGACCGTTGGTTAACAGTTTGTCGTTTGAAGTGTTCAAGCCTAGTCCACACATTTCCTTTAGTCCTTAGAACGGGACACTTTCAAAACTAGAAAACCGTTGGTTTATTTTAGTGGCACCTATAGAACTAAATCGAGGAACTGACTTTAATTCCAAAGTCATTTTCATCGTTCCGGAAACAGCTTTGTTTTCAGTTCGTAAAGGAGCAGACTTCTGTTTATCGCCTTCTCACCCCAGGGAATGGGGCTGCCCACGAGGGGACGCTCTTACCATTTCAGTTCACACAAGATAGTCCTTCCTGGACCAGCCTTATCTATGTAGTCCCTCACTGCGAGTTCCCAAATTATTCTAGATGGTTTCAAGTTGACACTTAAAACCATCATAGCTACCCACCTCCCTCCTCTCAGCCAGTACCAGACATCTACAGAAGAGCTCCTGAGTTTCCGGTCTTTTTCATCTGGATCATCATGGTACAGTTTTTCTGCATTTATACTAACACTGTATCACTATGCTATACTATACTAAACGAATGCACTCACCCCTTCTGGCACCTGGGCAGTTCTCACTTCCTGTCTCTCAAGCGAAGATTCACTCCCCGTAGAAAGCGTTCCTTAAAAATCCCATAGGACTCCTGCCTCCCGTGTCCCTGACCATGGGTGCCCCACTGTGCTTGCACATTTATTCTTAGAGTTGCGATTTTCTTACCAGATCACAGACTCAGGAATCAGACATGCCCAGCATCTTATTCCCTACTCCAGTCATGATGCTGTAGAGATGCTCTACAAGTCATGGGCTTGTAGAGAAGGCACTCGATTATTTTGACTTTTTAGAAAAGGCTGAGTAAAAGAACAAACTGGTTCCTCGGGGTCATTGCCCATCCTTGTCAAAATGTGTCTAAGCTCAGGAGGGCAGGTGCTACAGACAACTCCCAGGTTATAGCCCCTCTAGCTGTGGATCACAGAATTACATGCAGAGGATGCTATGAGTGGGAAATGGGGTCTGGAATCTATGATACAATTCTTTAATTACATTTGCAGGGGCTGGAATCTGTAATGCAGTTTTTTTTTTTTAATGTCTATGTATGCAAGCAAATGGTGCCATTACCTTCTGAGCCAGCCCTGACCTTAATTTTTTTAAGATTTATTTTTATTATGCGTATTCACCTACATGTATATATGGATACCACATGCATGTCTGGTGTCCGAGGAAGCCAGAAGAGGAATGGAAGATCCCCTAGTGCTGGAGCCACAGTTTTGTCATGTGGGTGCTGAGATACCGCGAAATTGATGGTTCTATTTCTAGGGACGGGGAAACATCCTGAGCGCTGGCAACTGTCTCGCCCCTGGGGAATGTTTCTAATAGAGACCTCCCATCTTACTCTTGCTTTATGAGAGCGGTCCATGAATGTAAAATCCCAAGACGTACCTCACACTCTGACTCAGAAGTTGATCTTTCACAAGATCCCCAGAAGCCATGGATGCATGCAGACTGAGGCTTTGAATGGACATATGTAATATGCAGAGCTAACTCATCTGTCCCGAATTGCCAGTTTGAAGGGGAACCTAGCTACAAAACTATAGCAAGACATCTTCCGATTTTACAAATGTAAGATTGTGATACAAGCAAGACAAAGCTGGTAGTGTAAAAACTATGGAGCCTGGCCAGGTTCTCGTTAGCCCAGAATCTATCTTGTATGTTTTTGTTTGTTTGTTTGTTGTTGTTGTTGTTGTTGTTTTTACTTTTTCCTATGTAGCCCAGGCTTGTCTTGAACTTATATATCCCAGGCTGGTCTGAATCGTACCCTGCTGCCTCATCCTCCTAAGGGCTGGGATTTCAGGGATGGACCACACATCCAGCTTTGAGATTTGTGTTTCTCTTCTGCTTACTTCTGGGTTTGCTAACTCTCTTTGCATCATCTCTAAGAAATGGAAACTTTTCTTGACTTGTTCTTCGTCTCTGTGTTAAGGCGACATCCTCGGGAGCTTTCTGGTGTTCTGCATGAGCTATGGCTCCCTGTGCACAGAGGCATTCCCAGTGCTGCTTCTGGTCCCATCCTGGATAACTATTTTCAGCTAACACAGCCAGACAGCATTCTGTTACATGTGAAAGTATGAGAAGCTGTGATTTAGCACAGTTACAAAACCCTAATTTCCAGCTTTGTAATTTAGTTGAGTCTACTATATTTGTGTGATGTACAAAGTCTGACAGGGACCTAAGATTTGCCTGTTGTAAAAGGTGGGGATTCCATTTTGGGAATGTAAAGAATAGCAATATGGTCTTTAAAGGAGAGAATACCAGTCATCATGGTAGAAATCAACTCTGTTAGGGAGATGCCTTTGAATTAGTTCATTTGGCCAACTGAAAAGTTGATATGGTGATCAGTGAAAACAGGCAACACAGTATGACACAATCTTAATGCCTCTTGAAATGATGACACTGTCACTGAACTGGTTTTGCGAGAGAGACATTACCGAGTTTTTATGGGGTATCTGCTGTGCCGGGCATCAGCAGAAATGTCTCCAGTTGCTTCTCAGGACTCAAAACACTGAGCTAGATGTGTCCTATTTTACTAATAAAAGTAAAGCCCCGCCCCCAGTAAAGCACTGTGCTGCTGTTGGTTTTGTAGGTTTACTCAGAGAATCATGGAAGTCTTAAAGCCAGCAGCTAGACAGTGGCCTTTTTATTTCTATTGTCGGTACAGATGAGGTCAGCAAAGGTCGAATAATCTGACCATGATCATTACTGTAGGGAAGATGACTGTAAAACAAGTGTGTTTAACTTAAAATACTCCTAAGATGTAAAAGTCAAGAACCTGGGATCTTGGTGTTGCTGGGTCGTTTATTCATTACCAAGCAATCAGTAACTGTTTCTAGTGGGGCCAATGCCATTTTTGCATTTATACTTGGTTGATTTTTAAATTTATTATTTTATTTTGAGACAGGGTCTTAGGTAGTCTAGTGTGGTCTATGTATAAAGGCTGATCTTGGACTTGCCTCTACCTCCAGAGTAGAGGTATCAATGTGTATACTTTTAAATGGTGGTCATAAGAACCACCACACACACACAGCGAGATTTGAAATTAAAGTTTCTGATGCCCAGAAGTAGAGCACAAGTGAATAAAGTGATAATGACTTGGCATTTCTGAAGATTGGTACAATTACACCTTTATACTGCTGTTAAAGGAAATGCTTTTTTTTTTTTTGGACAGGTTCTCATGATGTATCCCAGGCTAGTCTGAACTTGCTGAGTAACCCAGGCTGGACTTGAAAACAATATACCCTATGTAGACCGATCTTCTGCCTCCACTTTTCTAGTGAGGGAATTACAGGTGTGAGCCGCCCCACCCACTCCTAGATAAGTCTCTTTTAACGAGCGAATATCCCAGTTCTTTCACAATATCAGACAAAGTGTCTAATGCCATTGATAGTTTTCCACTAGTAAAACCTGCTCTTTGTTACCACATCGCCAGTTCTGGTCGTGTGCTTTAACCAGGATCCTGGGAAAAGCACAGGGGCTTATTTGATTTGTCTTACTGGTGTACCAACCTGTCTTCTGTGATAACACCCGTGTGACCTGTGACCTGGCTCAGGTCTCAGAGAGGAAGTCCGGAGGATTCACAGAAAAGCCAGGGTTTGGTGAATCAGATACGGTAGTGATACCTACTACCCAGTTCTTGGAAGGTGGAGGCAGGATGATTGATTGTGAGTTCAAGGCCAGACTAGGCTACACAGTGAGGTTCTGTTTTAGGATTTCCAAGTAAATAAAGAGAAGTTTGTGTTCCCCGCTATCCCTGCGCTCTGTCAAGAAAAAGGACTCTCTGCTGTGGCTACTGAGTCTTGGAGAGCATTTACAGAGTACATACCCAGAGGCCAGCTCCTACAGGGTACACGTAATTTATTGAAGATCAAACTGAGCACCCATCTATTGAGCACTTACAGCATACCACGCCTCTTTTTAGGTTCTTTACATAAATTACTAGTTACTGACCTTGGACAGCCACACTCAGGACAGCACCACCTCTTTTTCACACGAGAAAACAAGGGCCCAGAGAAGTTCTTGCCTAAACTGATGCCGGTAGAGAAGAACAGAGGTGGGTTTCCAACCCAGGCAGCCTGGCTCTAGAGGACATGTTCACAGTTTGGAATGTATAATGTGCATTCTCCTCATCCATGTTAGGGCTGCGTGCTGGTGGGCTATAATGCAGCAATAGAAAAGGGCGGATGAGAGTTAGGGGTAGGCTGAGGTTGGTCTCTCGGGGTCGTGGATCTTCGTTATTCGTGATGGCCCCGCACACTTGCAGCATTGTGAGCTGCCTGTTTTGATACGGCACCATAGTTACGGAGGGTGGAGGCACCGGGGACATTGGGTGAAGTGGACACAAGACTGCTCTGTCCTATTTTTGCAACTTCCTGTGAATTTGTAGTCACCTCAAAATAAACATATGCCTACTTTTGGCAAGCCCCAAATCAATGAACAGCCCCTCTTTCAGAATTGGTTTGACGTGGGGGGGATCCTCCTTGGAAGACAAGCCTCCTTTGGAGCAGGGAAAGGTGGGACAGAGGCAAAAGGGTAGAGGTGGCAGTAGGAACGGAGCAGTCCCCAATAAGGGTCAGGAGCTATGGTGACAGCACTAGGGGTGCTGAAATCAGCCACTCTGTGGCCTTGTGATTCTCAAATGACCGGTGCTCAGCTGTCCAAGTAAAGAAGAACTAGAGGAGCACAGATCCCTGTCTCCATCTTTAAAGTCTCTCTCCTAGAGACTGTGACTCAGGAGGTATGACAGAGCCTGCTGGTCTGTGTTTAAAATGCCTTCCCTACAAATGATGTAGCCTTAGGGACCTTCAGACAGAGCAGCAGATAAAACAGAGCTCATGAAAAGCTACTGGGATCAGCCACCACAAGGATCAACCCATGCTCGATTTTCATTTGTCTCAGAGACATGGATTATCTTTACAACATCCAAACACATGTATTCTTTCTGTATGTTATATATAAGCAATGTAACTTCACATGAAATTGTTTTTTCTATTACATCAGTGATTTAACAAGTTTATCATGATAGGAATGTAGTTACAAACAATTCATTTACAGAAGCTCTGACTCAAAAATTAGTAGGTATATTGCTAGGTTAATAATGTTCAGGGCCACAAATAACAAGCACCAGGAATAGAGCAGCGAGGTCTCTTTGCCTTGTGCAGTACACAGTCCAGAAGCAGGAGGTGGCGAGGCTGGGGCTGACAGCCCAACCCTTTTCTTGGCTTCTGGCCTATCTGTATTCAAGACATGATGTAGGGCTGGGGCAAGACCATGGCATTCCACTCACCCACTAGCCAGAGTGCTCTCAGATGGCCTTTCCAGATGTAAAGGAGCCTGGGAAATGGAGGGGTTTGTTTGTTTGTTTGTTTGTTTGTTTGTTCATCTGTTGTAGTCTCTATGATGGAGGCAGGAGAGGAAACGGGTAAGGATTAGTTGTTAAATGAACCAACGTAATGCCCCTGTCACAGCCTTCAAATCAAATGTTATCCAGCACCATTTAATTAAATATCGAAGCTTCTTAAACTCACAGCAATAAACCATCCCAGATGTGACTGCTGTGAAAATCAGGCATAAAGGGTTCCACTGTCTCTAATACTGCAAAGAAGCATTGGTCTTTCATTCTCTGTTGGGACTACTTCTAGTTGTTTAAGAACGTCGGTTCCTTCAATTAGTTGCCTGCATAGGAAGGAATAAGAACATGGTCAGTCACCGACTTCCACATTTAGCCCACGGTCACACGTGCAAGCGCCGCCCAGCCACTGCCAAGGCCGCCATTACAAATCAAATGTCTGAAATGGCTCTAGATGTGCCCACTTCGCTGCCCGTATGCCCAGCAGCACTTCTCAGGCAGGGGTCCTGCCTGCTGCTGCCGCTTTTAGCCAGCTTCTCTGCATTTGCTCTGGGCGCCTTTCCATCCTCCTGGCAACCTCCCCCCCCCTCACTGCAGTCAGGAGGGAACCATCAGAAATAGGAACCTGATGTCACCTTCCGGCTCTAAACATGCCGCTGATTCTGCACTGTCTTCTGATGAAAACCAGGTCTCCACCTGTCTCTACCTCACCATCTGAGGTGTTTACAGGGGTAAAATATTTTTCTTTAAATTCATATTTAACATTCTCTCAGTCTCTCTGTCTCCATCTCTGTTTCTGTGTGTATGCATGTATGCAGACATCTTCAGGAGTAGGTCCTCTCCTCCAACCACGGGTTCCAGGAATCAGGTCAGCAGGCTTCCTGTGACAAATGCCTTTACCCACCTCACTGGCGCTGAAACCTTTGATTTGTTCGTTTATTTATTTTTGTTAACTTCTGGTTCTCCCTTGAGGGCAGAGGCACCTATGTGGTGCCCAATCACCCCCGACTGGGTATGTGAATAAGGTCTTCAGCCCATCCTAGTCTGGGTCTCCTCGGACCTTCACTGGCCAGGAGCTAGAACTCCAGAGAAGCGATGCTACGTGTTTGTTGTTTTCAGGTAGAAGGCAGCAACACGAAAGCTGCAGAGATGGCTTACTCGGTGAAGCACGTGCACACAGTCACAAGAAGCCAGGTCAGGAGCCCTACCGCTCACATTAAAACCAGATACAGTGGAACATCTGAGCAAGCCCAGAGCTGGGCTGGTGATGAGAGACAGGCCGAACGATCCCTGAAGTTCTTTAGCCCTAAGCCCCACTGCTGAGCTCCAGGTTCCATGAGTACGGCGTCTCAAAAAGTAAGGTGCATAGGTCGAATCCGTCTACGTCTTTTTCCGGTTGTGCTGAGGAGCTGTAGACGGTAGGGCCTCGGGCATACAAGGCAAGCACTCTACCACCTACGCTCTATCCCCACTCCTGATAAGGTGGTTTTGTTTTTATTTTAATTTATACCCACACTGTTAGTGTAGGTTGTCTTTTTACTTTATTTTTATTTTATTTACCTTCATTGCATTGGTGCATTGGTGTTTTGCCTGCGTGTATGTCTATGTGAGAGGATCAAACTTTGGAGTTACAGTTGTGAGCTGCCATGTGCATGCTGGGGCTTGAACCTGGTTCCTCCAAAGGACAGTCAGTGCTCTTAACCGCTAAGCCATCTCTCCAGACGATCTTTTTGCTTTCTTGATGATGTTCTTTGATGCACATGTTTTCAGTTTTATTGAAGTCTCAATTTACCTATATATTTTTTCTTGCATTGCTCATGTCTTTAGTGTCAAATCTCAGAATCATTGCCTCGGATAGACAGGACACTTTCAGGTTTTGCTAACCACACACGGGCTTCCAGAAGCTGAAATGCCAGGATAGCCCAGAGAAGCAGTGTACCCCCAAAAGGATTAGTTGTTTATTTTGTTATTACCTTTCTCCAGCTCCCTTTAAATGTTCTGCACGGTCCTGTTTAGATACTTCAACCTGATTCAAACTGTCATTTGGAGACCAGGGATAAGTTCAGCTCGAGCCGAAGCAAAAAAAAGGGATGCACTGCCTCCCTGAGGCCAGAGCGGCAATGACAACATGAGATTTCCCCAAGAACAGCCAAGGAATCCTTGCAAACAGGACCCAAGGAACTGGGGGTGGAGAAGGGGTGTGTGTGTGTGGTGGGGATCGTATCAATTCTACTTCAAGCCTTCCCAACCGACCATTTGCAGTCTCTGCTTTTTATTTGTTTTCGTTTTGGTGGGGGTTCTGCAGGTTTTATCTTTATCTGCCTTCCTTGGTGGGCTCTAATGTCTCTGAAGAGCAGCAGGCCTGTGTCTTGCCACCCTCTCCCCACTCAAAACATCAGTAATGGCAGATGGCAGGTGCCCAATAAAATCCTGATCAAGAGAATAGCAAAGATGGTGGCTGAAAAGGGTTGTAGGGCAGGAAAGGGGAGGTGTGATCTGCTGCACTGGGCTGTACAGTGTGTGTGTGTGCAGGAGGCAGAGGTCATGGATGAATTGCAGTTTTACCGAGTCGCCCTTGTCTGTGAGAAAGGTGGTTTTGATGAGGTAGAAGGGGTGTGAGCAAGATGACAGAGAATATTTAAATGAGCCAAGATGAGGTAAAAGTTATTTGTAGCTAAGATTAATTCAAGAATGCATTTCAGCACGAGCCTTTTATCCATGTACTGGGGAGGCAGAGGCAGGAGGATATTTGAGTTTGAAGCCAGCCTGATCTTCAGAATTCGTTCTAGGACAGCCAGGGCTACATAGTGAGGCCCTGTGGCACTTCCCACCCCCCCCCAAAAAAAGGAGAGAGACACACACAGAATGCTTTCTCACAAGCAAAAACATTTCAAAAATCATTAATACTTTTTTATTGGTGTGAGAGAATTCAATTCTGAACCTATGAATGAAAAGTCATCTAATTAAAGCTATCTTTTTTTTTTCTTTTTAAGCTATCTTTTGAAAGAAAATTTCCCACTCTCCCCAACCTGGAAATATCAAAGAAAGCATTAAACTAAAGGAATTATTGTGGTTGGAATAAATGACGGTCCGGAGGGGTGAAAACGACCTAGTAGACGTTCTACTGCATGACCCCAGGCAGACAGTCTGCTTGTTTCCCCATTGACTCATTAGTAACAGAGTAGGGACCAGAACACAGGAGTGTTCTGATGATGAAAAGTACATCCATTATCCACTGTGGTCCATAGGCCAGTTAGCTTCTTACTAATGTTCTGACAATTATTGTTGAATCCATAGACGATCTCAGACAGTGAGATGGTATCAACTTCTCGCTTCTACATGCCAATATATTCTACATTATTAAGCACTACAGTACGATTAGTAGTAAGAATTGTTAATCTTTTGGAGGCTGAAGATGACGGGTAAATGGATAGGGTAAATGGTACATAGAAAGACAGATATATGATCAGACAGAATATTACCATAGCTGCGTTTAATTAATTTAGATATTAAAAAAATTATGTGTGTGTGTATGTGTATCGATGTGTGGTGTGCAGAGCATGGCGTATGTGTTGAAATTAGAGGACAATTTTTATGGAACTGGGTCTTCTTCCACCTTTGAATGCGTCCCAGGAATTGAACTCATATCATCAGGATTGTGCAGCAAGCACCTTTACCCAACTTCTGTATTTAATTGATAACAAGTTTGTTATGACTCTTTATTGTTAAATGTGTCCGTATTGTTTTTGCTTTGATCTCTATCTTTGGCTAAGCATAGACTATGTACAATAATCATGCAAATATTTTGAGCAGCATTTGACATGTGTGAATATTATGCAGAAAAACCTATAATGTACGTACCCAAATGCCACATATTTTTTATCCAGATAGGGAGTTGCTTGCAGCGTGATGTAGAATTGTGACGCATTGGTATGACGACCTTTATTGACCATTCCAAGAACTCCCCTTTTATTATGAGGAACTGCAAAGTTTTCATCTAGGAGAGGATAATCAGTAGGTCACTGAAGTATCGGTATTGTTTCCAACAATTTATAACATGTAAGGAACAAAGGGAGCTTTGGTAACAGGCTTCCTCCCACTTATCAATATACTGCAAACTGTAAACATTCCTATTAGCTTTAATTACTTTCAAATATTTAAATAAACTGTTTAAAGCTTATTGGAACTTCTTGAGCATTTAGCTCCTTTGTCTTGACTGTAGCTAAACCCTGGTGTCCTCAGTGTATGCGCTGCTTATACAGCAGAGGGCGACAGACATCCTCGCACTGGTTGGCAGTAGAGCTTTTTCTGACAACCAACACGAGCCTTAGAAACACCTTTCTCAAGTCCTTGGTGGGTCTGGCCCTCCCTGCAGCAATCTTACACAGAGCCCTATCACAGTCATATGCTTGAGAGCGGTCACTGGTCTCTACAGTTTATAGGGGGCTTCCTCCCTATCTTTGTGTGTGAGCAGGACCCTTGTCCCGTGGCTCTAGTCCCAAGACTCCTGCCACATTAACTAGCTCAGGTGTGTTCTTAAATGTGAAGATGAAGGCGGTAATAGGTACTTATTTCCACTCATATTCAAATACATTTTATTTTTTTTAAAAAATTATTTATTTATTTATTTATTTATTTATTTATTTGTTTGTTTATTTATTTATTTATTTATTATGTATACAATGTTGTCTGCATGTACACCCGCACACCAGAAGAGGGCACCAGATCTCATTATAGATGGTGGTGAGTCACCATGTGGTTGCTGGGATTGAACTCAGGACCTCTGGAAGGGCAGCCAGTGCTCTTAACCTCTGAGCCAGCTCTCCAGCTCCTCAAATGCATTTTAATCTCCAGCCTCCTGTGGGTTGACTTCTGAGCTAAAGGACAGTTTGGGGGCACGTAGGTACAAATGTGGCAGAACACGGAATTGGTAGATGGACGAGGCCACATTTTCAGAAGCACCACCCCAGATTTGTTTCTGCAACAACTAACCTTCATGGCCAACTTGACAGGATTTTGAATCACCTTGGAAATACAACTCGAGGAGTGTCCAGGAGAGGTTTCCAGAAAGGTTTGACTGAACAGGGAACAGTCTCTCCGAATGTGGAGGCACCATCCAATGGTTGGGGACCCAGTCTGAGAAAAGTGACCTGGGGATCAGCATCCATCTCTCTCTGCTGCCTGACTGGATACGATGTGCTCTCTTGCTGCCATGCTTTCCCTGCCATGATGGGCTGGACCTTCAAACTCTGAGCCAAAGCAAACCCTCCCTTCTCCAAACTGCTTTTGTTGCATATTTTGTCACAGAAATGTAAATAACAGAGCCTCCAAGTTCAAATGGACAGAAACAAGCGGTGGATGACAAGGTCAGGAAAAGTACTCACTGACTATAAAGCTCTGGCTTGGGGATTTAGCTCAGAGGTCAGACACTTACCTAGCATGTAGAAGGCACGGGTTCAGCGCCAGCATAATTAGTTAATGCATAGTTACCTAGAGAGCCGGGCCCCAAGCTAAGGAAAGAATTGCAATTTCAAGGTCTGCCTGACCTACAGAAATCTTCATGGACACACCTCTAGTATTTTTCAGTTAGTGTTGCTAGTATTATAGCAGTTCTGTAGTTATACAAAACTATGCCACCTGTCTGATGGCATACGTCTTCTTCATCATTTGCAGGTAGGGTAACTCTTACTGAACCCAGAGCTCACTGATTTGGTAAATCTAGCTGTCCAGCTTGCTCTGACCATGCCTTGTCTCTGCCTCCTAAGTGCTAAAATCAGGAAAAGGCCACCAAGATTGGCCAGCTTTGATACGGGTTGCTAGGGATCTGGCCCTCCAAGCAAGTGATTATTCACTGAGCCACCAATGTCTTTCTTGGGTTTTAATGCCGGTGAACTTTAAAGACAACCTTGTTTTGCCATAAACCATGTGATTTTTAGTGAATGGAGCTGCAGGACGAAGAGGTCTGTTTTGCTTTTTGTAAAGACCCGTTTATTTTTATCTTATGTGTATTGATGTGCCGGGGCATGCCTGATGTCCACAAAGGCCAGAAGAGGGCATCAGATCCCCTGAACTGGAAGGCAGTTGTGAACTGTCCAACCTGAGTGCCTGTACGCAAACCCAGGTTGTCTGTAAAGGCATCAAGTGCTCACGGCACCATACCATCTGTCTTCCCTTGGTACTTTTTGTAAAAGGATTAAAAACAAATTGTGTGTGTGTGTGAGAGAGAGAGAGAGACAGAGAGAGAGTGTGTGTGTGTATATGTGCCACACATGCATGTGAAGGTCGGAGGACAACATTTTGGAGTTGGTTCTCTCCTAGCGTGGATTCTAGGGACTGAACATGGGTAGTCAGGCCTGCACAGTGAGCACTATGGCTGCCAAGCCATCTTGCCAGCCCCGATAAGGAGATTTCTTTGGACGACCTCACATTGTAATGGGGCTGGCTGCAGCCCGGTGCAGAGGCTCGCCTACCCCTTGGCAGTGCATCCCTTCAACAGAGGCACAGAATTTTCACTGTGTTCAGAGGGACTGATGCAACTAAGCCGCACCCAGGTTTTGCTGTGGCCAGGCAAATAGCTGCTGTTCTACTGTATTATTTCCTTCTCATTTATTAATTGTGTGTGTGTGTGTGTGTGTGTGTGTGTGTGTGTGTGGTGTATACACACATGTAGGTGACACGTGCAGGTGCCCAAAGCTGTGCACGCGGTTGCAAAGGACTGGGAGGGTTTGAATGAGAATGGCCCCGTAGGCTCATATCTTCAGATGCTTAGTCATCAGTTCATAGAGTGTTTGGAAAGCTGAGGTGGTGTGGCCTTGTAGGAGTAGGTGTGGTGCTGGGCATGCGGCTTGGGGTTTCAAAAGCCCATGCCAGGCTCAGGGTTTCTCTCTGCCTACTACATGCAGACCAGCATGTAGCTCTCAGCTCCTTCTCCAGCACCATGCCCTGCTGCCCCTGTGCTCCCCACCATGATGATAATGGACTAACTCTCTGAAACTGTAAGAAAGCCCCCAATGAAATGCTTTGTTTTAGAAGAGTTGCTTGGTCAAGGAGTCTTTTCACAGCAATAGAACAGTGACTAAGACAAGGACAGAGGGAGAAGTAGGGTGTCCTGCTCCACCATTCTTCATTTTGTATCTTTGAGACAGAGTGACAGAGTCTCATATTGAACATGGAGCTAGGCTGGTGACCATAAGCCTCAGCACTCTCCACCCATCCCCCACACAGGCATCATACAGACACACACAATCACGCCCAGCTTTTTCCATGGATGCTAGAATCCAAACTCAGGTCTTCAGGCTTGGGCAGCAGGTGCTCTTACCCACTGAGCCATCTTCTGGAATACTTTTATAAAATATTTTTCTCCCATCCATCCATCCATCCATCTGTCTATCTATCTTGATGTAATTTTTGAGACAGGATCTCACTATGTAGCACTGGCGGTGCTAGAGCTCAGAATGTAGACCTAGCCTACCTCCAACTCACTGAGATCTGCCTGCTTCTGCCTCCCATTCAGGGATCAAAGGTGTGCACTACCATGCCCACATTTGATATTTCTCTTCACCTAAAGATTGATATATCTCACACAGAGAAGGCCAAATAGATATTTAATTACATAAGTTTTCAAGATAACAGGATTTTTTTAAAAAAAGATTTATTTTTATTTATATAAGTATGTATGTATGTGCCTGTGTGTATAAGTACCCAAGCAGTCCAGCAGAGAACACTGGATCCCTTGGAGCTGGAGTTACAGGTGGTTGTGAGCTGGGTGCTGGGAAGCAAACACAGATCCTTGCTAACAGCAGTCTGCACTCTCAAACACTGAGCATCTCATAATGAATTCTTTTTCTATCATTCCTTTAAACGGACCCAGTTAGACTGTCTTATAATACAGTATCATTATGAACTGGTTGGTTTAAAATATATGTTGGCTTCCAACCTATTGCAATTACTATTTTTGTGGAGGTCAAATGAGTACATCTTTGGTCAGAGACAGCTTCTTTAAGTTGGCCCTGTTGGCATTTTGCTTGGATTCTAGTAATCTTTAATAGCATCCCTGCTATCTGGTAGAATAAGAGGGAACTAACTGGTACATTGGGATTTATCCTGAAGAAATAGGCAATAAATGTATATACAAAGCTTCTGTGGACTAGACCAAGAGGTTGGCTGGTTGAGATGGTCACATCTAGTCCAGGTTGGCTTCAAACTCTACATATCTGAGGATGACCTTGAACTCCAGATCAACAGTCTCCCTCCTCAGTACTGGGATCACAGTATGACCCGCCACATGAAACTGAGGGTCTAGGAAGTCAAGCTCAGGGTTTCTTGCATGCTGGACAGGTAAGCATACTACCAACAGAACTCCATCTCCAACGCCAGGTTTTCGTTTTGTTTTAGAATGTCACTTAGTCTTTAATAAAGTAAGGACAAAGCTCCACTTTTAAAATATCTGCAACTTGAAGGGTAGCACCATTTTAAACTCTGATTTTTACTAAATACTATCACAAAATGTCATATTGGAATCCTTTTCAATTTGAATTATCAGCTACTACATGGCTGACAAACTTGAAAGATACATACCTTCAAATGTTGGTCCGTAAATAGACTCTCCATCATCTCCTCTTCCTTCTACTATATCTGAGAAATGACAACAATCAGATTAGAACACAGCGATGACAAAGGGAAGAAGATGCGTTAAATTTTTATTCTGCTTACATCTTAGATCAAGTCTAGAGTAAGTTGCCCAATTGAAAATTCTAGTACGGGGGCTGAGAGATGGCTCAGAGGTTAAGAGCACTAGCTGCTCTTCCAAAGGTCCTGAGTTCAATTCCCAGCAACCACATGGTGGCTCACAACCATCTATAATGAGACCTGGTTTCCCCCTGCTGGCGTGCAGGTAAACACACAGACAGAACATTGTATACATAATAAATAAATCTTTAAAAAAAAAAGAGAAAATACTACTATGATCACTTTAACTTGAAATAATTTTTGTTTATAAAATCATTTTGTTGCCATAACTCTATGAAAGAACTTAAATTATAACATAAAATCTTTGAAAAATAGTTAATTATAATGGCCAATTTAAGGAAGATGCTCACACAAATCCATTCACATCATAGGTTATTCCATATTTCACTAAGCAAACAAAATGGGAAAAGTTCTTTGGAAACAGGGTTTTTCTGTTTAGCCCTAACTCATGTTGTACACTAGACTGGCCTTGAACTCACAGAGATACGCCTGCCTCTGCTTCCTGAGTGCTGGGATTAAAGATATGTACCAGCATGCCCAGCAGATATTTATTTTCTATGTGTGAGTGTTTTTCTCACTTGTATGTCTGTGTAGTATGTACATTCTAGAACTGGAGTTATAGACAGTTGTGAGGGGCTATCTGGATGTTGGGAATCAAGCCCAGGTCCTCTGCAAGAACAACAAGGGCTCTTAACCATTGAGCCATCTCTCCAGCCTCAGAGTTCTTTTTGGACATGGATGAGCATGGATGCTCTAGGTGCTGGGAAGGTAGCACAGAGGGTAAAGTGTTTTCTGTGCAACCATGAAGAGATGAGTTTGATTCCCAGCGTCCACCCAGAACAGGCGGCAGGTTGGCACACATGGGTGAGCCTGTGGATTCCTGGATCTCACTGCCCAGTCACCCTGGCTTAACTGGCAAGCTCCAATCCCAGTGAGACACCCCAGCTCGAGAAACAAGGTGAACATTTCTTGAGGAATGGTACCCAAGGTTAACCTCTGACCTCTATCCATGTACATACAAACCTGCAGGCACCCCAACCACCCCCGTACATATATACACACACAAGTAGAGGCTTTTTAAAAAGTTACATTCAGATTTTCATTGCTTTAGTTATCGTTGGCTGGGAGTGTAGCTCAGAGGGAGGGCACTAGGCCAGCATATATAAGACCCTGAATTTGACATCCGGCATTGTAAAAAAACATAGTTATTCATAATGATAACTTACTTATTTAAACAATGTTTTGGAAACAAAATTCCTTTTGCTATAATGAGAGGGTTTTCCATTTATTTGCTTTTGGTGTTTGTAGGAGCTACATATTTTGGCTTAGGCAATGATCCCATTATGTCTCTATGTCCCAGCCTCCCCTCTACTTCCTTCATCTCGCTGATCTATCCCCTCTCTATACAGTATCTAATAAATACTGGCTGAAGGGCCGAGCTATTGTATCCATGTGTAAGCAAGCTAGCTACACACGTGGTTAAAAAATAAATAAAACCTGATACAACAGTAAGCACACAGAGAAAATGTATTTGAAGAAGGACATGGACAAAATTACACTATTCATTATTGATGCAAAAGACAAAACAAGCTCATCTGCATACACATATGGCCTTCCCCAACACCCAAAGAATATCCAAAGCCAGGTGTGGTAGCGCATACCTTTAACCCCAGATTTTAGGAGACAGAGGCAGATTGGAGGCCAGCCCTAACTCTATGAATTTTATAAAGGAAAAAGAATAAAAGTCTGGACATTCTGCTTGGATGTCATATTTACATCTTTAAAGTTTTCAGCTTACCTCCTCCTTGTATCCAACCATTCTGGACAACTCGATGAAAAATGGAATCTTTGTAATGAAGCTTTACGCCCCTTTCAGAAAACCCTGCCGTTCCTGTGCATAAGACCTGAAAATTTTTACATGTTTTGGGACACGCATCACAAAATAGCTACAAAATAAAGGTGAAAGGTTTCAAAGATTACTCAATATTTGATCAGTTACAGACTCCTCAAAATTTATGTAAAGAAGACAGCAAAATTTTCTTACCTCAAAAATCATTCTTCCAATTAGAGCAAGATCAATACAAACGTCCAAGTACACAAAATCATGCTATTAAAATTAGGGAGGAAAAAAATGCAGGTCAGTGTTTTGTAAGAAAGTTTTAGAAATGTTAAAAAAAAAAAAAAAAAAGTAAAGCAGGGCCTGGAGAGATGGCTCAGCAGTTAAGAGCACTTGCTGCTCTTCCAGAGGACCTGGGTTCAGTTCCCAGCACCCACATGCTAGCTCATAGCTGTCTGTAACTCCAGTATCTGACACCCTCACACAGACATACATGAAGGCAAAACACCAATGTACATAAAATAAAAATAAATGTTAAAAAAGGTCAGGCATTCTTTTCAGTGGTAAGATCTTAAACTGCCGTTGGAACCGAGAAGAGCAAATACAAGCTAATCTACAATAGCAATAGATAACAGTAAAATAAATGACTTCAAGGGATTTTAAAATTAATTTTACCCAAGTCCTTATAACCTCTGTTACATAATGGTTTGAAAAGCTTTCAGTAGTGAAGCACATGAGCTAGAGATTCAGCCCAGAGCTCACTGTGGACAGGGACAGGGGACAGTCCCCCTGGGGAAGAAATAGATTCTTCTCTGCTCTTCTTTGCTGAGCAGGTTTGGGAGAAGATCCAAGTGAGTGTCCGTGGAGTTGGTTCCTGTGTGTCCTGGGTTTTCAGACACAGTAAAGCCCAGCCAGAGCCAAGCCACACACACACACACCCGGCTGGGTGGGGCCCAGGATGGTTTCGGCAGCAAGGGCAGGGGAGAAGTGGTGTGTTTTCCAGTTCTCTTCCCTTGCCCTCTCCTGTTCGACAGTCCTCGCCTCCCAGTAGAGATGACTGTTTTTGAGGTCTTGCCTAGTCCTATAAAAGGGCATCTAAGGCTGGACATGGCGGGTTCCTGTCTGTAATACCAACATTTGTGAAGCTGAGACAGGAGGACTACTGTGAGTCCAAGGCCAGCTTCAGCTATATTGTGAGTTTCAGGCTAGCCTGAGCTACTGAGGTAGACATTGTCTCAAAATCAAAAGAAAACAAATCAAAAAAGGTACCCAAAACACTAGGCTTTAATCCCCCATATCTCTTAGGGTCCACCATACACCTAACGGGGTGTTTCAGCCCTTGGACACCACTGTCATATATCAGAAAACCAACTTAGTTAGTTCAGTGCATAACTTGCCCTGCCTTCCTCAAGAATCTGGGAATGATAGTTCTTTAAATACATTGTATTGTTTTATGTCACTCTAACCTTTTTAACTTTTTCAGTTAGGACACTGAAATAATATTTGTGCTGTCTAGTGTCTGGCAAAGACATATCATAGTTGAGAATAACCAAATTTTTCTGTTATTTTTCGGACAGTGCCAGGTTGGTGTGGAACTCACTTCACAGCCATAGACCAGCTAACCTTGAATTCATGGAAATCCTCCTGTCTCAGCCTACTGAGAGCTGCGATTTCAGGCAATAATACAGGATTATATTGCGCCTAGCTAATTATAATTATAAATAGGTTAGACTTCATTAGCTTCTGTACTATAAGTTCTAAGCCATAAGAGAATGCTGTAGAAGAGGAGGCCTAATATGATAAACCTCACAGGCTTAGAAGGGACAAGAGGCTAGGTTGGAAATTATAGTTGACTAGGGGAGATGAATTAAAGTCTATTTAGGCAATTAACTTCCTTGTACATTAGTCAATTATCTTTACAGGGCCATCAGAAGCAGATATTGCTGGATGTGCATGGTGGAACTCAGCTCCAAAGAGCCAGGGAGGCCTTTCGCTAGCAGCTAGGCTGGGCTACATATAGTAGGGACTTTACAAATAACAACCAAAAGGAAGAAAAAAACAAAGGTAATTCTGAAAATGCTCCAGAAGAGAGTCAAATGGATTAATACGAAGTAACATCCCAGTCAGCAGGAGCCAAACATATTTGTCTAGCACAACATTCCAACCTGGAAATAGACAAGATCCTTAGTTTGGTTCAACAAGAGAAATCCGCCCCCTCAAAAAAGTCTTTTTTTTTTTCCAGGAATCTATGTCTTCCCTCCTCAGTGCCACCCATTAATTCATGCTTTCATTACTCCTAGCATTATGTCACTAACGGCGCTTTCCAAACACCTACCCTGCTATCAGCTTGCTTTGGCACAGCCCTAACCATTATGCCCAAAAGCAAAGAGGGTTATGTCCTAGTCTATGAAAAACTCAGTTGGACTGTTTTCCTTCTGGATAAAAATCTCTGTGGCTCAGTACGAACAGGAGTAAATCATCATCTGGCCTCCGTTTTCTTTAGGATCAGCTGGGGTTTCCCATCGACTTTAACAGTCAGCCATCCTTACTGTCTGAGCACCATCCCAGTGGATCTTACCAGCATTGCTAGAACATTTTGGGATCAGATTCTCCCTCTGCCTACCCTGTGGCAAGCATGTGGTGGGCATACGACCTAGACTTTCTAGACAAGTGCTCTGGAGTCCTGCGGCTTGGGAAGTATCATAAAGACACAAACAATGCTGGGAGGTCACTCTTGATGATGATGGTGGCAGCACGAGCCCGGGGCTAGTGGCTGGTGAGCTTGCGGTGGCATCCCAGCCACACATTTCTCTGGCATGGCTCTGGCCATTTCCCTGGTATTTGGCCTTCCTTGTTTCCTACTTGGTTTCTAAAGCCATTTCCCCCAGCTTCCCTGTGAACTGTGAGAATTAGCATCATTGCAATATGCATCTTGTTTCTTAAAGTTGGTCACAGTAGCTGTGCGCCAACTGGCATCAAGACTCGCGGCTGATAGTCTCATTTTCTCATCCTTATCAGCTACTGTTTCTGTCCTCCTTGTTGCCACTCCTGGAGGACACTGTGTCCTTCCGGACTCCTGTCCCTTTGGGAATTAATGGGGAACAGTAAATTCTTCTCCATACCTTTCTGGAATTTTAAAAAAGCATTGTTTACTCAACCAAGCACTCCCTGGGTACCTACTATGCTTAGTTCCTGTTCAAGGCAGTGGTTAAACAAGGCTCCAAAGACAAAGCCTTTGCCTCTGCACATCTCAGGCCCTAGCACTGGGTTACTCTGTGGACACAGGCCACCATGAGCAGTGGTTACTACATCAACAAACAAAATCTCCAACCAAATTTCAAAGTTGCTTTAAAACAAACAAACAAACAAACAAACAAACAAAAAACCTGTCATGATTGAGTTTTTGTCCGTGTGACACAAATCCAGACATACGTGGGAAGAGGGAGCCTCAGCTGGGAAAATGCCTTGATCATACTGGCTTGTGGGCATGTCTGTGGGACATTTTCTTAATTGCTAATTGATGGAGGAGGTGCAACGCCATCCTGGACAGTGAGCCTGGGCTGTACAAGAAAGCCATCTGAGCGAGTGAGGAGAAGCCAGCCAGTAAGCAGCATTCCTCGATGACGTCCATGTCAGTTCCTGCCTCTAGGTTTCTGTCTTGAGCTCTTGCCCTGGCTTCATTTGAAGATGGACTAGAAGCTAAATATATCTCTTCCTTCCCCAGTTGCTTCTGGGTCATGGCGTTTACTACAGAACACTAACTAGGACACCACGCTGCGCTGGTTTGTCTCTCTCCCCTGAAACCCTTGCTTCCTACCAATCTTTCCCACTGGCAACCATTGCCAACTCTTTCCTGCTTTAAATTGTCCTCATCCTGCAGATCAAAGAAATTACTCAGAGGCTCGTGGCTAATCTTAGCTAATTCATTTCAGACTTTTCATCAAAGCTCAGTAGCTCTCATTTAGGCATTAGAAGAGATTAATGGAAATATTTTAGGGCCAGAGCTGCAGAGATGACTCCAAATTTAAACACACTTGCTGCTCTCCAAGAGGACACAAGTTCAGATCTCGGCACCCACATCAATGGGCTCACAAATGCCTTCAACTTCATCTCCGGGGGAATCTAACACCCTCTTCTAGCCTCTGAGGGCTCCTGTGCTCATGTGGCACACAGGGCCAGTGAGATGGTTCAACAGGTAAATCCCTAAGTACTATACAAGCCTGACAGCCTGAGTTCAACCTCCAGAACCCACATGGCAGTGAAGGAGAGAAACAACTCCACAAGCAGACTGTGGTACACATGCCCTCCCTGTTAATAACAATAAATACTCACTGAAAATATTTATAGCACAAAATGAACAGGGGGCTTCACCAGTTCCTGCTTTGCTTGAGATAGCGCCTTGCCACATTGTCCAGATCGGTCATAGAATTAAGGGTACGAACAATCTTCCTGCCCCAAATCTCCTGAGAAGCTAGGGCTGCAGGTGCATCTCGACCCGTGTTTATGCTCTAGAAGCAGTCATCCATGCATGGGGACCTTGAAAGGGGAGGAGAAGCACAGCCCGTGTGCCATACATCTCTTCACACCGTCGCCCTGTCAAGCCCTGAACCCACAATCCTTTGCAACTTGCCTTAACAAGGCCGCTAGGGGCTTACATCTTAATCCTCGTCCTGTGCGATACACTTTGTGGGTCTATCAATAATCAGTGCTGCATCGCTACGGGTGACGGAACTTGCCTTGGTGTCTTGTAAGAACTTGGTGGCGTAATTCAGAGTAAGCGCCTCATACAGCGCGGAGGGCCGAATGTCAACCACATCCCACACCTTCTGAGCCCACTTCTTCAGGTCAGACACGTTCCCCAGGAGCTGGTCGTTAACGAAGCATATCACGTAAGAGGAATACACCCAGGTTTCACCCTTCAGCTCCTGCAGGGTAACCGGGGGATAATGACACAGACAGACAACTGCTAAACCCACAAACCAGAGCTTCAGACTAATTCTGCAGCCCCAGTGGCCAACTCAGCATTAAATCTTTCAAAACATGTTTTTCAAAAACCATCTTTCAGAATTCTGCTGTCAAAACAAACAAACAAAAAATAAAACAACAAAACATTTTTGAGGCTCTTAACATAATGAAGAACAGAGAATAACTTAAAAAGCAATCTTTAAGCCATGACAGTCAGAGACAATAGAAATCTGGTATAATACGTACATAGAGCACTTGTTAGATTAATTTGTGAATTCAGTGCAGTTTCTGTCTCTATTTACATGGGGCACTTTACAATGTGCTTTCTGGGAGAGGGTCTGAGTCAGACATGGTTTTCGATGCAAAGGACTGAGGGTGTGTGTGTGTGTGTGTGTGTGTGTGTGTATGCTCGTGCAATAAAGGCCCAGACTTGAGGCAGTGATTATTCTGTATAGAGAAAAATGCCTTTAGAAAATGCCTCCTGTGGGGCAAATGGGAGTTTCTATATATAATCAGGGACAAGGAAGACAACTCACTTTCCCCAACACTTTTTAACCTATTCCACTTAGAATGAAGTATGGAAGTATTTTCATCCATGCAATGCTGCCATCAACTTCCTGAATCCCCAGTGTGGCCAGAGAAGCATCGATCCCTGAGAAGATATGGCCGGTTGTTGCCCTGATATGGCCCGGGGCAAACCCCGAGTGACTTGGTGCAGCCGAGGGGCGGGGGTGCGGGTGAGGGTGGGGATCTGGCAGGGAATCTGCATTTCTAGTGAACTCCAGGGAAATGCTGGTTCTGACATCAGAGTATTGAAGTTCATGCTGCTTGTCACCGCAAGCTGCAATGAGCAGGGGCAAGAGTTGAACTTTTAAGCTGTGCATTACTCAGATAACTAGCCTTCTGGAAGACAGGATTGGCACTCCAAATAAGCCTTCCTTTGTTCCCTTCAGTTAGCACGGTCGGCAGATTTGGATGCTATCGAGGCGCCACCCAAGATAAGTCAACAGACAAACGGGGGTGTATGTGCTGAGCTGTATGTAAGACTCCTCTACTACATGAAGCAGCAATATGTCCTCTCAATTATAGGGCATAAAAGTGCCCCTGCCTGTCCCTCCTGCTCCCTTAAGTCTGCTGGTCTCAAGACTGAATTGGAGAAGTGCTAGTTTGGGCAACAAATTGCCTTCAACTTGCCAGCGAGCTGTACTGCTGGCTCCTCTGTGGCGCTTAACTATCCTCCGACTTGTTTTCTGCGCCTTTCTCAAAACCTACTTGCAGGTTTCCATTCCAGAGAACCTTTTTCATGCTCAGTGGTGACTCACTGATAAGGCCTAAGCAGTCCCTGGCATGTTTAGATTTATTGTTGTATTGTGTAAGACCCAAGCCTGTAAGGAGGGAAATGGAACTGATGGAACGGTGGCTATTGTGTTCAGTGAGGTAGGGGAGCACTGTAGAAGGATGTAAATGCTTTACCTCTGTGTCTTATGCTAGGATTGGTTAACTGTCCCACTTTCCTTAAAATGGACAGTGAAGTTCCCGTCTCCCTGGCAAACCAGGGCCATTACTCCTAGTTGTAGAAGGATGTGAATGTCACCCTCCCTCCCTACCCACCTATGCCAAAATGGTGGGTGCTCTCCATATCTTCAGCCCCATATGTAGGTGTTTGCTATGACCTCTGCATGTGGCACATGGCTGCCTCCTCTCACAGTAGGCTCCAGGTAACACTGCCAAGAGGTCAGGTGGCATCTCAGAGGTAAGCTGTCTACCACCCCCAGACAAGCTTGGCCAGTCCCTGGTCAGGCCTGGGACTAGTTAAAGGAGAACTATGGAGAACAAAGCTCCAACTAGGACGTGCTGCCCCAGGGGAGGGTGGCTACCGCCAGTAGAGGGCCTCAGCCCAGCACAGCACCATTATCTCTGTCATAGACATACATTTTTTTTTTTTTTTTAAATTAAGGTCCAGGCCACTGTAAGCTGAGTGTCAGGGTGTCAGAGGAAGTGTAAGCCACACATAAAGAAAGAAGGGTACCTAGCATGGCTAGCTAGCATCTCTGACAGTTTTAATGTCATCTCTCTCAAATGCTACCTAAAAGAATATTCTGTAAAATATCTTACTGTTTAGGAAAGATGTCTGGGAAGATGATTAAAATAATTTAGGGGAAGGACATAATTAAGAGAAATAATTATAGTCAGATTTGTCATTTTCCCCAAACTGCACAAATAATTCACCTAGATGTGTACTTGCCAATATTCCCCCATGGTGACATATATGATGCTTACCCTTTTTCTCTCCAGGAGATACTGACCCCAAGCAAATTCTTGAAGAGGAACTATCACGGGGTCTTCAAATCTGGTAGGGTAATTGTTTTTCAGAGTCTAGGTTTCAAGAGAAAATGGTTTAAGTTCTCATTTATGTATCTACTCATTTATTTGGGGGGCAGGGTACCCCAGCTGCGCATGCACACGAGGAGACCAGAGGTCTTCCGTGGCTACTCTCCAGCTTTTTTGCTGACACAGGATCTTTCATTAAACTTGGAGCTGGTTCAGCGAGGCTGACTAGCCAGAGAGCTCCCTGTGCCAGGCTTAGGGTTACAGGTGTCCTACGCTGGGCTTTCATACAGGTACCTGGAATCTGAACCCAGGTCCGCATGCTGGCACAGCAAGTGTTCTACGCCCTCTGTGAGCACACCAGCCCCTAAGTTCTCTTTTTAAAGTGGAAATCATTTCCCCAGATTTTCATGGCACACACAGCACACACAGGCCACACTGCCTGACTGAGAGGCCCTGGCCCATTCCCAGAGGCCCGCCAAGTCACTCCAACACTGACTGGTTTGTCTCTTGCCTTTAGGAAACAAGATCTAGAGGGCAAGGGTGTGTCTTAGTTTTCCTATATTGTTACCTTATGTAGTATATAGTGGACCATCAACTCATAACTCAATAAATTGAGTGTATAACCAGTGATTTTGGAATCTGTTATGTTCTTTTAATACTCCCCCCTTCCCAAATTATATCGCTAAGTTTCAGTAGATCAACAGGTGCTTGATTTGTAGCAAAAAAAAAAAAATTTACTGATGTAAGGAGAAAAGCCAAAAGGACCCTGTTGTGCTTAATGCCATTCAGGAAAAGGAGAAGCAAATATTAAATAACTTCAGGCTCCTAGATAAGTTTTCATATTTGACTGTGCCTTGGCCAAACATTTCTCATGTGTGTGGATTAGGGAAAATTACTTAAAAAAAAAGGCTTTTAAGGATTATGTGTGTGTGTGTGTGTTGGGCTGGGAAGGGAGGTGGTTACTGTCACCTGAGTGTGAATCCTCATGGAGTTGTAAGCTGGCAGACCCTGGTGCTAGGAACCAAACCTCTCTTGCTAAGGATGACACTTTGAGGCCCCACTCTGGTGACCGTTTCTGGAGGGACAGAGCCTGGGACAGGGATAGAGAGTGGGCCATACTGTGGGATGTGCAACATGACAACAGCACCTGGCCATTTGCCTTCTTGGAAAACAGAACCCAAACGACAGAGCTTTTCCTCAGCTCCACAGTAGTCTGTGTTCTGTTTCAGACAAGCCTACAGGATGCCCACTGTTTCTCAGTGAAGAACTATCCACAGTAAATAACAAGATCAGTCATTTTCAAAGTAAGCTCTGGTTACGCTTGTTCATAACACAACATTTGCATAGTACGTCCAAATGAAACAATGCCCGTATTTATCCTTACCTTTTACAAATCTAAATTTGTCTATGAATCAAGCATCAGGATTATTCACAAACACATTGTGATTATAATCAAATATCCTTGATTTACATTAGAACTAACTGAATTTACATTGGTATGTTGTCATATTTGAATACAGTCACAGGAGGCAAAAACTTAAGGGAAAAATTACATGGTTAGAATATTAAAAACACTTTTATTGACTTAGTAGCCTTTACAGCTGGTGTTAACTCCGGTATAGTTTTTGAAAGAAATGAGAGCCATGTACACTTTTCACATCTTTTAATGGTTGAAAATAATCAAAAGATCAGTCATATTTCATGTTACATCAAAATTAGCTATGTCTAAGTCAGCAATCGACAGTATAGTTTGATTGGAACACTACTATTCACGTATATCTTGTGGCTGCTGTTTTCCTCTGTTGTGGAGATAAGGTATTACCATGTAGCCCAAGCTGGGCATCAACTCTCCATCTTCCTGTCTTGGCCTCTTGAGTGCTGGACTACAGGCCTGGGTTTACTATAACTGGCCACACTGCTTTTACAATCTAAGTCTGAGACTATGCCCCACAACACCTAACATTATATTTCCTACTTGAACTTCCCAGGAAGAAAAAAAAAAGGTACAAATGTCTTCCCTGCAATGTGGAACAGCCATGGGAAATATTAGTATCTTAAGAGAAGCAGCTAAGAAAGAAGGGAATCCCTCAGTCTCTGAAATAAGAAACAAACAGAATCGAGAAACCTTTATCCTCTAACACACACACCCCCACACCCCCACACCCACACACCCACACACACACACACACCCCACACACACACCAGCACTTTTATCTTGCAGGGGTTCTGAAGGTGACTTCTACTTGGCTGTCCTTGTTACCCAGCTGGAAAAACAAGCACCAAGGGTAGGTGGCCGGGCTAGGCCGTGCGAGCGTATTTTGCCACCACACTCCCACTCCTGCTTCCAGACTGCAGGCGTGCCGCAGCGAGGAGGAACTGGCTACATTTGTTCGTTCGTTTCCTCAAGTGTTCCATATCATCCTACACGTCTACAAAGACATATCTGGATTCTTCAAAGCACTTCTGGGCCATCTCTTAAGAATCCGAGAAGTATCTGATTCTGTTAAAATGCAGAAACAACTACAGAAATTATAAAGGAAAGAACCTCCCATAATTAAATTAAAAAAAAAAAAAACCACAAGGAGTTTTTTGTTTTAATCAGCTTGTGATGCGATAATACTTTTCCATAACCTTGAATTTTGTTGATCCGTATTTCAATCAAAACTTCACGTGGACCAGCATCTCCATCCGTAGGTGCTCGGAAGTTACCATTTTCCCCAGACCGTTCTGAGCGCTCGCACGGCTCTGTCCCGGTCACTCATACCCGCGCCCTGCACCTGTCCTCTACACCCCAGCCCAGCCTAGAACGTGGAGCCCCGCCAGCGCCTGCGAGGCCGAGGCGGGGAGGCTGCGGCGCCCGCAGTGTCCTGGGGAAGAAGTTACCTCAGCGATGGTCTTCGACACCTGAAAGCTGGAGCTTTTGAAGAGCCCCACCACCTTCAACCTAAGCGGCGGCTCCGGCGGCTGCCGTATGCGGCAAGGCGAGGGCTTCTGCCGGCACGGCTGCCGGGTGGCCATGGCAGCGCTAGCCGACAGCGCGGAGCGCAAACACTGCAGGTCGCCATGACAACCGCGTGGCTCCGCCTCCAAACGCCCGCAAGGGGCGGGGCCCGAGCGGTGTCGTGGGCGGGGCCCGAGCGGTGTCGTGGGTGGGGCCTCGCATCAACTTTGAGCCTGTTGCTGGTGAAGCCCGGCCCGGGTCAAGCGTGGAACCCTTAGGCCGCGGTGCCGAGAACCCGCCGAGGGATCGAACGCCCTGGAGCGGTCCACGCGGAATTCGTTCCGGGACCGCCGGCGGCCTCGCGCAGCCCCCCCCGGGATTTGCAGACGATCTCCTTTCTGGGTTGGCTACGGCCTGTTGTCCCGGTAACGCGGGAGTTCCCCCCCCCCCCCCCCAACCCCAGCTCCGGTTCCCGGGATCGTGCAGCGCGGGACAGAGCCGGCCACCTGTGCGCGTCATCAGCATCGCCGCCCGGGCCCCGAAGCACCTCTGCCATGAAGCCCAACTTTTCTGTGCGGCTGAGGGTTTTCAACCTCAACTGCTGGTAAGTGTGCCCGGGCGTAGGCGGCGGCCTCGGGGCCACCTTCCTGTCCACACTCGCACATGCCTAGGAAGGAAGCAGGCCTTCTTCAGCCGAGCCACGACCCTGCCCTTCCCGAACCTCCCAAGTCCACATCGCCTAGAGCCTGGCCAGAGCTTGGGTGGTGGCAGCCAGAGCAGAGATGGTGGCAGCAGTCGCCTCCCCAAGCCTGTCCCTTCTCTCTCTTAAAAAAATATTAAAAAAATATAAATATATAATATATTATATATATTATGTGCATTGGTGTTTTGCCTGCATTTATGTGTGAAGGTGCCAGATTCCCTGAACTGGAGTTAAAGACAGCTGTGAGCTGCCATCTGGGTGCTGGGAATTTAACCGCTGAGCGGTCAATCCATCCTCTCCCCTGTACCCCCACCCCCAACACACCCATCCTTTTTTTTTTTTTTTTTTTTTTTTTTTGGTAGGGACATCCCCTACCTGAGCAAGCATAGGGCCGACCGCCTGAAGCGCTTGGGAGACTTCCTGAACTTGGAAAGCTTCGACCTGGCTCTACTGGAAGAGGTGAGGTGTTGTACGGCAGGCTAGGCTGCAGGAGGGCAGCAGGGGGCGCAGGAGGAATCTTCTGCCTGGGATGAAGTTCAAGCAAAGTATCCTTCCTCACCTTATCCCTCAGGTGTGGAGTGAGCAGGACTTCCAGTACTTAAGGCAGAAACTCTCGCTCACCTACCCCGATGCACACTACTTCAGAAGGTAAAGAGCTGCATCCTCAGACCAGGAAGTTCGCCTCGCTCTGATATTCTTGTGCCTACCCTCGATCCTCTTCCTTTTGGGTGTGAGAACAGCAGGCCGTTCTGCATTTTCTTGCAAGGGCTGCTGTCTTAAGCTTTGTTCTGGGGCCGATCTTAGCATTAGAGAGAAAAGTTGCTGATCGAAGCTGGGAGACAAGGGAGGAGAAGAGGCCTGGGTATTCCCCTCCTGGCTTTTCTAGTTATTAAGCAAGACTTGGTTTTCAGCGGAATCATTGGCAGTGGCCTCTGTGTGTTCTCCAGACACCAAATCCAGGAAATTACCCAGCATGTCTATACCCTCAATGGCTATCCCTACATGGTAAGGTCTCTCCCGTCTCCCTGCTGGAACAAGCTAGATGCAGCCCTCCCAGGGGCCTCAGCAGGAGGCTGGCAGCGCCCTGAGTTCCTGTCTTCTCTTGCCTGCAGTTCTATCATGGAGACTGGTTCTGCGGGAAGGCCGTGGGGCTGCTGGTGCTCCAGCTGGGTGGACTGGTGCTCAATACCTATGTGACCCATGTGAGTGAAGCTGGCTTAGACCCTGGGACAGGCAGCCCAGTGCTGCGGTAGGGAGAGCCTGCCTCTGCTGCCTGGGGGTGAGGCATGGGATCAGAAGGCAGCAGTGGGCAAGGTTCACCCGTTCTGTGCCAAACTCCATGCCAAGTGACTTAGACAACCCCTGGGGCCCGTAATCTTACCTGAAACCTCACCTGTTCCTCTTTAGCTACATGCTGAGTACAGTCGGCAGAAGGACATATACCTAACACACCGTGTGACCCAAGCTTGGGAACTGGCCCAGTTCATCCAGTGTGTGAGCCTGGGCTTGACAGGGGCTGTGGAGCGGGGACTGGCGCGGGGTGGCGTTAGCAGGGTGGCAGGTTTCATCGAGAGGGCAAAGAGTAAGGGAAGAATTTCTTCCTTGCCACTCTGCCCGGCCCCAGCCACACATCCAAGAATGCAGATGTGGTTCTGTTGTGTGGGGACCTCAACATGCACCCCAAAGACCTGGGCTGCCGCCTGCTGAGAGAGTGGACAGAGCTTCGTGATGCCTATGTTGAGACTCAGGACTTTAAGGTGAGAGCTCCTGCCTGATGGTTCCCCACCGGTACCCACACTTCTTTGGACCTCCCTGCCTCTCAGTGTCCCAGCCACCTGTTTCCCCAGGGCTCTGAAGATGGCTGTACCATGGTACCCAGGAACTGCTATGTCAGTCAACAGGACCTGGGACCATTTCCGTCTGGCATCCGCATCGACTATGTGCTCTACAAGGTCAGGTTCTTTTCCCCAGCATGCTTTTCTCTGTTCTTTTCCTCCGTCCCCAGCCCATGTTGATCTTTAGATCAGCTGATGGAGTCTTGGGCCACCAGTGGCTGCAGAATGGGACAGTGTTGGCTGGTTCTCTGGGAGACTATAAGCTTCTCTGTGTTCTCACTCTTCCTAGGCTGTTTCTGGGTTCCACATCTACTGTAAGACTCTGAAAACCACTACAGGCTGTGACCCCCACAACGGCACCCCGTTCTCTGACCACGAGGCCCTCATGGCTACTTTGCATGTGAAGCATGGCCCTCCTCAGGAAGACCCCTGTCCTGCCCACGGTGAGTCAGTCCTCCTCTAAGCCCTTTCTTCTTCAAGACGACCCCAGCCTCCAGCCTGACCCTCCCCTGCTCTACTGTTCTCCCGTGTCCTAGGACCCCATGAAAGGTCATCACTGATCAGTGTGCTGAGGGAGGCGTGGACAGAGCTGGGGCTAGGTGTGGCTCAAGCTCGCCGGCGGGCTGTGTTCGCCGGCTACGTGACCGTTTGTGGCTTGTCCCTCCTGGTGTTGTTCTGTGTCCTGGCTGCAGGAGAAGAGGCCAGAGAGGTAGCCATACTGCTCTGGACACCCAGTGTGGGACTGGTGCTGGGAGCTGGTGCAGTCTACCTCTTTCACATGCACGAGGCCAAAGGCTTATGTCGGGCCCAGGCCGAACTCCAACATGTTCTGAGAAGGGAAAAGGAGACCCAGGTGCTAGCTCAGAGCAGCAGGAGGGAGACAGAGCTGAAGAACAATAAAACTTAACACTCTCTAAGTGGCTATTTCCTTTTCCTTGCAGAGGCAGCGATAGGAACTGAGGGTCAGCAGTGGGATAGGAACTGAGGGTCAGCGGGTTCACTGCCGTGTGGACTTTAGGGCATTGGCTCATCGTTCTTGCACATTCCCACCTCTCAGCTTCACAAAGCATAAAGCCTGTTCATGGCCATAATACTTTTATTGTAAACAGCAAAGGCACAGCCCTCCGATGGTGTCTTGCTTGGAGGGCAGGGAGGCAGCTGAGCATCTTCTATCCCTGGGCCCCTGTCCCTAAACTCATCTCACTGAGCCTTCGCTCTTCCTGGAAGCGGATGAGGGCATCCCGCTGGTTCACCACATCCAACAGCTCCCTCAAGACCTGGTTCTCAGACTGACGATCAGCCTCTGTCTTCAGGGTTTCTGAAGGGAGAAGATGAGGCTTAGAGAACAGGGACCTGGGCAGGGGTCCCGAAGAGAAGATCAAGCTAACACGGCCTATGTGGTTTCCAGGTTTGCCACAGTGGTTTTCATGTTAAAGGAAGTACTGCACAGAAGCCCAGCTGTGCGGGCCTGATAGGAGGGACAGTGAAGGCTTGGGTGTCTCAGCAGGACTGTGGACTGTGTTACTTGGTCAGTATTCAAGGTCATGAGCTAGCCCACAGACCTTCCCGATTCATGTAGCCCCGCAACTCCTGGTCCAGCTGCCTCTGCTTCTCCTCCAGGTCCATCTCCCGCACCCTGTGGAGAGCAGAAATGGCAGAAGCACAGCTAGACAGGGTACTCCCAGGGACTGGACCTGGCTTCCATACCACGTCGCCACCCCTGGCCTTACGTGATCATGAGCTCAGCCTCTTCAGTCACGAGGCTGTTTCTCTGCTGAATGAGCTGTAGCAGCTGTTCTAGCCAGAGTTTCTTTTGCTCCTCCGGAGAGCCTGATCAGAAAAAGAGAAGGGAAGTGGTCACAGGGTGACAGGATCCAGGGGAAATCAGGCTGTTACAGGGGACCGGCTGTGGGGCTTATCCACTGGGCCCCCCAGGGATGGCTGAGGGCCGAACATGGTACCAAGGAGCCAGACAGATGAAGGTAGTAGCACGTCACCTCCCCCATCTTTACTCACTGCTCTGTCTCCTCAAGGCCAGCTCCAGCCTCTTGCCTTCAGTCTCCAGCTCTCTCACGGCTGCCTCAATCTCATTTAGTCTTCGCTGGACGGCCTGCGGTTATAAGACACAACGCCCTGGATTGCTCAAGAAGGGAGCACTGGAGGTGCTCTGAGCTCAGCCAGCTCTGACCCCGTCAGAGTGCTGGTGCCTGGGGCTCACCTGGGCCTTGCAAAACCTCTTCATCTCCTCCTCTTTGGCACGGCGCATGAGGGTTCGGCACCAGGTCGGATACTTAGTCATAGTGCCTGAGTTCTTGGCCAAGGTCAGCAGAGTCTGTGGGAGGGTAGGGCCTGTCAGCAGTGAGGTCTGGCCCCTGGTTAGGAATGGAGGAAACTGGAAGGGTGAAAAACTGGGATGGAAATGGGTACACTGTGGTAAACGAGATAAAAGACTTAGAGGCAAGTTAGTGACACCGGGTGAAAAGACATTCTGAGCGGAGTGTGCAGGCTATTGGTGCTTCTGTGGCAGGGGCAGAAAGTA